CAATTTTCCTTCCAATTGCTGCAAAACTGTACGCTAAAAGGCTTCCAAAGTGGAAAGGAAAAGGGCAGCATGCAGCATTTTTAACCATTCTTTTTTTTTTGATTTCCTTTCCAAAGACCTAGGGGGGGGAAATAGCCCCATTAGGAGCCGGGAAGCCGAGCTCGTTGTGGCCCCGCGAGGAACTGTGAGGGCAGAGGCAGTGCCTGGAGCCTGCTGATGGCACCAGAACGTGACACTGCTCAATTATTTAGCGCTGCCACGGCGTCCAACCACTCCGTGCACCCTCTCGCCTGGTGCTAGAGCCCTGCCTGCTCCCTCTGCCTCATCGGTTGCTTCCCCTGTTTTGTAAGGTTAAACAATCTCGTGTCTTCTAACCCATTTAAGTTCTTCATCCGCTGTGACAGAGAGGGAAAAATCCATCCCCACGTGGCTGCGTGTCCCAGCATCGCTGCTGCTTCTGCCCAGCGTCTCCAAACAGGGGGAAACCTGCCTGCTGCCTCCAGCTGGCCAACGCCATTGGTTTCGGGACATTTTACCTGTATCCCAGAAAAAAATGGGTCTTAATTTTAGGAGAAGGCAGCACTCAGCTGTAAAGGAGCCAGGAGAGAGGGGCCGGGGCTCGGCATCCTTGCTGCAGGGCAGCGGCATCTCCCCGTCCACCCGTGCAGCGAGAAGCAGCCTCTGGGCAGCAAGGACAAGGTGGCTCAGGTGTCGGGGTTATGAACTAGCCACCAGTTTGCCATGCCGGTGCCATCATCCGGGGAGTTTCTTTCAGTGATGGAGATCTGGTTGGGTTTGGTTTATATTTTATCTCGGAGAGAAATCGGTATTTTTAAGAGGTCAAGAGTTCGGGAAACCGAAATGAAGAGGATGGGCTCCGTCTCTCCCTGCTCCCTGAAGACGCAGGGCTGCTTCCCAATGCACATTAGATTTTAAGGTGAGTTACTTCGTTGCCATGGCAATATTATGCAGGTTTTGAAACGCCACAGTTTGGGTTTCTTCTAGGCCACCGAGCAGTCAGGATCCCGAGCCCCATCCCGGAGAGCTGCCCTACGTGTGGGAGCTCAGCTCGGATGCGCACGATGGAGCATCCCTCAGCCCTGCTAAAGCACCGAGACACAGAGCACCTGGATGGACGCACGGACAAGGGGAGAACCATGGGGGCGAGGGCACTGGGGAGGGGGCAGAACGCAGCCTGAAAGCTGCTCCAAGCTCCGTTCTCCCCCTGCCTCCCCAGACCCCGCAATCAGGCTGTGAGACAGCGCAAGGTCGAAGAAAACCCAGCGGCTTTACTAATTAGCACTTATTAACGACGCTTATCTGGCCGTGTTGCGGTTGTGCTCCCTCCAGGTGCGCCACGCCGCCGGCACGCGCCCAGTGACAAAACCCACGTTTGCCCCAAAGAGCTTAAAATTGACACAAACCCCATTTGGGGCCACACAGCTGTCCCATTTCCCTACTCCGTGGCTCCCAGGCCTCATGAATTCATTTTCTCACTAAGAGAACTGCCCTAAAATAAAGGTTTTAGGTACTTCAGGACTCCTTTTGGTGGGGATGCTGTGTCTTGCTGTTAAGAAATGCAGAGGGAAAAAAGGGATTCCCTGGTACGGAGACAGCTCTGTGGTCACTGGGTGAAACGTGCTCTGTGACTGTACCAGCGATTAATATTTAATGTTAAATATTTATATATTAAATATTTAAACCAGTCGCATCATGAAGATATTAAAATATTTGTAGTTAAATCCAAAATGCTTTTGACACGGGTGCTGTACCATGGATGTGTCCGACCGCCTGGGCAGCGGTTCCACTGCGCAGCCAAAAGCTCTTCGAGTAAATCAGTTCCAATTATTATTATTATTTTTTTTTGCTTGCTATTTTGTTTGTTTGTTAAATTTCCAACAAACCACGCTCGGATGAAGGCACCGAGGCTGCGTGCACGCAGGAGAGCCGCCGGGAATCACCGTGGCAGAGCCATTCCGGAGGCATCAGAGGCGCTGCTGCTGCTGCTGCTCGGCAGATTTACCCACGCACGGCTCTCCAGTTCCCCGACTGAGAACCGTATGCAGCGAAACGCTGCGCCCAAACACAATAGAAGTCTGGAAGAAAGCAGCAGCCTTAACAATGAGCTTCTCGGCTTTTATAGGTTTTAGCAAAGCCCATTGTGTTGTTTTAACGCTCGGTTTTGTATTTAGATTCCTAATATCTTCGACGGGGGGGGGAAGGGTGGAGGGGGCAACCAATTTAATTCGATAATCCCCCTAAGCCTTGCTTAATGCAGTCACTCTATTTTGTGCCTGTGAGTTTTATAGTGGTATTTTGGGTGGTTGCAGCGCTGCACTGGAAAACGTCCCATCATTTATTTTGCAGCCATCGGAGGGAAATGGCTCGCAGTGCCGAGCAGCCCATTCATTACGTTCACATTGTCAAACCCAACAAACCCCGTGCCCCCAGATGTGGCTCTGTGGATCTCGGGGCAATGATTCATGGAGAAGGTCGCTCAGAGTCTGGGTACAGATTACCAAAAGGAATATTAAACCTTAAAAGGAGCATTAAACCTTAAACAGGAGCCTTTCTCGCTCTGCCAAAAACCTCTTTTGGAGCTGGACGGCCTTGGTGAGGCTGGGGCTGAGGGGCAGAAGGAAAGTTCCCTGCCTGGGAAGGGTTCTCCTCCCCCAGCTCCTGCATCCCCACGGGGATGGTGTGGATGCAGCCGGATGGGTCCCCGCAGCTCCCACGCCACGATTGTCTCGGGCTGAACGGGGTGAAACTGCTGCAAGGCGAAAGTTCCAGCTGGGGCTTTTCTCCTCTTGCTTTCTTCTCCTGACAGGGAGGGAGTGTTGGTAAGAAACACAAGACCGGACTCCAAAAGCATCTCACGAGCCTCCGTGCTGCCTGAATTCCTTTGCTCTTGCTCAGCTCCCAGCACTCCGACGTTTGCTCCCTCCTGATGTTTGCTCCAGCTGCGCTCAGTGATGGGCGAATAAACCTCCACCAGGAGGCCGGCACTGCCACCCATGGGATTTCTCAGTGCCCCTTCCAGGGGTGAGCTGTGTCTCATGAGATGTTCCTTGGCCATTCTGGAAGCAGCTCAGCAGCAGAGACACGCAGCACAAACACGAGGGGGAGAGTGGCCGGTACAGCTGATACGCAGCAGCACCAAAGCCAAGTGGGGAGGAGGATTTTTAGGAGAGGTCAAGGTCCAAAATTGCTGCTGGACTGCCAGAGGAACAGAAGAAGGCAGGGTGCCCACAGAGACATCCCAGCCAGCAGAGGAGACCCTCAACAGGAACGTGGCAGGACTCCTTTGGGCTTAAGGAACTGCCCAGGAATGTGGAAAACAAAAATATGTGTTTTTATTTTATTTTTTTGCCTACACAGTATGTGCAATTGTCTTCTCTGCTTATTATTATTCAGCAGTAAGGTTGCGACAACACCTTGTGAAAGTAAAGACTGGTGGCTGCAATTCTGCCTTTAAGGCTGCCATTTGCCTTTTGCATCTTCACCTCCCAAACGCTGGTTTTCCAGGTTAGCCTTCATCTAGAACATCACTCAGCCGTACGAAACTCATGGGCTTCATAAACCTGAAAGAAAAGCTTTCTTTACTGGTGTAGAGGAGAGGGAAGGGAACAGCCAAAAGGGCATGTACTTGCAGGTGTTGAAAAACACTTAACAGAGATTAAATTAAATTATTCTTTCTATCAAGAAAAGCTTTAAGGGACCTCCTGTAACTGTGAGTCATCTTCAAATGGAGATGGCAGAGAAAACACAGATTCTAGCAAGCTGCATCTAAAGCCCTAATTATTTAAGGCCAAAATAAAAATAAAAATAAAAATAAAAGAGAACATTTCCAAAGATCAGAAGCTGGGAGGCTGTTGGAGAATGGACACATCCACTAAACGATGCAAGTCCAGGATCTAAGTGAAGTGTGTAGGTCGCTGTTCTCTGCAGAGGAATTGATGGCGATTTCCATGTCAAAGCCTTTCTTTACAAGGGGTAAAACTGAGAAAATGCCCCAGACTGAAGATCTGGAGACAAGGCTTTAAGCCAAATAAATAAAATCAAGGGCTACAAAATTCCAGTATGGAATAGCACTGACCAGGAGCAGCACTTCTAGAGAAGCACTCAAATACAGAGTTAGATCTGGCTGCTTAACTCTGGTTTGCAGCCCATTGTCTGGATCAGGCTTGATATTAAGGGAATAGAAGGAGAAATGAAACTGAGCTGTGATAAATGCAAAATTATGCCAATGGGAGGGAGGGACCCTTAACTACCAAGATGTGGAAACGGGCTCTGACCTAACACAACTCAGTGAGGAGATCTTGGCATCGCTGCGCTGACATTTTCATAGCGCTACGCACAATGCTCAGAGGCAGTCAAAGGCAAACAGACCATCAAGAATTATTAGGGAGGAAATGGAGAACAAATAACAACAAGTGTTGTTGTGCCAGCAGACGGCCCCGCGGTGCACCCGCCTCGACACTCGGTGCAGCTTCAGACCTCCCGTCTCCAAATGGCCACGGCAGCACTAGAAAAGGTGGGGATAGAAAAGGTGGGGATAGAAAAGGTGGGGGTAGCAGTGCTCTGTGAGAGCTGCCTTATAGGGTGGGGTTAAATAGGGTAGGACTTTCTTATTGGGAAGAGCCTGAAAGGGAACGTGGTCCTGAGCAGCGTGGAGAAGGGGGAACAGCTGCTGCTGCTCCTGGCAGCACAGACCTGAGGAGGTGCTGAAGGAAGTTACGGGGTACAGAGCTGAAGCACCCCAAGGAAGCACGTCCTGAAGCCAGGCTCTGCTTTGGGAGCTTACCCTGGGCCCCTGGACCCCGCTGACACACAGCCAGGATGCAGGGTGCCGTGGATCCTCCCTGTTTTATTCACGTGTGTCTGGTGGCGAGTGGTTAGGAGAGCGGGTACACCCCTTGCCTTCCTGCCTCTGCACCTCCAAATTTTAATTCGGTTTGGGTTTCATCGTGGTGGTGCTATGAAGTGACTCACAGAACCCATTTCATTCTCCTCCTCATCAGACTGGAGCATTCGTTTTATTGGTGGCTCTGAAAATTTGTTGTAAACTCAGACTCCTGTGGGCAAACTTGTACAAGACAGCTTTCTAATTCGTCACCTCATGCGGTAATTTATATTTAATTTCTATTTGTTATAAGACCATTATAAAGGTATTAATGAGCTTCTTTACAATGTTTACATCTTATGGATATCGATAAACAGATAAAAAACATTTTTAAAGTCTTTATACTTTTTTTTTTTTTTTTTTTTTCAATATAAAACCCCAGCACTTTTAAAAAATCTATGAAGCTTGGTGGCCCCTTCACCTATTACTTCTGTAAAACTGAGAAACAGAACTAAAGCACACACCCCCTGACAACATAGCAGAGAAAGGGGACGGGGTACAGGGAGGCATCGCTCTGTGTATGTTATCTGCCTGGCTGAGGCCGTGGCAGTGCCATTTGCATACCCAGCTACGCGGGGACAGCCGTGATGAATTCCCAGCCGTACAGGCAGGCGCCGTGTGCCCAGACTGCAAAGCTATGGAGAGCCTCCGCTGCTCGGCGCTTGCAGGAGGAGCCGAAAACGCAGGATCAGGCCCTGAAAAATAAAAGAAAAAAAGATTTGTTTAAAAAATATCCAGCGGGATTTGGATGTGCTGAGTTAGGCAGGGAACGCCGGGGTTTCTGGGGGGGAGCCCTTTGTGCAGCGCTGTCCCCCAGGAACCCGAGCCAAAGCCGAGCTCCTGGCTTTGGAGGGTCAGAATCGGGCCCTTCGCCACGGGCGCAGACGACTGCAAATGCAAAACCAGCGATGACGAAAGCTGCGTTGTCGCCTACAGCTCTCAGGAATTTTCCTGCTACGAGATCTTGCCGAGTTGCAGGCACTTTCGGGTGTCGCGTGGAGATCCAGCGGTGCCGTGGCGGATTTGACCGGGGCGCTGGCATTATTTACCTGCCCTATTTACAGAGCTCAGAGCTACGTGAGCGGCTGTCTCCCCTTTTCACACGCGTTTCACCCATATCCGAAATCTGACATCCATGGGTATGTAAAATAGAGACGGGAACGTTTACACGACACTCGGAGAGGGTTCATTTCTTGGGAAAGTGCAAATCGAAGTCCCCCCAAGTGCAGCGGGGATGCACGCAGGGAGCAGCCAAGGCCAGCTAATGGCTGCCGCCAGGCCGCCGAGCCAGGCCGTGCAGGCTGCCAGAGGCCTCCAGCCAAGCGGCCTTTGGGATCTGGCGAAGGGGTTTCAGGTTTTCGGGTGGAAGAGGCATCACGTTGACACCGTGAGGAACGAGCAGCCCAACGAGGAATTGCTTTAAAGCAGAATTTGGAAACAAAGGCGATGTCGTCCCCTCCAAAGCCTTGCGTCTGTGATGGCGTTGGAGGCGCCTCTTGGTGCCGAGCACCATCTAGAGGGCTCGCTGGGGGGGTGCAGCAGTGAAATCAACCTGGAATATTTAAAAATAGACAAAAAAATGATCCGAGAGCAGACCTTATGTAATATCCAACAGGTATTTAGGTGTTATTTAACAGCTGTAGTCAGGAACATCCTGTACGAAGGTGTGGAAATTTGGAGATTTCTCCAGCAAGGCAGGGTGGTGGCTGGCACAAGCACCTCTGTGCTCAAGCAAATGTGCCTATTTTGTTCATCATTCTGCACCTGTATTTCCTTAGAATAAACAAACCATGATGCAAAATTTTAATTTTGAGGTTATTGCATCTGGAGATCGTCTTAAAGTCTTGACTTTTCAGTGCCTGTATTTCCTTACCACTGCAGTTCAAAGCACCGATTCTTAAATTGCTCCTAACCAGCACTTATTTTCCTATCAGTTACAGAAAACCTCAGATTTCATCGCTGGAACAATTGGTGTCCTTGTGTCCCACCTGGCTGCACATGAAAGGCCCAAGATGAGCAGAATGCATACAAAAAAGTTGGATTTAAAAATACTCAAAAAAAAAAAAAAAAAAAAAAGCCCCAAACGCTTAACTTCCCGCAGTCCTTAAATCCAAAAGGGTTCAGACACACGCATCCCAATCCACATTTCCTGAAGAGGAAAGGTACAGTCTGGGTGCAATCCAGCACTCCTGCATGGCTCTGATCTCAGCTGCCCTCTGACTGCAGCCACGCTGCATTTCTGTCCGGTTTGGGCAAAACTGCATCAGGTATGTTTTTACACCATGCTGAAGCTACAAAGCAGCGGGCTGGCTTTGACTCATCAGGCAAGTCGAACGATAAATAAAAGAGAGACTCACTCACTTGGTGCTACGAGCCGACCAAGGGGAAGATAATTTAATTTAGTGGTTAAATTAAAGAGAGCTAAACTCTGTTTACTTGCATTTACTCACAACTACAGCATTAAGACGAGAGGCAACAGGGCCAAGCTGGAGCATGGGAAATTCAGATAAGGAAACGATTTTGCAGCGTGAGGACGGCCAAAGACTGGGACTGGAACTGGCTGGGTTGCCCGGGCAGGTTGTGCAATCCTCCCTCCTTGGGCAAGGCCCTGAGCAGCCCGATAGCATCAGACCTGTTCTGCGCAGGAGGGCGAGTGGATGACCTTCGAGGTCTCCTCCAACCTAAATTATTCCATAATTCCATGAAACAACCCAGCCAAAAACCCAGCTCTAAACTCATGTAATGGAGAGTGTTGGAAAATAAAGGGAGATGTCTCGTTTCAGGTAAAGAAGGGTACATTAATCAAAAGGCATAAACAGCTTGAATCTGTACCCTTTACGTGGAGTAACACGCATATAGAGAGATGCTGTGCTGGGGAACCAGGGTCCTCACTAGTGACATGAAATATCAGTAAGAAGGCAGAAAGGCAGAGCTACGTGAGGCTGTGGAAGTATGCAATAGGCATCTGCATGCCTGAAATTAAAATCTCCCAAACCAACCTCACTCATGGCCCACACCTTGAACCTCAGCACAACCTCTTTCACAGTGATATTCTCCATCATACTCTCCCAGTACACCTCCAGCACTTGTTGTCCACCCTTCAGGCTTCCTACAGATACCAGTTTGTGATAATCTACACCCTGTCTTGCCAGGAGACATGGGGGAGAGGGAGCAAACCCTGCAACGTTTGACAAGTTTGGCCACGGCAGTGCAGGACTGCTTTTATTCTGTGGGACAGTGCCTGAACTGAGGGTTTATCTAAAGGTTTCCACTCTCAAAATCCTTCAAAGGCTTTCATTATTATTTTTTTTTCTTCAGGAAAATAAATAAATAAAAAGAGGAAATTGTTACAATCCTGCTTCTTCCTTAAAGCAGCTCTGGATTTGGATACCTCCGTGGTTCACCTGCAAGAGCATCGTGTCAGCGTGCTCCTCCCCAGCGCTCAGCGCTGCTGTTGGCATTCACGTACCAGCGTTCTGCTCCGGAGAAACATGAGTAAGCACTAGCATAAAGCCTGGCTTTCACCAGGAGATTTACTATCGCTCCCCAGCATGCTGCTTCTTGGCCGCAGCGGCTCCAGAAAGAGATGAGTCACGGAGCTGCAAGGCCTGCGGAGTGCTGTGGAGCTCCCAGGGAACGAAGGCTACGCTCGGAGGTGGGCACTGCTCACCAGAAAGGCGACTCCTGGAGGGAGGAACCCAGGAGAAGTGGGAAGAGTTATCTGTCGCAGTGCTCACAGCAACCCTAGGGAACAAGAAAGCAACTGGGAGAGCATTAAAACCACCAAGCTGTGGTGCCGCAGGACCAGCACGGAGGCCGGGGGTCACTGCAGAGCCGTAAAACCCAGCCGGAGTCGCTGGGTAGGAGCCTGGCCAAAGGAGGAGTTGCACAACGGCTGCTGCGGGCATGACTAACGCGCTGTTGGGACTTGACCTGAATGCAGGCTGCTGCTCTGTGCACCCGTACCCGGCTCCAAACACCTGCCTCATAGCTGCGGGGTGACTAACGTGAGCCTTTCCTGTTGCTGCACGAAGCGCAGCGCTTGCATCACAGAGCACCTCCGAGCGTACGAGCACCTCGGCCAACAGCACGACTCCTGGTCTGAAGTGTGGGAAGCACACAAGGGGCAGACAAGCTTATTTGGGGAACATTTTCTATCATAGGCTTTTGATTTGAGAGCCCGTTGTATTTACTGTAGAAATTCCCAATGGCTCTAGACGGCCCTAAAAGAATAATCGGGCCCGTTGTGGTGGTACAGCTTTGCTTGCTGCTGCCTCCAAGCTTAAATAACAGCAAATTGCGAGGAGAGGCTCAGTAAGACACCAACCAAAAGGTGCCAAAGAAATGCACCATGTTGAAAAAGAAATACCTTGGGTAAGTGTTACCACTGGAACACAGTAGGACGGGGTGCTATGGAGTATTCGTGGTGCTGCGTTTTCTCTTGACGTAGAACAATATTTAGCTCAGAAAGACTGCAATGTACTTTCAGGGCACATTACACCATGTTATCTGTGTTTTTCCTTCGCATTCCTGGCACGCATAACAAGATGAGCTTGCAATTATCAGATAGGAGGGAGAAACATTACCTCTACAGATAGGGAATATCAGAGGGTTCTTTTCCTCTCTGGCAATGTTTCCAGAACTGCTGCTTTACACTGTAACTCACTGCAGGGCACACTTCAAAGCCTCTGGTGTAGTGCTGGAAGAGTTGTTCCTACCAAAAAACCCCCAGAACTGAGGTTTGCAGCTCGGTGAGGTGGCACCTCACATCTCTTTAAGTGACAATAATGAATTTGCCTTGAAAAAGATTCCAAGAGCTACAATGATAAGCAGGGAGGCTTTTTTTTTTTTTTTTTTTTACCTTTCTTCTTTTCCTTTTCTTTCCTTTTCGTTCTTTTTCTGGCTATTTAAACTCTTATTAGCAACTTGAGAACTTCAGAGGACGAAGAAAACAAGGTCTATGCATCACCCAGTTAATCTGAGCTCCTGCTGCAATTTCCAGACCTGTATTAAGGTGCAGGCGAATTATGCAGAGCAGCTGAATGTCAAACACCTGACTCGTTCTCGAGAGGGCTCCTGGCACTTGGTCTGGTGCCTTGAAACATCCTGAGCAGGCTGCCAGCAGGAAGGGCTGCATCCTCGAGGTAATAGCAGGAAGAACTCTGAAACAGCACTTCACAGAAAGCCTAGTCATGCATATAGGCTATAAATATATGCAAAAATGAATTTATTCTTAATGTTTCAACTGCATTGATTTGCTATGATTCAGCTGTTGGTATTCGAAGCACGAAGATGAGTTGTCTTTTTCATTTATTTTTCAGTTATGACAATGCTTGTTACACTGCCAAGGCTCAGGAAACTCTAACGTTGAATGCCAGGTCTTTATGGCAGCAAAAAGCAATTTGACATTAAGGAATGTTGTCCATTCGCTCCGTGTTTTAGCAACTTATCTCTGAAGTGGGATAGATTTCTGAAGTTTTGACAGGACACTTCCTATGGAAAAGTGACTTGCTTCCCTCAGGAGTATCTACAGGGGTCAATATTGCGCCTTTTTTTCTTTGGCAAGAGCACATGCCTCACCGTCATGTCTTTATTTCCTGGACAGTGGGAGGAAACAATCAGGATTTGGCTCCTAAAGCCGCCCCACGTCCTGTAACCTTGGCAGGGCTGCGTCCTCTGGGCGTCCATCCCTGCCTTAAAGTGCTGAGGCGATGACACTCTGATAACAGCGGGTGCCGCGTACTGATGGCTAAAAGTTCCTATTTACGGTCCAGTCAAGCACAGAAAGGCAATTCCTGGGTATCCACAATGCATTAATTTGTTTTGGGCACCTTTATGTTTGTTGGGGGAGCTCCCGTTTGGTTCGTGCCAGCTGCACAGGAGCGCTTGTGGGCCCTGTCCCCCAACGTTTTGCCTCATGTATGGTGGATGAAATGGAGAATAAGAGAGAAAACGACTTAGCGAGCCTAACTCAGGACAGTTATTTTCTTTATTTTCTTTCCTGGAGAAAAGGAGGCTCAGGGGTGACCTTATCGCTCTCTACAGGTACCTCAAAGGAGGCTGTAGCGAGGTGGGGGTTGGCCTGTTCTCCCAGGTGCCTGGTGACAGGACGAGGGGGAACGGGCTTAAAGTTGCACCAGGGGAGTTTTAGGTTGGATGTTAGGAAGAACTTCTTTACCGAAAGGGTTGTGAGGCATTGAAATGGGCTGCCCAGGGAGGTGGTGGAGTCACCATCCCTGGAGGTCTTTAAAATTTAGATGTGGAGCTTAGGGATATGGTTTAGTGGGGACTGTTAGTGTTAGGTCAGAGGTTGGACTCGATGATCTTGAGGTCTCTTCCAACCTAGAAATTCTGTGATTCTGTGATTTATTTTCTTTATTTTAAAACCTGTATTTATTATTTTCTTTATTTTCTTTTATTTTCGCCTCACACCAACGGCCGACCGCACACCCCGGCTACCCGCGGCCTTTCCGTTCCGGGGCACCCCGGAGGCCCTCGACCCGGGCCGGGACCGTGAGGGGAGGAGGAGGAGGAAACCGGGAGAGCAACCGGGGGAGGAACCGGGGGGGGGAGGGAAGGAAGCGGGGCCATGCCCGGTCCTCCCCTGCCCGGTCCTTCCGCCTGGGCGCTCCCCGGCTGCGGGAGGCTCCCGGCAGCGCCCCCGTGCGGCTGGCGGGGCTCCCTGCGGGCCGCTGTGCGCTGCGGGCCGGGCAGAGCGGCGGGGCCGGCGGCGCTGCCATGAAGCCGGCGGGGAGCCGCGGCGGGGCGAGCGGCTCGGCCGCGCACCGGGGCTCGCCCGTAGGGGCTCGGCCGCTGTAGGAGGAGCGGCGACACCTCGGGGAGACACCCGCCGCTGCCCCTTCTCCCCCCCTTCCCCCGGGCCTCCTCCTCCTCCGTCGGAGGATGGCGGCAGCGGCCGCCCCGACGCAGCTGGAAGCCGGTGGGTAGCGCTGGAGGCTGGGGGGTGAGAGGGGGGGGCTCGGTGGCTGCACGGTTGCTTTGTAACCGCGTCCCCTTCTCCCTCCTTGTTCCTCCTTCCCTCAGAGCTCTACTACCTGATCGCCAGGTTCCTGCAGTCGGGGCCCTGCAAGAAATCCGCCCAGGTGAGCGCGGCCGGGCCGGGCGGGGACGGGACGGGACGGGACGGGACGGGGCAGGAGGGCAGCGGGAGGGCTGTGAGGAGGTGGGGAGGAGGTGGGGGGGGGGCGGGGGAGCCGGGGTGCTGCGGGTGTCCGGCCTCACGCCCTTTGTGTGCCGCTGCCCTGTCCCCGCAGGTGCTGGTGGAGGAGCTGGAGGAGCACCAGGTAAGGGGCAGCCGGGGGCTGAGCTGTCCCGGCACGGCACAGCCCCGGTGCCCAGGATGGGATGGGGGTGTGGGGGGCGAAGCACGGCCGGGAGGGCCGGGCTGAGCCTTTTGGGGGGCTGCCCCGAGCCGTATGGGGGGGGCTCGGAGCTGCTCCCCCCCCCCCCCATCCCCCCAGGGAGGGGTCTGACCGCCGCCCCCGTCCCTCCCCGCAGCTGATCCCCCGGCGCCTGGACTGGCAGGGCAAGGAGCACCGGCGGAGCTTCGAGGACCTGGTGAGCCCACACCCCATAAACCCCCCCCCACACCCCAAAAAACCCCAAAACCCTTCGGTACCGGCTCTGTGCCCCCCACCCTCCCCCCATGTCCTCAGCCCGGGACCCCCCCCCACGCTGCTCTGCGCCCCACGGGGCTGTGGCTCGGAACGGGGCCAGAACGGGTGTGTGCGAGTGTAATGGGGGGGGAACGGGGGGTAATGGGGGGCACCGGGGGTGCCCATTGTGGGGCCGGGCAGGTTATCTGAGGGCACGTACCGGAGCCCTGCCCGGCGAATGGCGCCGCGCCTTACAAGCCGGAGCGGGGCGGGCGGCGATGTAACGAGGCGGCTGATTGGCTGCGGGGCGGCGGAGGAACTGGTTGGGGGGGGGGGTGGAGGTGAGGCCGGGCCGGCGGCGGCGGGGCCGGGCCTGAGGGGGGCCGGGGGAGACCCCCAGTGGGGGGGGGGGCGCCGCCTTCAGCCGGGCCCTGAGGGCACTGAGGGGCTCGGCACGGCCACAGCCGCCGGTATCAGGCCCGTGGTCGCGGCCTGTGCCGGGCCCTGTGTGGAAAATGTGAGGAAAAAGCGAGGAAAAAGCCTGGTGGAGCCGTGCCCGGCAGCGGGGGGTCAGCCTTGAGGCACGGTTTGGCCTCAGCGGTTGTGGTGCCGCCTGGGTTTGCTCCTCTCGGCCCCTGAGGTGTGGTAGGGAAGCCCTCAGAGCTCCCCTGGTGTGGTGGGTGTCCGTGCTGCGGCCACGTACATCTCGGTAAAATGTCCCAGATGGGAAACGGAGGCGTGAGGGGAGGCTTGGAATCGGTGGGGAGCTGCTTCGTGGTGTGCAGCGCTATCAGAGTTCAGTTTTTCTTCTATCTAAAGCTAATCGACAGCGATCCTTTCTGACGGCCTCTCTTCTAGTTTGGTTTAGCTGCGAACAAGACTTATAGCGAGGAACGGGACCGTTACGGGAATCCTTGCTGGCAGATGCTAGGTGGGGTGAGCTGAGCTTCCTTATGGATCCTCAGACCGAAGCTTTCACTGACAGGGATGTTGAAGGAAAGGCTTTTCCTCCCTTTCCTTTAGCTTTGATGTATTTGGTTTTTGGCCCTTTGAATGCATATGATCCTATACTAACCCGAGCTGCTTGACTTCAGTGCTAGTCAGGTGGATGGATGTGATGTTAAGGACAAGGCCTGGGCTGTGGAGAATGAATAACTCTGAGCTTCGTTTTAATGATCTCGCTCACCTAGTGAACAAAAAAATGTAATTACTGACGCTAGTGTTTGGGGATGAAGCTTTTTTTCTACCCATTTCTCCTGTTTGACTACTTAGAAGCAGGCAAACAAATTCAGTTCCAGTCTTTGCTGAGTGTTGCAACTGCGCTGGGCAGGCGGGCCCGAGATAATTGCATGGGAGTTTACAAACCCAGAGAAGTCAGATTTCTTGTTTGTTTGCCTGATATCCTGCTCCTGCGAATCTGACAGAGAATTTATTGTTCTAATTGCTGATGTTTCAACTTTGTTTTCCGTTCTCAGTTTGGCTGTTGAGGCTGGTGTTGGTATTTCTGGGGCTGGTAGTCCTGCTGTTGAGGATGTTGGTGCTGCTCTCAGGGCTTTTGGAAATGATAAAGATGTAACAACCAAATCGCCTACCAGGCGGCTTTTGTCTAGGCAATGTTTACTCCCCCATCCCTCAAGCTTTTAGTAAAGAACTGAAATCTCCCTGTTGAGATTTTTTTTCTTTTTTATTTGAACTTGCTCACTTACTTTAAATGTCAGGTACTGCAAGCCAGATACAAGATACACTAATAGGAGTTGTGTCCAGTGAGCAAAAGCCTGCAGAGAACCTGAGCTGGTTGTGTGCTTGGGTTCCCTTTGTCTCTCTGTTTATTTCCACCTCGGAGTGCTTTTATGTGCAACATGTGGCTGCCTGTCGAGGTAAGCGCCCAGGTGTACTCCAAAGGTCTGCGTGCTCAAAGCACTTTTCACTTTGTTGCTGGCTGCTGGTGGTCGTGGGACACAAAATGAGCTTGTAAAGGGGAGGGTCCTCGCCCTCATTAGGAAGGTCTTAGGTATGTCAGACTTGCACGCAATTAGTACTTCCATTTTAAATTAACCACAGCAGTTTAATGTGTAGCCAGCTGCTGGGCAGACAAGTCGAGCTGAGCTGCCTTAGATTATCACAACAGTCTCCCCTGGACTGCTGGTCGAAATTATCTTTGTTTATTCCCGATAAAAACGACTGACCCTCGTCTGGCTTTCAAGAACTTCTCGCAGGACCGTCTGTTCTGTCCAAGCCCGTTTTGTTCTCTGTGCTGAAGATAGGCCTGATTTCAGGGCACGCAGAAAATCAGCTGTTGTTGGACAGCGTATCTGAGCGGGGAATTTGCATCCGTGAGAGGCTGGCGTGGAACAGCTTATGGGATTTGGCTTCGAGGTTCTGCCTCGTCCGTCTGCATTGATTTAAAGCGAGCTGTGAGGCCGAGGTGCTGTTATTTATAGATATTGCCAATCCCAGCATTAGCAGCAGAGAGATGTTACAGTTTTGTCACCTCAGGAAAATGTCATCTGGTGGCGGGGTGGCTCCAAGCCACCCTCTCCAGGGAAGCTGAGTGGGTAATGGCTTTTTAAATTTGCGTGTATTTGCATATTGTTGACATCTTGTGCAAGCCCGGTGTCGGAGCTTCCTTTTGCTGAGATTCCATATTTGAGGTCTTGAGTAATTTCCTGCTCGCTCAGCTGCCTCGGTCCTCTTGGTCTCCTCTGCTGCTTTTGGTACGTTTGTCAATTAGTTCCGAACTGATTGGTGTTTTGGCAAACGGGAGAACTGTCGGATGGTTGTCTGGAGGGTAGAGATCTGCTGCAGAACCTCCTGTCCACTGAGGCCCTGGTGTGAAGGAGCTCGTGCAGGTCTCAGCGTTACTTCCATCAGGTTTTACATCCTAAACAGCTTCTGCATCGGATGCAGTTCCATCAGATGGAGTTCCAGCTTCGCAGCAATGTTTCGTGGGGCTTCCTGGTGCCAGCCCCTGGGAACACGGGCATCTTCCTACCAGGCAAAGAGTTGTCGCTTTTGTTTGTTTGTTTCCTGTTTATTGAAATGTTCCTGGGAGGAGAAACTGTCAAGGCTAATACCAGGGGATTTGGTTTGTTGATCCCTGCAACAAACAAGCCTCCTGCCTGTCTCAGCTGGCCAGTGCGGACCCTTTTCTTAGCAGCCTTTGAGATTACGTTGTAGTGGTGCCAACAGCAGGAGCGCAGACAGGTTTAGGGCCATGACTTTCCCCTAACCCTGCCGTGACTTTAACCCCACCGTGCCTTATTTGCTGCTGCTTGGCACTGCAGCATCCTCTTTGCATTCTGCTTCCACAAGGGCATATCCACTTTACCCGATTCTTGAAAGCCTTTAGATCTGTAAGATCTACGTCCTGTGCAGTTGCTCCCATGGTGCTGTGGCGTTCCTGTGCTCTGACATTTTAACCCATCTCTCCCAAAATAAGACAACAAAACATGTTTTTCTTTACAATTTATCCCGGTCTTCGGAACTGGCTCTCACTTAGCCTGTTCAGCTCTTCCAAGTTATTTTAAAAGCTCTTTGTTTAACACATTTTTTGACTTGTATTACTTGTTTGTTTCTCTCTTTTTTTTTTCTCATTTTCTAATTTTTTTCTAAACCACTTTTTAATATTCTGGAGATACTTGCTAATACATTTGGGGAGGTGATAATGTCCTTACGGGTATTATATTTTGCCTCATGGGGTTTGGGCTACAAGGTGTGGCTGTAACTGATGTTAAGCTTTGCTTTTTTCTGACCTTCTAACAAGAATTTGATCTGGGAAACTTCATTTTTCTCGCTCATACGTTTGCAGCTTTGTGTTTTGGAAAGATTCTTAAAACCCACTTAGGGCTACCTCATGCAGAGGTGAAGGGGGAATATTTGTTTCAAGTTCTTTCGGGAACCTGCAAACAGAATTGCTGGTTTGGCTCGGGGCTGCAGTTTAAGCATTTTATTTGGAAGTTACTATGGAAAAAAAATCTCCGGGAGAACGGACTTCTCGTGCTGCCTGCCTGTGTAGCTGCTTGGTAGCAACAGCGGTGGGAACGTACAGATCAGGGGCTGCCTCCTGGGGCTTCTCTGCCCCATGCAAACATGTGAGTGATGGGGAGAAGAGCCCTACGGCCTTTCTTCTTCAGCCAGGTATGGTTGTGCTGGCGGGTGGCACGTCTGATGAGTAGGGCTCGTTAATAAGGCCAATGGTCACGTTGATAGGCGCTCGGTCTGGGCGATGTGCGCCCTGTGAGAAGTTGCTCAGAGAAGTTTCCAACGTTGTAAAACCGAGCGCTGAAATCTCGCTGCTTCAGCAGCTCCCTCGTGCTGCTTGAACTCTGGCTCCACGCTGGATTTACCAACTCTCCTGGTCTGGGCAGCGATCAACCAGATGTCTGGGAGCCTGAGCTGCTTAGCGCCTGGGTCGCCCAGACAAATCAGCACCAGGCACCCGCAGACGACTGCCACATGCTCGGCGAGCCTGACGCATCCATCTTCGACCTCTGAGCGCTGGCAGACCTGCAGATGTGGCCGTGCTCAATGTGAAGAACTGCCTGAATGCAGAAATCTCCGTGTGTGAAGTGCCTTCCCGTTTCGGAGTAGGTGCACGGGGCTGGGCAGGGCTGCCTGTTGAACAACTCGTGCTTTTGTGTGAGGAGAGCCGTGCCCCGGCCCCACAGCAGGGTGTTTGCTGCCAGGTTTAGTTCAGCGCCTCTCGCTAGGCACAGAACAGCGGCGATGCTTCAAAACCGGCGTGTTCCTGGGCGAACAGGGAGGTGTTTCCATCCAGCACACCGAGAGAATGCTGTGGGCTTTCTGAAATGGCATATTAGTGGTGGTTTCTTTCTACCCTAAAAGCAAAATGTAAGTTTTCACTGCTTCTGCATTGCTTACCGGTTTTCTTCTTACCTTGTGAGCTTGAAGAATTGCCAGAACGGGCAGTTGTTGACTGAGAAACACCTTACTGATTATCAGCGACGTGAAGCAGCGTTTCGTACCCTGAATCTGGCAAATTTCAGATTTTCTCTTCAGGACTGCCTTTGTTTCAGATCCTCCCCTTACATAGCAAAGGGAGGCTAGCACAGGATAACAAAGTTTTGTGCGTGTGTGTTTTTTTTGTCGTTAAGATATTTCTAGTATTTGAGCAATGGCTAAGAGTGATGGACAAATACAGAAGTCCAGCGAATCCTTTCATCTCATTTTGCCAACCATTGCATCATGTACGGCCTTTCTTCTCAACTCACCGTTTCACTGTGTGGAAATTCCTGGAATGGGACCGTGTTAGTGCAGCCCTCAGGTTTATTTCTCCTGCAGAGGTACGATTCTTCCCTTTCCAGCAGAGCCTGGAGCTTTGGAGCAGCTCAGCTCCCACGTGGATTGTTATTGACATGCAGACCTTTACCAGGCAGCGACCCAGAGGCAGCACAGCAGAGCCCGAGCCGCTGCTCTACGAGTTTCCATTCGGACTGGAGGAGTTCGCTTTGGTTTAGTTAAATGACACCTTGTGTGTGCCATTAGGAAAGGCTTGGCTTTTTTGGTTAAAGTCTTCTTGGTGATGCCGTGACTGCATCGTAACGCAGCTGACTCACCGCGCTGGGCTCCGTAGCACCACTGCTGCTGCCCAATTGGAGCGAGGGATTTCCCAACGACCTGCAGCAATCGTCTGCCTGATGCCATGGCTCAGCGAGCAGCGTTTTGGCAGCACCCCTGAGCGAAGCAGTTTCCTTTTCCTCCTTCGTGCTGCGTGCTGTTTCCCTGGTGCACCGGGGGCTGGCGTTCCCCAGGGGATGCAGGTGACCAGGATGGCTGGGCCAGGCTGGGGGTGCTGTGCAGCTCAAAGCAGTGGTCTTCTTCCTTCCTTTCCACCAGCTCTGCCCCGTGTGAATCTGGAAGCTTTCCTGAACCTGGCAGAAATCCTTCCCCTTCTGTCGGGTGAGTGCTCTCTGAGCTGGGGAGCTGGAACGCCTCGCCCTGTGCTAGGTGAGCACCGGAGCTGGTGCTGAGGGAAACTTGTTTGAGGATTTAATCAGGCTGGGGGCACTGCAGCTGGACACAAGCTGGCTGTGCCATGCCAGGAGGGAACTGACAGCCTGTCACCAGCACCGGCATGCGCCTGGATGCATCTGAAGTGGTCCTGTAGGAGAGAGGGGCGCTCATGGCCATGCGTCTGCTTTTTCTGTACAATAAACACAGCTCTGGCCCTGTCAGGTACTATTTAGTATTACCTGGCAGTGGCTTGTGGCTTGGGAAAACAGAAATCTGTGTTAGTATCATCATGTTCTTTGTAATGCTGCAACAGATACAGCAATTATATAGCTCAAATGAAACTTTTTTATCAGTCTCCACTCACGGGTACTTTTTTTGTTCCTGTTGGTCCTCGTGAAGGAGATGGCCATGGCTCTGTGTCCTGCCTTGAAGGAGCTAAATGGGCTCTGACGCTGAGTTTTTGCTGCCAGCTAGTAAATGTAGCAGAAGTCGGGCAGATGCAGGGCGTTCTGGTTAACGAGGCACAGTTTATTTGCTGTTTGAACAGACTGGCAGGAAAAACTATTGTCTCTCTGTAGAAAGCAGCCTTTGTCTACAGGGGAAAAGGAAGAATGTTTTCTCAGGATGACAAAGTGGAAGCTGACACGTGTGGGTGTGAGAGGTGCCTATTCCTGCTTGCTAAAACTGGGGGCCGGGAGTTGCTGTAAGGATCCCATTTAGGGTGTTTAGGCTGTGCTACGGGTGCTGCTTACAGTGATGTGACTGGCAAGGGCGTCTCAGCTGAGCAAGACATACGGCATGTGAAAAGGAGTTAAAGGGTAAAACAGACTTCAGAAAAAGTCCCCAGGCAATCCTTTGTTTGATCAGAGTACTGCCCTGAGAATGCTGAGTTTTGGGGATTTTCTGTTTGGAATTGAAGGTTGTCCTAAATGACTCTGGCTGTTGCTACCTTGATTTTCTAGTCTGACTTTTTCAGCGCTCTGTGGCACTTTGAAAGACATCTTAGGTATAATTCATTCGGAGTTTTTTTTTCACCACTTTCATGCTAAGCTTGATTTCAACAACTAACTTGAATATTAGAGTATGAGCCGGGAGAAAAATACCGGCAGAAGCAAGAACAAAACAAATTTCACCCCTCTGTGTTGTTTAGGTGGCTGTCAATGCACACATCCCTCCGGATTATCTTCTTCGGATCTGCGAGAGGCTGGGACCGCTCTTAGACAAGGAAATCCCTCAGAGTGTCCTAGGTGTGCAGACCTTGCTAGGCGTTGGGCGGCAGTCTCTGTTACGGGCAGCAAAAGGTAAGATTTCCAATGCACGCGTGGCTGCGTTTGGTTTTGATGAGTAACCCCCTTTTGTTTCAATTCTTACTGCGCGATCTGTGCTTGTTTGCATGAGCCGTGGTTTATCTCATTTGCCTGTCAGCTCCTGCTTTCCTGTTGCAGTCCTGCTAAAACACAGCGGGTGCTGGTCCTGTTGCACATACCTGCTCTTGGCTGGCAACGCCACCCGAAGCAGCTCTTGGCTGTTGCTGCCTGATCTTGCTACTTGCTTCCCCTCCCCACCCTCCCCTGCACCTTGGGCCAAGGATTGTGTAAATGATGAGCTGGATTAGAGATTCGATCCGTCTGAAATAGCCGTTTTCTTCATACGCCCGAGCACGTGTGTGTCTGAAAGAAGCCAGCAGAATTTATGTTTTGCTGGGCTGTTTTTCACGCTGATAAGTTCCATTATTTGGCTCCCTGGCCATGCAGGTGGGGCCGTCAGGTTGAAGGACAGGGTAGCATTTGGGGCAGCGTTTAGAGGGTGGGAGAATAGGTGAGACCGGTTCTCTGGTGACAATTCCTGCTTGTCCTTGCTTAAAGTTAATTTGACCAAAATCCCCTGTTCCCTTCGTGAATAGAACACCAGGCCAGGCCTTTTGAAAAACCGCTCTGCTTGAGATAATGATCCTGAAAGCAGACTTTTGTGTTAGAACTGAGTGGATCTGAGAGCCATCTGCTGCTGAAAGGAGCGGTTCCACCCGTCCCTCCTCGCTACCTGCCCCTGCCACTTCTCCCCTGTAGGAGCCAGAACTTATCTGATCCTGTGACTGCTGATTCAGAGAGCTAAACTGTTGCAAAATTTATTACTGCTATTGTAGTGAATTAAATTAGCTCCTGGAAGGATCAGAGTGCCGGAGGTGACGAGAGGCAGCAGGAGCAGCGTCCTGGGAGCAGGGCAGGGATGGAGAGCAGGACCTTCCAGTCCGAGTCAATTGACACACGTGGATTTTTTTTTTACCCCTAGTTCTGCTTCGGTATGAAGCTTCCATTTACCATTAGCAGTTAGTTATTTTGATCAATTTTAGGAAGTAAGTGGTGCTGTTAAGGTGCATCATTGTAATACTCCGTGGTACGTTTCGGGTTGTAATCGGAAGGTGCTCTCAGGGGTCTCTGAGTCACGTAAACTTGCAGACATCACAGTCACAGATCTAAATGGTGATGCGCAGAGCCACCAATCTGTGGCACTATCCTTCTGTTTCAGTCCTTACTCGCTGTGGAAGCTCGTTTCTCTCCTTCCAGATGGCCAGAAATGGAAGAAGTCCAGGTCTAATTTCTGAGGCACTCTGAACAGTCTCAGAAAAATCACTATTGTTCTAGAAAGAAGGCTCTCTAAGGCCAGTTGGCAGCAGATAGCTGGAGAGCCTTTAAAGAAAACAGTCTTCATTTTAAAAACAGGGTTTTTGGGGGGTGCTGGGGTGCAGAGAAAACTCTGAAAGTAGGGCATATTGCCACCGACTGCAAAGAAACAGATGTATTGGAAAAAAAAATCCCTTCTCCCCTTTTCCAGGAGAAAACACATGTATATGCGTGTTTATTCTCAAATGTACAGCTCATAAAGAGAGATCCTGCATGTATTGGGATTCCAGAAGGACTAAAAACACATCAGAGCTCAGCTTCATACCAAGTGCACCTACTTCTTGCATTCTCTTTCCTTCCAGCATATCAAACTCTTACCAAAGTGAAGCAAAACCAAGCTGAAGACACTTTCAGTCATATTGCTTCCTCTAACTGTTAAATTCTTGACAAACTATTTAAAAAGATCAATCTTATTCTTCCAAGAGAACGGTTGAACTTGGAGGCTGGGACATGACCCAAAAGATGTTGGGAATGGTGCTTGATGCTGTTGATTCTAGGGAAAATTGGGCAGTTGGGCCCAGCTGGGCTGTTCGTTTCACTTACCTGCTGTTAATTTTGCCTGTGCAGACTTCAGACACACGCTATGGAAAGGATCTGCATTTGCAGCTCTCCACAGAGGCCGGCCTCCCGAACTACCTGTAAATTATGGGAAACCACCAAACGTGGGTGAGTCTTGACACGCAAACAAGGTGTTTTTTCCTTCTCTGTAGTTTTATTAATATTCCAACTTAAAGTTACTGTCTGAAACGCTAATAGGGGTTTTCCTTAATGGCTTTTTTGATATGTCACCATGAATTGCTCTAAAAAAGGGTTTTCACAATAGAATAACCTTTTTTGCACTATTCTGGCTTGATTCTTCTGTAATGTATGCACACGTTAAAACGTTGTGGTCATGTTCAAAAGCTTTGCATGTCACCTTCCTGTTTGGAGGGGAAATAAGCTCGAATCTTTATGATATGCCTACATAATATGTGTGTATGCCTATGGGATTGAACAGGCATGGTTACAGGCGTGGATGCAATCTTATTCGGGAACCGCAGCCAGAACAAAGCGCCTGGCTCCCAGAGAACTTTTTTGTCTCAAGAATTCAGTTCAGTTCAGTTGTGACAGAAAACAGACTGCTTGCAACATCCCTCTCCAAAGAGGAAATAATCACCAAACCAACATTTGTACTGCTTCGGCTTCAGTTGTCCACCCCGTTAAAGAACTTGTATAAAACTCAGATGTGTGTTAGGCATTCAGCTTATACATCACCAGAGAGCTCTACTTTGCTTAAACTGGAAAGTATTTTTCTTGCACAGTCTAAGCTTTCATTAACCGTTTTTATAGCAAAGAAATTTGATTCTTGCAGGCATAAATATAAGTGCTGTCTGTCATGATTTGTTTTCGTATTAGGGTATTTTATCTGTGTTTGCCATCTGAGTGTTTGTGCAGATGTATAGGCTTCTCCTGGTGTGTTAGGGGATCCGTTCACGTAGGTTTCTCTTATCTGTTAAATGGAAATCTCTAAAGGGAAGTCTTTCTATTGAACTTCATCCAACTATCACTATTACTTTAACTTAAAAATCAGAATATTGAAAGTACCTTGGGTAGTTTTCCTTCTGGTTACAATTCTTATTTTATCTCTGGAAATAATTTCTCTTTTTAAGGAGATTTCCATCAGCAGTTCCTCCTTTGGAGACTCCGGGATCAGAATGAGTCTCTGCTTCTGCCATGTCTGTTCCTCTGTGCTTCTGCACTTTCTCCCTGCCTCTCATTACTAAAAATTAACCTTTGTCTGACACGAAAGGGACAATGTAGAGGCTGCTTATGGATGAAATTGATAGCGCAATTTGCATAGGGTCTGTGGTGTTTTGGCAGCAGTGACAGGATAGCAAAGTTAATATGGATCTTGTGGTTGAAAGAGAAATGGGTATTTGCCTAGAACTGGTTCATATTTAACTATTACATTAGTATTTTCCTGCACTGTGAAACAATTTGGGTTATATTGTGGAAATTAAAAAATAAATAACTATTTCCATATATTAGTAAGGTTACTTCTGTGCATACCTCTATTTTTATCCTTTTAGGCTGGTTCTGAAGTTACTGTATAATTAGCAGTTGGGTTGGTGGGTTGCTAATCAGCTGGATTTAGATTTACTGCACAAACTCAATTTCTGTAGAAGTTGTATTTCTGTAAGTACTCCTGCATCAACCCTTTCATAAGGGGAGAATCAGACCACGTGTTTTTGGAGTATGCTTTGTTATTGATGATCAGCAGTGACGGGCTGGACGTCAGCATCAGCACAGACAAAGGTCTGTGCTGCTTGGCTGGTGGCTGTTTGGTGACTTCACAAACAGAATGTCTTGTTGGTTTTGATGTTTTTCCATGTATTGGTATTAAGAAACACAAAAGTGTTGTTTGGAAATCTTTCTTTCATAGCCTGAAATTCATTTTTGTAAACACTGGTTTCTAGAAGAATACAGTCCTCCTTGGTGTAGCTTTCTGCTGCTGACAGGGCAGCACGGTGAACGCAGCAAGGCTGGCCTTGCAGGCTGTTTTTTGCAGGTTTTGCTGTAGCGCTGTGTTTGGGACTCCCGTTGTCTCTTCCAGTCAGAAAACGAAAAGATTGGTCACAGAGAAGCTCAGAAATGTGATTATTCATGGATGATAAACCTGGGTTTCAATATTGCGTAGGGTTTGTCGGAGGCTTTTTTTTGCAAGCTACACAAAGCAGATCAGAAAGAAGGATGGTTGCCCTCTGTAGCTGATTACCAGAAGTATTTTAACCCGGGTATGAGCATGTTCACACGCGTATAGCTGTACTCAGTGAAAGCAGCACCCCCAAAATTCTGGCCCAGAAACTTCGTTGCATGATGGCCGTGCCCAAGAAATTGGGCTGTACGGAGATGGACGCGGGTGGCAGCGAGTTCTCAGCGAGCCCTGGAAGCATGAAATGTGGTGGCCGTGTTGTGAGGTTGTGGTGCTTGTTCCAAAAGGCAAAATACAGCGATGTGGAATCATCACCCTTAATACTGGGGGAAAATTTCCGAACCTGATGTTTGTACCAATATTCTGGTTTCAATTTTGGCTTGAAAAAATGGAGCGAGTCAAGGGTTTATGGAGAGAGGAGGGATTAAAGCAGCTGCAGTTAGGTGACTTTGTCCACACTGACGTGTTTTCGTTTTTTCTATAGTTGTGACTTAACTTTGAAACTCGTGATGTTTGTTTTCTGTATTTATTTTTTCCATGGCAGGGCTGTTGTGGGTTTTGTTTTATCCGCCCTATGCCAGCGTTCCTGTAAGGGTTTTTACATTTGCGTTGTTACCTCTCCTAGCATGGATTGCAATTAAAGAATCACTGATTTATGCTGAATTTGCCTCCCCTACACCTCCTGCGATGCTGCTGCTGTAAGTCAGGGCTTTCCCCAGCCTGTCCCTACGGTGGGAGCTGGCCATGCTGCTGCAGGGCCAGGTGGCGTACACCAAATGCTGCGGCAGAAAAAGCCAGCTCCTGCCCGAGCCAGCGGGCTGCCTTCCCCAGCAGCCCCTTGCAGGACTTCCCCTGAGAAGCAGGCCTGGAAAAAAAATTGCTTCATTTCTTAAAAACAAGACTTTTAATGTCAAAATACAGTTTTGAAACGTTTTAGTAAGTAGGGAGGGGAAGGGGGTAGACTTGGCAGCTGTTACGCCCAGTATGGCCCGAAGTACAGCAGCTAATTAGATAGCTTGCTAAAAGATGTTAGGGCTATTTGGCTAATTCTGTGTGGGATTCAGTAGGATTTTTTTTAAATGGTTTTAAGCTTTGAGTACAGTAATGTAATTGTATTAAAAAGGAAACTTTACAGGGCTTTTCATCATGTACATGCAATTCCCTATTTAGATATTATGCCCGTTAATCTTCTACCAAAATGGTGAGACCTGGAAGCTGGATTTCTGTATTTTGTATGGTTTTGTTTTTTATTTGGTGGGGAAGGCAGCGGTACTTGCAGTTCCTTTGAAGGCAGTGATGATTCACCACATGTAGGAAGGAAAAGCTCTCAGTCGGAGCTTTGTGTGTGCTACACGTTGCTGGTACCCGAAGCGTTTTCGCAGGGAGGATCAGATGCATTGAATACTTCCTACTTTTGTTCCAAGGTGCTCTTGCTTTGCTAAAGATGACAGCCCTTACAGCACAACTAGAAGTCTGTATTTCTGCGAAACAGTCAATTGAAGCATTTCATGAACAGTGTTTGTATTTTTTAGTTATCCATTGGAGACTGAGAAATGGGGAAATGGATGCACACAAAAGTGAAGTGGCTTTTACGTGCTCTGAGGCTGAACTGCTTGCAAGTCTAGGAATCGACTGGAAAACACAGGTGCTGAGCACCAAGTGAAAGGCTTTGTGAGTTAGGTGCCAGGCTGTTGTTAGACCTTGTTGGAAATCCCATGGAGGAAAACCTAAAATGGGCAGGGGTAAATTTCCAGCAGGATCACCTGGGAGCATTGCACACGCAAGGTGTTGTGATTACTGGGAATACTTTGAAATGCAAGTGTGCCGTTTTGATTCACACGATTTTTTGTGTGATTAAAAATCTTCAAAGCCAAGTGAAGTTGTCCAAAGGCAGGTGCTCTCTTACTCTGTATTTACATGATTTAAGCCCTGCAAAGCACAGCAGAATTACCAGCTTGCCAAGTGGCTACGACTCTGCGCTGGCTACCCACTGAGGGGGAAAGAGATGTAACACTTTTTAAAAGTTAGGTTTTAAGCTGGCATACTTAAGCAATGTATAAAAATAATTGCATAGGCAGTCCTGAAGGTACCATTGTACAGCATTTATCACAACGGGATCTCTGGATCCTCCTGCAAGAGGTGAGGAAAAAAGTTAAGGATTTCATTTCTGTTCTGCTAGGGGAGGCAGTTTCCATTTAACAGTTCCTGTACAGTATGAGATATAGGCTGAACAGTAGGTAGACAGTAAATTAATTTAGTGTATTTTGCCTCTGTAGTACTGCTGATTATGTATTTTTACATGTAAAGCAAATATTGACTGAGGATAAGGTCACAGCGGCAGCCTGATGATTTTTGCAAACCTGTACATCTTCCATGCAACTTTTTTTTTTTTTTCTCTAGTTGTGACATTTTAGTTACATTGAGGGATTAAAAATGGGCCAAATTCCAGAGCATAAAGTGAGAAACAAAAACACTTCCTGTAAATCTGGATCAGTTCACTTTTCTTCCCTATTTCTCTGTCTGCTTGTGTGTAAATGCGTCAGTCTTACAAGTGTGCAGAAGTTACCAGTGAATAACCCTTTGAAATTCTGCTTCTTGACATAGTGATTTTTTCTAACATCTTCCATACTTTATTTATTTTTTTTGTGGGCAGGCAATGATATGATGATACAATAAAGAAAATGGGTCCAGTTGTTCAAGCTGCTACTAAACCAAAGGCACTGTGCTATTAAACTAAAGGGCTGAAAGGCGTGAGAGCTTCGTGTGGTTCCTGGGAAGCCCTGCCTAGTGCAATGTGCAGGAGGCAAGATAAGGGGCTTCTTCAGGGAGCCTCCTATCGCAAGTACTCAACAAAACCACCAATGTAGCAGCATTAGATCTTTAAGTACCATTGGGAGGGAAAAAAAAAACTCATAAAACTTTGAAATCAAAAGTGGAAGTGGTATGAATTAGGATAGGTACAATCAAGCGCCAAAAGCGATCTCAAACTACGTGTCAGATCAAAGATTAGAATTAGGATCTTCCTGTGTTCTGCAGCTACGATGAGCTGCATTCAGTGGTGTGTCCCAGCAGAGTTTTTATTTACATATTTATTTATTTTATTTACATATTTATTTTCTCCTCTCCTTGTCTAGTGGAAAGACTCATAGTTATCACCAGGGAACCTGCGAACAGTGCTGGTTTTTACCTGATGGTTTTGTTCATTTAGATTTCAGGCTGTTTTTGTAAAGAGTCCTAGGTATAGCAATAGGATAGAATTTGTTGTTGTAGTTTTTTCTTGTGCCTGCTACTCTTCAGCTTTTTCCATTGATGCTGCATATTTCTTGTTCTTAAATTACGTTGTGATTAAAATGAAATGGTATTGCTGCTGCTGCTAATAATGAGAGGGGTTTTGTAGGGAACCTGTAGAAGACCATTGACCCTTACATATGATCTGGGATCCAGTTACAATGAAAAATATTTTCATTACAAGAAAAAAGAAAAGGCATTTAGAATAACCTTTAATTGTTGTCATCCAAAAATGATAAGGAAATTATATATTACTAATACCAAGTTTTCCAAAGCCACAGAGAATAAGTATTTCTGTTGTCTGCTTGTGTTTTGAATGCTTGGAATGACTTCTGGTCATTCAAACACTTTATTTTGATTTAATATTTTTTAGTACAGCAGATGTAGTGTGTGTTGTGGTAGGCATTGAAAGCATCCATCAGGAGGGGGCTCACTTTTTGGAAGACCGTGCATGCTTTTGTGATAAGGTGGCAGAGGTTCAGATTTATAGAAGTTGTTACCAAATGTTATATTAATGTAACACTTGTTTACTTTGAGTTCTGGACAAAATCCATGTCTTAGCTTTCTTTTTGTTTTTCCCTTCCAGTAAATATAATTTCTGCCAGGCAATTAACTGGATGTGGACGCTTCAGCCACTTGTTCCCAACATCCACCTACCAACAGATGAAGATGCACAAGAGGATTTTGGGGCATCTATCATCTGTTTACTGCATAGCCTTTGATCGCAGTGGGAGAAGGATTTTTACAGTAAGTTTAAAAATGTTACTTTTGAGTCCCTCAACAGCGTCTTAGTTGCTGCTTGAGATGCAGATACAGCCTTCAGAAACTGAAGGGAATCAAAATTTTGTGACATTATGGACACAGAACGTGTATATTATTTTATCTAATCTTTGGAAATTTTTGTGGCTTTAGGGGTCAGATGATTGCTTGGTCAAAATCTGGGCTACAGACGATGGGCGCCTGCTCTCAACGTTGCGAGGACACTCGGCTGAAATTTCTGACATGGCTGTTAACTACGAAAACACGCTGCTTGCTGCAGGCAGTTGTGATAAAATTGTCAGAGTATGGTGTCTTCGAACCTGTGCCCCGGTCGCAGTGCTGCAGGGCCATTCAGCTTCCATTACTTCCATACAGGTAAGGAATAATGTTTATTTTCATAAACTGTTAAATTAAAATGGTACTAATGAATGTGGATTAGGAACCGGGGATAAAACTTCTCTTTTTGTCTGTGTTTGGCAGTGTAGATTTGCCCCAGCTTGAGGGCAAATCAAGATTTGCTCTCAATTGAGAGCATCAGATGAACTAGCTGAGGCAGAGAGAAATCTGTGGTGGCAGTCCTTACGCAGCAACTGAACCAACATTCCAGCATTCCTGGAGAGTATTTGCTTTTCGGAGGAATTACTGTCAGCAAAAAATCTTTATTCCACATTACTTGTTTGCTCGTTTTTTTAGCCTGTACCTCAAGGGGCTGTGCTCACTGGTGTAGCATCCAGCAGCCACAGCACAGGTGAGGGTTTGTAGATAACCTCCACTTGTGCCCTTGCGGTTTCAGTTGTGCCAGTAAACAACAGTGGAGCTGCAAAAAAAACGACTGAACTTCCTGCACCCAATTCTGTAGAGATGACACAGTCAGTAATGGCTGGTAATTGGCAGTTTATTTACTTTAAAAATAAAATTAAAAAAAATTGGCTAGACAGAAACCTCCAATAAAGGAAAATTCCAGGATAGAAGTAGACAGTCCCCTGCAATTTGGCAGGTTATGCACATCAAGGAGGGATTGAGTGAGGACATTTAGCTCAGAATACCTTTCTGCTGGAACTTTGCTGCCTTTGATTCATCATAATCTTCTCCTACACGCCAGTAGTTCTGGGGATCTCATTTCTCCCCCTCTTGCCTGTACTTTTCACTTTTCTCTGATTTTTAACTCTGTTGCAAGTTGCTTACTTTAAGGTGATTTTTTGGAGATATTTTATAATTTGGATTTGTGTTTTATGTATTTACTTAAATTAAAAAAATGTTTACATATGCATACATCCCTCACAAGGCTTTTGGAAAACTCTGGTTATTTAGAAAATAGTAATTATTATTTATGGCTTTTTGAGGAAACAATGATTGATTCCTTTATCAAATACCAGGCAGATAGAGGATTAAAGAGGTATTCTCTCATCTTCTTGCCCCATTCAGAGTGTCTAAGCTTGTTTCATGTCTCCAGTTTAAGTTTTGTGTGGTAAAAACAGACTTGCTAGCCAAAAAGTGGGTATTTTCCATTTCCTTGTCATTGTTTTTGTGCAAGTTCAGATTCTGTGATTGTTCCTAATACTGCTCTCTGTACTCCTGGGGAGAAAGCGAAGGTGCTAATGAAAAAAATTCTTGTCAATGTCCGTTTGCAAGATTGTAGCATGTAAGGGGAGAATAAAATTATCTGATTGAACTTAAAACTTTATTTTTAGTTCTCTCCAGCAAGAAAAGGCACAACACGATACCTCACTTCTACTGGTGCTGACGGAACAATCTGTTTCTGGCAGTGGCATGCTAACACCATGAAGTTTAAGTAAGCCTGTTCAGATAATTATAATTATTTTAAAAGAAAGACAAGTTTATTCCGAATTTTAGAGCGGAGAGGAATGCTGGGATAATTAAGGGACTGTTTCTTCTCAATGAACAAGTTTCTTGGGGATATGTTCTGCCATAGACTTGCTGCTGGACCACTGTGGTGTGACTGCAGAGAGCGCTTTCTTATGTGTGTTGCAGAGCCTGTGGCATTACGATCCGGAGGGGAAGCTGCTATTTGGGGTTGTTGTGCTTTGGTAGGCAGTGCTGTGGAAGAACTTAATGCTTTCATGTTTAGGACCAAGTCCTTGTCTAAAATGTACAAGCAAAGTTATTTCCTTGTTTTTAATCCAACGAACACGCATCTATGGATGTCATCAAACCCACACTTAATAGGAAGTAAATGGTGTTAGAGTAAAGGATTGTCAGGTTCTGTTTTAAAGTTGGTGAGTATCATGATAAATAAATTATTTTTTTAATTTAGAAAATGATGGATTTCTTACTAAACAAAGGAAAAATAAGCTGTAGAAAAATTAGGTATGAATTCTGAAATAAAGGGTTTTATGATGGACATACTGACCTGACCTGTTAAGTTGCAGTGAAGGACAATGAAATGCAAGCAATGAAAAATAAAAATGTTGTCTTGTTGCATGTAGGGATCGCCCTGTAAAATTTGCAGAGAGGTCCAGGCCTGGTGTTCAGATCTCTTGTTCTTCTTTCAGTTCAGGTATGTATGCATTAGTAGGTAGCTGAAAGTATTCTGTGAACTGTAAGTCCTTTGGTGGCAGGGCTTCTTTTTACTACTATTAAATGCAAGTGGTATCAAACCTTTTTTTCAGTTAATTACAGCACTGCCAAATTGTGATCGTTGGAAACTTTCCATGCTGTCTGCCTCAAGCTGCCCTCTCGTTCCTTCCTTCTTTCCTTCCGAGCTAACGTGGCTCAGCCACTTAAGAGGAAGACAGCTTTTAGCCCGTAAAGTTCTGCAATGGAAAGTTCTTATAATCTGGCAGACAGGTGGCCTCTGTTCAGAGATTACACTTTTGCCAATCCCAGATTTGGCTGTATGGTAGGAGAATCAGTTCTCCTTAATTAGAGACTTCTTTGGCCTTCAGTACTTCCCAGTATTTCTCTTGGGACACTTTTGTCTTCTGTCTTTTGCTCTGGCTACCCAGGCTGCACATGCTGCTTCGTAGCAGAACAATAGGGCCTGTACCAGGCTGGGAGCACAGGAGTGAGACTGGGTTAGTGAGCAGCTATTCACTAATCTACTTAGTACTTCATGCTGAACAATGAAGTATAAAATCATCTACTGAATGATCTGTAAGTGACCAGGTCCCTGTGGTCCATTGTATGTGTTTGGAAATACCAGCTTGACTGGCATCCTTTGTTGCAGCACTGAATTCTCAACAACAGTGTTTTTTTACAAGCAAAATTATGTAATTTCTCATTAATTTTTGTTATCTAAAATTGAGTGCTATTCTAGAGCCCTGCGACCGTTTTCCATGTTCCTTTCTTAAAACCATGGATCCTAAATAGCTAAAACTATTTCAGTGCCATAAACTACCCATTACAATATTGCCCAAAAAAAGAATACTAAATGGAATAAAAAGCTCCCGATTCAGCAATAATTTCTCATACACTTCAAATAGATACGTTTACATATTTTGTTTGGTATTGACCAGTGAGGATATTAAATTATTCCCCTTCTGTTTTCCTACATAGGCTGAATGAGAGCACTGTGGTACTTTCTGACAGAAAGCAGAACAGTTTGTTGGGGGGATGGTGTAACTAGCATTTGTAAACCTTTGTGATAGAGCTGAAAATGTTGTATGCTTTATTGTTATGTTAAAGTTGATATGGTCTTAGAAAGTACAGATTAAAGCAGAAGTTGTCAAAGTTAACTTCTTTTTTCAGGACATCTGCTTTTATTACATTGAAACTTTCAGTTTAAAACCACAGTATGTGTCTTTGACAATAAAGCAGTAATAAAAATTAGTTGTTACTTGGTTGGCTTTTTTTCTCACAGAAAACATTGTCTTTCTTAGGTGGCATGTTCATTGCAACAGGTAGTACTGACCACGTGATAAGAATTTATTATTTGGGCTCGGAATCTCCAGAGAAAATGGCCGAGTTAGAATCTCACACGGTAAGAAACAAACCAGAAAGCACTTCTTTTCTCCCCTGCTTTACCTTATTTCAGGGACCTAGGTTTTGTATACCCTATTCAGCTTGTATTTTTTTATGTCCCTAGAGTTTGGTTGGCTCTCAACACTGCAGTTTTTTAATACCTTGAGATTTATACTTATTTTTAAATTCCTCTGAGGCAGGAGATGCATGCAAAACATTTTATGTGTATTATTCTCTCAGGAAAACCTATATTCTTCCAGGAAACTGAGGGACTGGGTGTTTTCCTGTATTCTGGAAGAAAGTCTGCGAGGGAATGGGGAGATTAAAGTAGTTTTCATGCAAAATGTCATTTTTCCAATTACATTGACTCTTGATTATTTAATTATAGTTGTGACATAAATCCATGTAACAAAACAAACAAACAAAAAAAAAACACACAAAAAACCAAAGCAATTCTGGTTTTAGAGTGTACAGTCAAACTTTGGGTCATGGCAGTAATTCCATTTAGAAAGTGAAGAAAACTTGAGAGCATTCTTTCTGAGGCAAATGTGGAAGGATTCTCATTAAAATTGAAAAACATATTAAATATCTTTGTAATGTCCTTTAGTTTCAGAGTTCTGAGTCTTGATGGTTTCTATTAAAACCATTGAATGTCTCAATTTTATTGAAAGCTGATAAAGAAGAGCCACTAACATAGTGTCAAGCCTTTCTTCATTTCTTATTTGTTACTGACAGCAGGTGATAATAGTGTTATTTATTATGTGCGTGGTTAACAATATATCAGAAAGGCCAGCTTATAGCAACACTGATAAGGCTCTCACTGATGAGGAGTTTGGAGCATTTATCTTTGAACCTTAATAGCCCAGCTGTCCACTTTAACAATATTTTATGGATTAGGGCTGAGACCTAAACTGATTCATTGAACTTCAGTGGGAGCCATGAGTCTCTCATTTAAGTCTCAGCTAGAGCTTCAAGTCAGGAAATCTAGCAAATGTTTTGCTTGCAAAAAGAACTTATTTTCCGTATTCAGCAGTTCAGCTTTGGAATGAACTGAAATTCCTTTAATTTTTGAAAGTCTACTCAGTACTGCAGACTGCTGTCAGCCTGCCCCTGAAAAAATCCTGAGCTGGACGCTTGGCTATCAGCAGCTGGAAACATCAGTGGGAGTAAAGAATAGCAAGTGCGTGTAGCCAACACAAGTATTTAGCAAAATAAAAAGGCAAATCCACGTCTAAAGCTCAGTATTCGTTTCTCAACAGTTAAAAAAGGTCAAATAAAGCCAAAATTTGCTTTTTATTTTTTTTTTGGACAACGTGTTTTGAAGTGCTTTAATGTTATGTCTAAAAATTGCAAACCTCCTGGGATCATTTATTTGGTTAAGTTCTTTCTCCATCATGTCGAGTGCTGTGCCTACAAGGCTTTGGGAGCTCTGAAAGTATTCTTATTCCTGTTAACAGGGGAGTGTAAAAAAGGTGAAGCGTTCCCAGGCAGAGCTTACCCCAGGTTTTCTGTGGTCCCGTGGCACTGTGCAGGAAGACTGCTCAGGCAAGAGCAGAGCTGCTGCAGCTTCCTCCTCCTGAACAGTGTCAGGGAGGCTGAGTCAGAAATCATTTGCATCTCTGAGCTGCTTCTGGAGTGACGTGAATTGGTTGCCTCTCTGAAGTTGTCTGTTCCAACGTCTAACACGATATGCCTGCTTGGGGAAATTTTAACTTGAAACGTGACTTTTCTGCTCTTGAATTTATAAGACCGTATGTTATAGGAGATGTATAGAAGATGCAAATTGCTAAATAGAAGCTCATCATGAAGGTCTTTTTGGATGAGTGTTCTATCTTACAGAGCACTTACTGCTATTTTTCCCCCCTTGTTTAGGACAAAGTAGTTGCAGTCCAGTTCTGTAACAATGGCGACAGGTGAGTGGCTGTCCTGGCATTTTTCCGTGAGAAGTCCGGTATTTAATTGTCAAAATCACTTTTCAGAGAAAACTTGGTGCAACAGGAAGACTGCAAACAGGCTGTGATTAATCTTAGATGAATTGTTTATAACATATTGGAAGATGTGTGCTATATCTACAAACTTAGTCTTGCTGAGTTCTGCTGTAGCAACAAAAGCCCTCTCTGACTGTGCTTTTGCTTTGCTTTTTTTTTAACTGAGCAAATTGGAAACCATATTTTGCATCTTTTTTCTGTAAGAGCGTCTTCTTACAGCTAGCCATGTTAAGTAGAGAATGGGTTACTTCTGAAGTATAAATATAAAATAAAAAGAGTTGTGAGTGAAAGTCAGAACTGTTGCATACACACAGATCAGTTAGTTTAGGTGAATATAGTAATCCTGCAGTCCTAAAATTTATGGATTGGACCATTCCTGCCTCCAGAGCTTTTGTTTTTTAAAGCCGTGCAAAGTCAGGATGCTCATGTAGAAAGGTGCCCGTAGGCATGTGTGCGTGTCAAGCTTCTGCAGCACAGCTGTGTTGGAGTGCAGTTTGACAAGCTTTGATTAGTGATCAACATCCTAATGTAAATGTTTTTATGCCAGCTTTTGCTCATTTTCCTTATTTTGCTTGGCAGAAAGCTTAAGGGATGTGTGCGTGCAGGAGCCATCCAAGCAAAACTGTACCTTTGCCAGTGCAACTGCACCTGTACTCAGAGATCCTTGTCATGGAAAATTATATGGGAATGTACTGGTATAATTGTACTAACAGTTCCTTCCAGATGATGTTGAGAACATGAGTCTCAATGAGGGTATTCAGTCATGTAGGCACTGAAAATTATTCTTCTATGCTATCATGATTCTTTTAATGAAAAAGTTATAACCTCCTTTTTATCTTAATATAAAGAAATAGAAACAAAGTAAACCTGGAAAACTTCTTGCAGGCATTTTAGAACTTTTTCATCGTGATGAAAAATTCAATAAAACTGAAAAGATGGAACAACCATTTATTAAGATAAAATTGTATAGGCTTGCATTGTTTTTACATGTGATTCTACACATGAATGGAATATATTCATAAAGGTGCTGGCTATCCAGTGAAAGCATATTACTTGAGAAGCTTTTTAAAAAAAGTTCTCAACAAAAATGACTTCTAGGCATCAATGGCCAAAGCATTATGATGTAGTTAAATGCGTCTGCCAGATGTTTGTTTATTTTTTAACAAGAAGGATTTAAAAAATGAAAATACCTGGGTAATACTTGCGTTCAGCTTCACAGACAGGGCTACCTACTTTTATTCAACTTGGATGTTTCCCTTCTCTGTCTTCACCCTTAGTGAAAACTTCCATAAGTTAATGTATTATAATTTATGCTAGACTCCTGGCATGTAATTTCTCCTTCTTTGCTGCCACTATGAACTGCTCAAGGGATTTGCTGATGTCATTAAAAAGGGAATGTGCAGCTTGTATGAATTACGACATTGAAGTCATTCCAAGGCCATCTGCTAGCTGTAACCAAATGTAATTAATGTTGTGGGATATAAACTGTTTCGTACTGTACAAAATCTGATACGAAAATTGTAACCTCACTGTCTTTTAATTATATTCCCTAGATCAGAGATGCACAAACAATGTAAAGAATAAGTGTTGAAAAAAATATTAAAGCCATTTCTAGCTTCTGTGCTGACTTGAATGGGTGTGCTCTGGGCTTGCCAAATTTCGTAGCTGCCTTTTTTTTTTCCTGTGGCAGGAGTTCATGGAGATTTTATGACTAGTTAAACACGCCAGTGTGTGGGAATATATAGAGTAAGAATATATACACTAGTATGCGCTCCAAGTACATGTATACGTGTGTGTGTGTGTGCAGAGTGAATGACAGTCCTCTGCCAAACTCCTAAATATTCTTGGCACAGGATTTAGCATGCCCTCAGCACACTGCTGCTGAGGATGGACAACTCCATAGGGAAGCTACTGAATAGTGGGAGCGTAAGATCCCAAGACAGACATTTGGGTATTAGACCAGAAGCAGCAGTGGTTTATGCTTATTCAGAATTTCATGATTTGTTTTTGTTTGGTTGTTTTATTCCCCCTCTGTAGCTTAAGATTTGTCAGTGGAAGCAGAGATGGAACAGCAAGAATCTGGCATTACCATCAGCAAGAATGGAAGAGTATAGTCCTGGATATGGCTACTAAAATGACAGGGTAAAACAAACTCAAACAAAGCACACTTCATAACATTGCTTACACACAAAACAAAAACTTCCATCATGTTTAAAACTATTATCTACATTTTGAGCTAATTTCAGTGCATGTTTTTTGTGTATTGAAATGCCATGGCCCTATCTGTTAAGTTACACAGTTGATTAGCGTAATAATGTTGTTATTAATACATTTGTAATTCCTGACTCTAGTGGTTGGGGAACACTTAGTGTTTTATTTTTTTGGTTTCTGCCATTTCTCAGAATAGTGCTAGCAGTGACTGCCATAATCAATTTCCTCAGGTCACTAGTGTTCATTTAATGCCAAATGCTGTGCTGTTTTATTTGTTGTGCTACAGAGTAGAGTTAAAATTATAATGAATACTAAAGGTGAACCAGAGAAAAAGGAGCACAATATTTGATATGCATGCAAATATGGACATGTTCAGCAGTTTCCATTCCAGTAAACAAATGCAGTAAAATAAATACATAAATTGGCCATTAAGGCTTATTTTACTCACCTGAGGACAAATGACAGGATGCAGAAGGTTTCTAAGAGATCTGACACAGATTCTTTTTTGTAACAACCCTCCTTTATAAACGCATTTTTGGATTTCTTTTTTCATTCCAAGGCAGAATTTCTTGTAATACGTAAGTACACATCCAGAGTGAGCCTTAACACTGTATTTTTTCCCTAAGCTTTTAGGTAAGAGATGAGATGTGTTGATCTGGTTCTCAGGTTCAATTGGCATTTTGAGTTTTTCTTTTTGAGGTCCTCAGGTGTCATCTGTAAGTGGACTTGTAATTGAGCATGCACAGTAACAGAAAGCAGAGATGGACAAATCCATTAGGCAAAATTCCTCTTTGCAGAATTATTTGTATTTCATATGGTTACGTTTTTAATAAGCTAACTGGTAAAGTATGATTTGGATTTATTTAGCAAGTTTTTGCTTATTATGGAGTTTACTCCCATTGATGACTGGTAAGAAAAATGTCTTGTAGGAAAAGACTACACTGAACTGAATAGCATGAATGAAAGAGTTGTGGTAGGTGAGGATTATCGATTATAAATGTGTGCTTTTTAAGGAAAGAAAACTGTAAATCTTAGTGGTACTGAGTTTCTCTTTCCGGATTTTACCCCTGCAGAAGCTATCCTTCATTCTCCTGCATTAGCCAGTAGTCACAGCGGTGGCAGCCATGCTCTCCCTAACTTCATTCTGAGTCAGTGCTGTTAAATGTTTCTGTATGTAGTTACTGATTTATTTCTTCTTTAAATTATGAATTTCCGTAGAAACAATGTAGCATCTGGGGAGGACAAGGTGACTAAGCTGAAGGTTACTATGGTGGCTTGGGATAGATATGATGCCACTGTCATCACTGCAGTCAACAATTTCCTTCTCAAAGTGTGGAACTCATCCACAGGGCAGCTTCTTCATAGCTTATCTGTGAGTAAAGTTCAAGTGAATAATCCCAAATTGTTATAAATGAACTCTGAAAATGATTTGAGGCCAAACTGCATCCTCATTCCTCCTGCTAAGCAAAGTTTGAGCCTGAAGTTTGCCATCTGTCTTGCGTTTTTTTGGGAGGAGTATATATCCCGGGGAAAGGAGCTGATGACCAAAACGCTGCTAGACCCTGCTGATTGCTGGCTGACAAGGGAGCCTTTTGGAGGCCACTGCTTCTGCCCAGATTGAAGGGCTGCAGCTGTTCTGGCTGCTGATTTCTACTTCCTCTCCCCTCTCCTCCATCTCCACTGTGTCTGAGGTACTTACCAAGCGGGCAGTGTAATAACGCCAAGCCTCTGACAGAAGTGTCAGCTTAGTACAGACACAGTTCTAGTCTAAAATCTAGTAAACTGAGCTGGTTTAAATATCCTCACACTTAATATTAGTGTGTTTGGAGATGTTACCTGGAGAAACATGACTTTCTTTTTCACCCTGCTTTCATTGCAGGGTCACGATGATGAAGTTTTTGTTCTGGAGGCTCATCCGTTCGACCAAAGGATCGTCCTTTCTGCAGGCCATGATGGAAATATTTTTGTTTGGGATATAGACAAAGGAACAAAAATTCGCAATTACTTTAACATGGTAAGAATGGTCAGGGAAGTGTGGTTTTTATTTTCATGTTCACCTAAAACTGGACCTGAAGCAAAAGCAGATTTCATTATATACTGACTGTGATCAGTGTTACAGCAGGATTAGGGGAAAAACTCCTACATATTAACAAGAAAACACTGTACTCTTCAGTAAGCAATACCAAAGTATATTTTTTCATGGGATCTCTTACAGAATATTATCCATGTGTATGGTCACATGAATATGATAGTGATTCCCAGGGTAGAACAATGAAAACCAGTAAGCCTGTGTGTTATAACACAGTGCTGTGGTCTGGGAAATGGTACGGTTGCCTTTGTGCTGCATTTATCTTAATACGCCCAGCATCAGGTCTGTTGGTTTGATTCCAGTCCTGAGCAAATGCAGCTGTGCTGCTTCAGGGCCTGAGCTAGCTTCCTGGCACTTGTGGCTGCGAAACCTGCTGGTGAGGAGCAAATACGTGTCTGAGTTCTTTCATGCAGGCTTCATGCTGTATCTTCTATTAAATAAAAATGAGACTTCTAGGTAGTTGTTTCAGAACACGCATTGAAAGTTGCTCTGAAATTTCAGTGCAATTGAAGAAAGAAAAAAAATGACTCTGTTGGTCAGTGGGCTTTAATAATTAAATGGAAAAATATAAGTGAGTCTTGAGTGAAATGATAATTTTCACAGAATTAGGATCTAATATTTTATGGGACACTGGTAAAATGTTCTTAATAGTCACTGTATAGAGAATACATGATTGTGAAAGGGATGTTCTATGCTTGTACACAGATTGAGGGCCAAGGCCATGGAGCTGTTTTTGATTGCAAGTTTTCACCAGATGGACAGCATTTTGCCTGCACAGACTCTCATGGACATCTGCTACTATTTGGTTTTGGATGCAGTAAATATTATGAAAAGGTGGGTTGAATGAATTTTAAACTCATCTGTGTCTTGACCTGATTTTGTCTTAGGAGTAGTTGTGTTACAGTTTATTCCTTCCCCCTGCACCAGACTAAATAGTAATTAAATCATGGAGCAGTTGCTGTTTATCTAAACCAAAAAAATTTAGACAGGAGAGTCTCTAGACAAGGGAGCAAGGCATTAAATACGATGTATTCACCTCCATTGGCATATTTTTCTACTAAATTTTTACATCAGGCCTTGATAATAAAACGCGTTTGCAGTAGGAGTCTGTTCTCTGTCATAACATTTCTTCTGCTGATCTTAAGTGTAGGAGTTGTGGTATGTGGGTGTGGGTATGGGAGCCATTCCAGAATTGCAAGACAGCTGCAAATGGCCATTTATTTATTTACTAAATTGCTTTTCTTGCAGATTCCAGATCAGATGTTCTTCCATACAGACTACCGACCACTGATCCGTGATGCAAATAACTATGTGTTGGATGAACAGACTCAACAGGCTCCACATCTTATGCCTCCCCCATTTCTGGTGGATGTTGATGGAAATCCTCATCCCACGAGATTCCAGCGGCTGGTACCGGGGAGAGAAAATTGCAAGGATGAACAACTTATTCCTCAGCTGGGATATGTAGCTAATGGTATGCTGTCTGAAGTTTATGCATAATACATGGATTGCACAGTATTGAGTACTACTTCACAGGGATGGTACTGTAAGAGCTTATTTATTTCAGTTGTCTTCTGGAGCTGGTGGTTTACAATCAGACGAAGTAGAAGAAGAAATGGGGTGGCTTTATGGCATAAAGGAAGTGTATGCAATTAACTTGAGGCAAGACGAAGAGACTGCAGTATTCTAAAATCTGTGCACTTCTACATATTTGTATGGCAGCATGCTTAATTGTCACATTAATCTTGGGGTTACTATGTACATGAGTAAGGAAGCAGGAAGTTAAGAAAGACCTTGAAAAACTACTTTTCTTTTTTAAACTTTTTTTTTCTTGTAGATAGAAACTTTTCCACAATGCTGATCTCCAGTAGAGATCTTCCGTTGTTACCTACTGAAGCATAATTCCTTGCTGCTGTTTCTAAGTGCTTGCATTTATAGTTAACAATTAGTCTGTAATTTTAGATTTTTATTTTAATGTCTCTTTCAAACTTTGCCTCTGTTTATTACATGAGAGCAGAAGGATAGCTTGTGATTAGATGTTTTTCAGGGCAGACAGATAACTGTGCACAACTTACAATTTGATTGTTTCTGTAGTATTTATAAATCAGAAATTGATCGTTTGGTAAACAGTCATGGCTTTGTTCTTGTCAAGGTGATGGTGAAGTAGTTGAACAAGTCATTGGGCAGCAAACTAATGACCAAGATGAGAGTATCCTTGATGGCATGATCAGAGAGCTGCAAAGGGAACAAGATCTAAGACTAATTAATGAAGGAGAAACTCTTCCAAACCCTCCACTTAATAGATCCCACTCTGTTAATGGAGGTAAGCATCCCCTCTTTATCCATCATTTCTTTTAGTGAAGCACAGCAAGGTACTAATGGAAACATGTTCAAGTTGGTGTGTATTCAGGGAGTATGTCTTTGAGGATGCTTTCTCTCTTGTTCTTATGCATATTTTAACTTGTGTGGAGTGCTTGGATGTTGCTAATGATGTCTGAGGAATTAAAAGTTTAAGGTGCAGCTGGTCACCTTACTAACTGGGCTGTGAGTATAATGAGCTCGATTGTGAATGTTTTCTAAAAATACATTTGAAGGTCTCTGTATTGTCTTGATGTTACTTGATCGCTAAGGAGATGATACATTCTAACTGAATAATGTCAAGTTAACAGTATATAATTAGAGAATGTCAGTAGAATACAATGTTGTGACAGACTAATGGCTTCCTTGTGCAGCCCAAATGCTAGAGCTAAGCATCAGATCAGTGTTTATACAACAAACATTTCTGCTCTGTCTTAGTGTTTCCTTAGAAAGCTTGAGATTATTCTGTTGGTAAGTGTTCTGCTACTGTGACTTTCTTTTTAATATGCAAAGTGATTAAAAATTTAAAACAAACTCAGTCAGATAGGAACAGCTGACTGTGAAGCAGCTGCTTGAGTACAGTTGTAACAGAGCAGATGCTGTGGACTTGTGCTGCAAGTCATCTTGAGCTTTTAAAAAATTTACATTTGCTAATAAATTAGTTTTAAGTTAAATGACCAATTACACCTTTGAATCAGGTTTTCCTGGCAAAACTCGTTAGGACTGCTAGACATAGAGTATAAATTTAAGAAGGAATAAGAAAAATGTTAGTGAAAAATGCTGAAAATACACTTGGATTTAAATTGGTGTCGTCAAGAAAGTGGCCTGGCAGCTAGCTTTGGTTCACAAGAGTCTTTTCTGCTTCTTGTGATAGGTTGTTGTGCTGTGCAATTCCTCGGCTGTATTGTAAAAAAAAAATAGAAATGCCCCTGTATTTGTGTGAGAGGGAACTTCCAGATATAGTGGTTTAGAAATTAACATAGTTACATTCCAGAACTTGCACTGATCAGTGACTTTGCCACATGAACTGCTCCATTTGTCCGAGTTAAGTAGAGTATGTATGGACTGTCTGGCATTTTAATAGCTGAATACTTTTATATAAGTTTGTGCAACTGTGAATTCGTTTTTTTTTTCATGTTGCTAACCATATTTAAGCATGTAGAAATTGCGTTGATGCATTCCCAAATGACAAGATAAATTAAAGCAACAGTAGCAGTGATTCTGATATTACCATTTTTTTCACTTTGTTTTGCTACCTAAAGTTTCAGTCTGTTTTCTTCTGAGTATGTAGCACTGCGTTGTTGTGCCACCCAGTGAAAAGGGCAGGAAAGGAGCAGTGCCTGTGGTACAGTAGATAAACATTACAAATACAGACCAAGTGGAGGCACAAGAGAAATGTTAAACCTTGCAGCAGCCTGTTATTTTAGGTGACAATCTCCTCTTTTCCTCCACCATAGAATTTAAGATTCAGAGCCTCTAAACAGTTAACAGGACTTTGCTTTGAGTCACTTAAATGCCTTTACAATTTTTCTCATAGCTTATATTCTCTGCTTGCAACAGACATCTCTAAGATATTGCAAGCTACAATATTACAGTAGTCTACACATCTCCAATAGTCCAAGGCCAATGTGTAAAACCCTTGAATTGAAATAAAAGACAAAGCTACTTGACAGAGAATAAGTGTTATTTGTTGCCAAAAGGAAGTTCTTTGTAATCCTTAAGCTTTAAATTCCACTTTTATTGATGGGTCATAGAAGTGAAGAAGAATCTTTTTCTTCCTCAGCTCTTCGAAGTCCAAGCTTGGAGATTGCATCTCCACCGAATGTTGGTCTCCGGAGAAGTGGTCAGATTGAAGGGGTCCGGCAAATGCACCACAACGCTCCCCGGAGTCAAATGGCAACAGAGAGAGATCTCATGGCGTGGAGCAGAAGAGTAGTGGTGAATGAGCTTCCCCCAGGCATCAGCAAGTAAGTGAGATAGGAAAAGAAAATTAAATTGCATAATGTTTAGTGATTCTTCCATGTTCCATGTGGTTTTAAAAAATGACTTTGCAGAAATAAGTTTGCTTTTTCGTTGTTTGTTTGGAAATGCAGGTAGTAAGATTAGAGTGGTAGCTGCTGCCGAAGGATTAAAAATAATAATTCCTTCTCCTCTCAGTTGTATCTTTCTTCAGTGGTTCAAAAAACACATTTTTAATTTTTGATGTAAGACTTTTAATTCTTCCCTCTTCCCAAAGCTTTATTAAAACAAACCAACAAAACACAAATTTTTAATACATTTCAATTCCTGTATGCTCTTAGCAAGACCTGTGGACAGATTTCTTGTGGCAAGGGAACCAGAAGTATTTTCATGTGTATGTTAGTGAGACTGTGAAGTTATATGATGATCTCATGAATAAAATGGATGTTTCCTTTATATAATTTAGGGTGCAGGAAGAATGTAGAGCTGCCAAAGGTGAAATCGAAATTGGTTTATACAGTGTTGAAAAGAAGAGAAAGCCATCCCACACCTTACAACGGGTGAGTTAGTTCACCAGGAGAGAGAATCTGTGTCAAACAGTTCTGAGCACTCAGCTAAAAAAAAAAAAAATAATGAAATTCTATCTGTTAAATGATTTAGAAGATCAATAGTGCTAACTGTTACTTTGCTCTGTAACTTGTCTGTTTTTATACTGTAATTTGCAAGTAACTGTGGTAAGTCTCTATCCATGAGGCTTCAGTTGTTGGAAGATGCTGGGAAAGGGAAAGAGCAGCATCATGGGGAATGCTCGGTTTCATTTGTAGAAATTAGGAGAAAGATTACAGGTGCCACACTTGCAGTGGCTATCTTATCTTATCCAGAGGCTGCAGGTATTTTTCTAAGAAAAATGTATTTCTTCATAACCTTCCTATTAATAAGGATTTCTACTTTAAAAAAAATACTGATATTGAACCAAAAAAAAAAAGCAGAACCATTTGCTTGTTCACTGAAATGAACAACCACAAGTCTGTAAAAGATGTCTTTTCAGTTCTAATTCTAGATTTCCTAGGTAGCATTTGTAGATGGGTAACAAAGTACAATTACTTTAATGAGGCATCTTTTAACTCCATAATTCATTATGGAATAACTAGTCTCTTTCTGTTTGTCCCTCCTGTCCTGTGACAAAAGAATGATTACCAGCCGGGAAGTGGAAGGTCTTTGAGAAGAAACCAACGCAAACGCCAGCACGCCTACCAAACACGCTCCACGATAGAACACAGTCAGCAAGGAGCGAGTCAAAACGCACGTGCACGGGAAGAATCAGACAGCTCCTCAGAGGTCTGACACATCAAGTGATTCTTTAGATAAGTTCCCTGCTCACAAATGTTGTGGTTTGACAACAGATGTGCTGAGAGCACTGTTGCTTTCAGGGCACTGAGTTTCTCCACCTAGGAAGAAACAGTCAAACCACTAAGCCTTTTGGGTCTGTGGTGTTACTGTAGCATGTTGATCTTGGACTGAGAAAGATCCTTTACCTCAATGCCCATGCAGTATTCAAAACTAGCTTAAAACAGGTTGTGTATTTTTGGAAATCTGAAACATTTTCAAGTAAATTTAATTGAGTTACATTAAACCACATACTGTTTTGGCCAGTCAGATGCAGTAGAGCTCATATTGCACATATTGGATATATATTGTAGGTCAGATTCAGTACTTTGATTTCATTTGCATCTGTAGGTTGTTGAAAGAGATCATGTGTTGGTAGTAATCAATGATATTGTCAAGGGAAGAACTTGAAGCATACCAGATTAAATACAACTTGTTCTCATTAAGGAAGCATGCAAATTAAAAAGAGACTGAACTTTGTCATTTTGTAAATGCACAGAATAGCTATAAAGCTTATTTGTATTTAAGGACTGGTTTAACTTTTAACTTTTTTCCCCAAGTGAGGCAAACTATGTAACTTAGTTGCAAATAGAAATGATAGGTGTTAAGCTTTGACCCAAAATGAAATCTTTTGTTTTTAATACAGGAAGATGAGACAGTTGGCACAAGTGATGCATCTGTGGATGATCCTGTGGCAGCGTGGCAAAGTGAAAGCAGTTCCAGGTAGAGTTAGTAGTCTTTTATTTGTTGTATTAGGTGGTTATATAATTTAAGTAAGACATTTTATATTGTGATACTATGCCAGCAAGTTCAGGAAGAAGTGTTAATGACTGGCCTCGTAAACATACAAATCTGTTACACCCCATGACAGATTGAACAAATTGCTTAGTACACTTAAGTAGTTCAAAATGGTAACCAACAAAATTTGGAGTCTTAGGAACAGACAAAAACTTCTATGTATTTGAGCGATTAAGTAATTTTTGAAGCTTTGGTAACAGTACTTAAATACAGTGTGAAAAAGTCATACTTTTTGAAGACTGACTCTTTTTCCAATCCTGCTTGAAGCATTTCTATTTTATTTTCCAAAATGAAGAATAATTTTGAAAGACTATTTTATGAAAATGTCTTTTTTTCCCTAATAACTGCTTGAAAAATTGATGCCAATTAATCATATCTAATATAAATATTGATAGAAGTTCATACGTACTTTTTGTTCATGTTTTGGTAGGTCTTAAGTTTTCTGTTGTCAATATGTATTTGTGTGCAAGTTCTACAGTCTCTTTTCTTAATGCTATGCTTTTATAAATGGAAGGGATGCAAGCTAATGGAAATACTGTTTGTGTTAGTTGGTTATTAAAGAAGTTAGAAATACTTGGATAACAAAGAAGTTAGAAATATATTTTTAAGAATATTGTACTTTTCTAATTTTTCATGTATTCTGTGCAGTTAAGACAGTTCTTATAAAGTCGGTCTATGAGTTGGTGAGATATTTAGTATTAAAAATAGGTGTAAGCCATAATCCTAGTTTTACCAAGAATTTGCAATTGATAAAATAACCTGCTGAAATAAAGAACTTACATAGCACTTAGGTAGTTAAATTCACAAGAGAATGAAATTTTGCCCTAGTCCTGACATCTGTTTCACATAACCAGAAAAGCAGGTTGAAGGATTGGACCTTTCATTCCATTGTGTGAAAACTGAAGTGCTGTTTTTTTCTTACAACTTTATATTATCTACAGTGATTCATCAAGTGAATATTCAGACTGGACAGCAGATGCTGGAATTAATCTCCAACCTCCAAAGAGACAAACCAGGCAGGCAGCTCGGAAAATCTGTAGTAGTTCTGAAGATGAAAATATGAAGGGAACAAAAGGAGTGGAGCAAAAACGAAGGAAACTTAAGCAGCCTAGAAAAAAGGTTGGCATTTTTAATTTTCGAGGGTCTTTTTGACTTTGTAAGTCATTCCCCCCCACCTTTTTTTTGGGAAGTTCTTGTGTTTTTCCTAATAATTGTTAAAGAAGACACATAGAATATTTCTATGGAAAGAAACATAATCTCTTTATTTTTGATCTTTTTGATTTTCTGCTGTATCGATAACGAACATTTCTTACCACCTGTGATTTAGTTGAGGTTGTTGGAAAGTTTACATTCCAGCATTTGCTTTGCCCTTATATCTAGTTAATTTAGTTTGTGCTGTTTTACCAGTCATTTGTATACTCTGCCGTAGTAATTGCAGCTTGTGCTCTCAATATAATGTAATATATTTTAGAAACCAAGTGGGCTGCTTTCGATGGAAGGTGAACCCAGTGAAGAATGGCTTGCCCCCCAGTGGATCTTGGATACTATACCCCGCCGCTCACCTTTTGTCCCACAAATGGGAGATGAGGTAATAATGACCATAGCAATATTTAAATTCCTACCTAGGCTGCTGAGATTTTAAAATTATTATCATTATTATTTATTAGGACAATTAAATTTAACAATGCTTTCAGTGAATCATGCTCAAGATAGGCTGAATTGGGATTTTTTTTGGGGGGTAGGGGGAAGAGGACTATCAGTAAAATAAAATAATAAAATTTATTTTTTATAATTTTTTTTTTTAAGATCATATATTTTAGGCAAGGCCATGAAGCTTATGTACGGGCAGTAAGGAAAGCAAAAATTTACAGTATTAACATGCAAAAACAACCATGGAACAAAATGGAACTCAGGGTGAGTTAAATGGATACTTCAAAGTGCTGAATGTCTTTGTAGACATAATCTTACAGCATGTTTTTCCAAAATAAGAGTATTCTAGATTGGGCATGTGTTAGGTTTACAAAGTTCTGTTGTTCTGTTTGAATCACTGAGTCCCATAATGCTGAAAGCACAGTGTTCCCCTATTTTGTGCTGCTTTACTCAGATTTCATATCAAGCATAGAGCAAATGTGTGCTAATATTCATATACATAGATGCCAGTGGTTCTATTAATGAAAACAATTGCTTTACTGGAAAAATACCCAGTTACTAGTGCTAGATATTGAGTGATTCCAGCTGTAGTCTTCAAAGGCATCCCCAGAATGCCTTTCAAAGGAAAAGGAAATGTTATTTCATGTAGGATAGAGATCTTAACACCTGCTCATGCTGACAGGATGTGATTGTACAAGGCTATTATTGAATTTCCACTTTAAAAGGAAGAGTTTCCTTTTACTTCCCTTGTATGTTGCTATGCGGGGGTGAGAGGCTCTGGGATTACTCAGGCATAACCTTTGGTGCTGTTAGCGTGATGGAAAGCATAAAGTGATGTGTTCCTCAGAATCTTCTTAAAAAGTTAAATAGGTTGTGGGTATCATGTACACAAACATACCAAGGGAATAAGCATCTTGTACCATTTTAATTTTTCTTTTTAAGGAGATGGGTTTATTGTTAGTTTTTGGTAAAGACAAATTTTATGGGTGAAATTACCTGGTCTGCAAAGTAGAAACAAATATTTCTTATTTATAGGCTTGGTACTTTAACGTGGATGTTCCCATTGTTAGCATGTTAAAATAATGCTGTTCCATGCTTGTCGATACATAGGAACAAGAATTTGTAAAGACTGTAGGAATCAAATACGAAGTTGGGCCTCCTACACTCTGTTGCTTGAAGCTTGCATTCCTAGATCCGATCACAGGCAAAATGACAGGAGAGTCATTTTCCATAAAGTGAGTAACTGAAATTCTGATGTTCTTCAAGATATTTTCTTGTGGTTTAGCAGATTCCCTCTTTTTCTTTTTTCTCTTTCTAGACATGGTGGTGGTGTTAATTCATCATTATGCTAAGCCTGGAAAGAAAATGCTTGAAATTTTGTGTTTGGAGACTGTCTGTATTGTACATGGGGAACTATGCTTGTGGGTAACAGAAGCAATTTTTTTTTTCTGTTTCATGAAGGTACCACGATATGCCAGATGTTATTGACTTCCTTGTGCTGCATCAGTTTTATAATGAAGCCAAAGAAAGGAACTGGCAAATAGGTAACTATTTTTTTTCTGTTTCACATGTTTTGCAACATTTCTACAACTATTTAATAGGTTGAAATGTGGTGGTTGTGTTTTTTTTGTTTGTTTGTGTGGACAGCATGTATTTTAGACTTACTGGAGTAGGGAAGAGGTTCTTACAACAAATCCTGACATTTAGTTATACAATTCTCTTTCAAACATTTTTTTTCTTAATGTAAAAGAATTTTATGATACTCCATTGCTTTACTTCATGCTAAAAATTCTAGAAGATTATAATTTTTATTTTGTAATTAACGTAAGGATCTAACATTTATTACTCTCTGATATTCCTTTAATGCTGCTGCAGTCTGACTTTGCAGTTAGACTGTGTGCTTATGATTTGTGATGATATCTGTAAGATGCTGTACGTTGTATTCATAACATGATGTAGAAGCACTGTGCCACACATGTTATCATAGTTTACTAAACATTGGAAACTTTTATTTGATGTTTGCTACAAGTCCTATGGCAGAAAAAGTGAAATGAGAAATCTTGCTCAGTGCAGTCTTTTTTATTACAGGGGATAGATTTCGCAGTATAATAGATGATGCTTGGTGGTTTGGAACTGTGGAGAGTCAGCAGCCTTTCCAGGCAGAATATCCTGATAGTTCCTTCCAGTGCTACAGTGTTCAGTAAGTACTTACATAGTTGCAGTGTTTTGGGCATGTTGACACTCTCTGGGTCTTCTAGGTGTTTACACACAACTTGAAAGTGTACCTTGAGAACAGGGTCCTTTTTTCCATTTAAAAATATAGTAAGGCATTATTTATTTATTTATGACCTTATTCCTAAAACACCTTTAGCCTAAACATCTGTACAGTGAGTGCATAAACTCCTTATTCTTCTCTTCTATCTTTTCAAACTAGCTAGTGACATGTCTTGTTTCTAATAGACATGACCTTTTTGTTTTAAAACCCTTAGAAGAAAAAAATGTATCACTATAATCAGACAAATGAAAAAGTGCTTGAATTTATGTATTTCAATGGATTTTATTTTTATTTTTAAAAGCTGGGACAACAACGAAAGAGAGAGGATGAGCCCATGGGACATGGAGCCAATTCCAGAAGGAAGTAAGTGTGTTTTGAATTCATGTCGATACGTAAATAGTTGTGCATCACTGCTAGTACTTACTGTTGTTGAATTCTTCATATTTAGCTGCTTATCCAGAGGAGGTTGGTGCTGGAGTCCCTGTGACTCCAGATGAGCTGACAGCTCTTCTCTACAAACCCCAGGAAGGAGAATGGGGGGCCCATTCCAGAGATGAAGAATGTGAACGAGTAATTCGGGGGATTGAGCAACTTCTTTCCCTTGGTATGTTTGGAGAGAAAAAGTGGAAGTATTAAGAATTTCAGCATGGTGGCACATGACGGAGGGGTAGATAGGGTGGAGTATTGGGCATTTGTTGAAAATTGCCCAACTAAATAATTGAAAAGAGCCTTTTAAATTTCATGTGATGCCCTTTTCAGTAGTGCTTTCCTGCTCCTGGGGCTTCACCTGTTCCTTTCAAGTTGATGGGGATTCTGAGTGGCTTGCATATAATATAAATGAGTAAAACAGAACTAATCTGCCAAAAAAACAACTGACAAATTCTTACCAACAAATACCTTGTAACTAGTTTCAGAATGCAGCTGTTAAATAGCATGGATGATTTAAATTCTGTCCTATGCATAGGACACTTCTGTGTATTTAGTTTATGTTGCTTGTTGTAGTATTTCTGTTTTACATGCATAAACCATGTTACTTTTCAGCAATACAGTTGGCTGCTGGCATGGAAGTCTTAAATGTGATACGTACACTTGAAAAAACACTTTTTGTTTAATTAACAGACGGTACAAGAGGTACAGTCCTACCCTTTGGGTAATGACGTATCCAGCTGTAGACCTGTATTGCTTTTGCTGAATTCTTAGAAAGGAAACACAGGAAACTATTAGAAGTAGTTATAACTTTCCTTCTGGTATCATCGAGGCATCTGAATGATTCTGGTCTTTTGTCTTTCAGACATTTCTAATCCCTTTGCTGTTCCAGTGGACCTTAGTGCCTATCCCATGTATTGCACTGTAGTTGCTTATCCAACGGACCTCACCACAATCAGGAGGAGACTTGAAAACAGGTTTTATAGGTCGGTTTGATTTTTGTTTGTTTGTAATCTACAGTTTACTGTAGTCTATTTGAGGAAAACACTTAGCTGAATAACATGTAATACCACTTAGGCAACATATTCCTTTGGTTAACCAGGAGCGTAAGGTGAGATTCTATTTGGCTTTGTACAAAGCAAGTCTTGCAGTATAATAATTTCTTTTGTGCACATCATTAGGGCAAAAGCTGGTATATCTGGATCTGGAGGCTTCGGTTGTTTGTTTTTTTGTTCAACATACAGAGTCTTAGTCCCTGGATGGCATTGTAGGCAGAGCATGTTCAATTTTATCTCTGCTGCCTTTGAACCAGATACTTGGGTTGTACTGTAGCTGTTAGACATAGGCTAAATAGTGCTGTAAACTGGAAGTCTCAGCTTTTCCAGTTAACTTGGGGATAAATAATATCTTTTCCTATCCTGCTCTTTCTTCTCTCTGGGGATCACTTTATCTGTAAGGCTTTCTCCAAGTGGGAAGAGCCAGCAGTTGTCTTTTGTAGGTTTGTTTTCTCTTCTTTCTATTCATTGCCAATTTGAAGAGGGACTTTTTTTCCGCCACAAAGCTATCTCAGCCTGGCACACTGGGGTAGTAAGCAGTGTGCGAGCAGAAACCACTTACCTGTGTCCCTGGCAACCTGTTCTCCACATACTTGGGTTACCTAATTTCTTTTTTTACTTTCAAACTCGGAAGACAAATAATACACACCTTCGTCTCCATCCTTTTATGTTTTTTTTTAGGAGAATCTCTGCACTGATGTGGGAGGTACGCTACATTGAACATAATGCCAGGACTTTCAACGAGCCAGACAGTCCTATAGTCAAAGCAGCCAAAATCGTAACAGATGTCTTACTCCGCTTCATTGGGTAGGCATGGTTTTCTTACTTCACAGATCTGACATCTTGAGTCCCTGAGAAATTTGGTTATGTATTTTGACTTTTGTTACTGCTCTGCAGGGATCAGAGTTGTACGGATATATTAGAAATATATAATAAGGTGAAAGCAGAGGACCTGAGCAGTACTGATGAAGAGGAGGAGGTAAGACCATTAAGTGTGACCATGAGAAGTTGCATTTTTAAATTCAGTACCTGGAAGAAGTTTGAGAAGATTTTTGCAGAGTTTTTATTTTATGGGTAGTTGCTTTATATTTTTGAGATGAACCTGTTTAGGCCATTTGACCGCTCACCTAGGGCAAAAAGCTCCCTTCAGTAAGTAAAAATGATTCTTGGAGCTTCCTGTTTTTAATCTTCTCTCAGTACGTGATATTTTGTTGTGTGAGGAAATATTAGTAAGTAGGGAGAATATGAGCTGGAGCTGTTATTCAGGCTGATGAACTAGAAGGACAGGTTCTCCTGTTGTCAGGGAAGAAGCAGACCTGATTTTCTTACGTAATTCTCTGTCATTTCCCATTAGTTGTACAGTGGAGTGAAGTAACAGGTAAAAAACAGGGTAGATATCACTTCTCTTAACTTCTTCTCTCTCCTTACTCTTAATCCCCTTAAACATAGTTTGTAAAGACTTTGAAGTGTGGTGTAGTTTCTGTTGCAAAGCAGTGATCTCCTATAACCCAAATTGCTTAGGTGTTTGTTTTGTTTTTTTTTTTCAGTGTTGTTTTCTAATACATGAACTACTGTAAGATGTAGTTATGAGGTTTCTTTGCTCCTCCAATCTTCTGACGTTTTCCATTATTGCAGTATTGAAATATTAAAGTTAAACCTGGTGCTGGTTGAATACCTACATGCTTGTGACTAGTGCTGTTACCTTGGATTAGTATTAAAACTTAAAATCTTGAGTATAATGCGTGGTGTCAAGGAGGAGTACTTAGATGTTCCTGGATACTTTTAAGTGCTGCACGCTGACCACCAGATTTAGGATCAAGAAGAAACTTTAGCCCAAGTCAGGCTGGCTGAAAACATTGGAAATTTTTTTCTGGACTGGTAGGAAGCTTCATTTGGCAGTCACTGTGCTTCTGGTATCTTTTGCTGTCTTTCTGAGATGCATTGTTACTGTAGTTTTTGCATTTTACAGAAGTCTTAAATGCACTGCAAAGTACTGCAAATGGTTTGAGATGGTTTTAAGTGGCAGAGTAGCTGCTGGCTCTGAAATAGGCCTATATGGCTTCATGTCTGGATTTTAGGCAGCACAGGAACGGCATCGTCATGTTGGGGTCCAGTGTGTTTATCTTCTTTCCTGTGCTTTCTGATGTACTGTATGAGAAATAAGTTGTTTTCTTTTTTTTTTTTTTTATTTTCTATTTACATTTCCTTGTTCTATGTTCTCTTATAAAAGTTATCCTTTGTGTAGCCAAATTCAAGGAAATTTTGTTTTAAAATAAGAAAATACTGTGAGATTCCTCTGTAGGAGATCTTAAGCAACTGATTCTCCCCTCAAAATAATTAATTTTTAATTAGTAGTAGAAAGTTGTGTACAAAGGAGTAGTTGTTTCATTTCTGGATCCAGTTTCTGAAAATAATATTATCTACACTTAATGTAAGTAAGAGACTACACAAAGTCTGAATAAACTCAGCGAACATTTAGGAAGAGGTATACAGCTGTGCACCACTGGGAATTAGCTGATTCTCAAGGACTGAAAATAAGCCATTAATATTTCTCAGATGTTTCTATGTAATTTCTGTGGAAGCAAACTTTTTGAAAAGAGATGGAGCAGCTTATCTTTTTTCCCCCTGAAGTTCTGTAAGCTTGAGTTTGAATCTAGTTTCTGTTTTGCTCGAAATATTCTTTTAATTTGAATAGTTTATAATTGTGCTTGCTGTTGTTTTTCGGTTTGTTCGTTTCAGACTGTTTCCATTGCTGTGTGTGTATACAAGCATGCATGTGTAATCATTACCTTTTCCTTTAGGTGGCAGAAGTAGATGTAGATTCAGATGCTCCAGGAACTTCCTCTGGGAAAAGACGAGTGAGTAAATATTTCTGGTTGGTTTAGCTTATGAGACAGAGAGACTGGGTACAGAAACGCTCGTTTAGGTCTGGAACATGTTAAATTTGTCATAGCCTATAGTCTGCAGTTCCAACCATGTGAATTCAGTTGTGTACATGTATATGGGTAAGTGGTGGCAGACTAAGGATGCTGCTGTGCAGGTAAATTTAATTGCTGAAGCATCTTTTTGGTTGATTGATTTGAAAGATATCTAGAACAAATCTAATTTGCCATCAAATCTGGGAGAAAACTGACAAAAATAGCTAGCCTGGATCTGAAATACTGTGTACTTCATATGGGTTTGAGCAATTATATATTACCAAAAAAAGGCATATTTCTGCAATTTGCATTCTGCATATCATCGTGCCTTCAGCTGTTTTAACCTTATTGCAGTTCTGTTTTTAGTTGTGGAAATCTGCTTGAACTCAGAACACTAGTAAATTAATATGAACTTAAAGTGAAAAATCTGAATATTCTGAAAGATGACAAAATCCATCTGTTTCCTTGCAGGTAAGGCGAAGAATAAAAAGACAGCCCATGAAAGCAAGTCCTGATGCTTGGAAAGAGCAATGCAAACAGTTGTTAAACTTGATTTATGAAAGAGAGGACTCTGAGCCATTTAGACAGCCGGTTGATCTGTTCTCCTATCCTGTGAGTACAGCTTCGGTACTCACAATTTTAAAATCTAATGTTCATCATTTGCCAAAGTTCTGTGCTGGACATGTTTGTAACCTTGGCATTTCTGAGCTGTAATGGACCATGTTCAGTGCAATGATGTTTTCAGAGAACTATCTACAGTAACTCTCTAATCTCTGTCCTAGGAGGAAATAATTAGTTAAGAGCTGCTGTTGTGGATGATATCATAGATGTTTTCATGATCAGCCTCAGGTGTTATCATCAGTCTTTATTATTTTTTTGCATGCTCTTACAGGATTATCGAGATATTGTTGACACTCCTATGGATTTCAGCACTGTGAAAGAAACCTTGGAAGCAGGAAACTACACTAGTCCGTTGGAATTTTACAAAGATATTCGCTTAATATTCTGCAACTCTAAAGCTTACACTCCTAATAAAAAGTCTCGAGTAAGTCATACATTTTAATTTCTTCTTTATAAAGAACATGGCCCTGCGTATTAAACCAGATGCATTAGTGGTAACAAAATCACATCTCCAAAAGACACCATCTAGCATAGATAAGAATGTTTAAAAAATTGCCTGTAATTTTTATGTAGAAATAGAAGCATTTATAAACTATTATAAATAAAATACTTACCAATTAGGATTAGGCTGCGCTGCCTTTACTTAGAGCATAAATTTCACAGACGTGTTAAATCCTACATGTTGTTATATGTGGCACCTAACGTGGTGATGCAAAATGTTTTATTCTAGCCACTGTCTATCAGCCGGAAGAGCAGAGTGTGGTGGGGAGAGCTTTTAGTGCAAGTATAAATGGTGCTAGGTGGGAGGCAATGGGAGATAGCATGACATTTTTCATCTCTTGAGGAGCTGAGGAGCAGTACTCCGTGCTCACCAGCAGAATAATAGCTACTGTGCTCCGTGAAAGCAGGGTGAGGGCAGTAAACTTGAAGTAGGGTGATGCTGTGGGAGAGGGAAGCTCCAGATATGTGAGTGGGTGTGAGAGAAAGCACAAAACTGCTGTTATCAAAGGTGAGTTCAACTGTTCTGGTGTTGTTTAAAGGACAAAAGGTGGGCTGGGGTAAGCTCTGAAGATAAAGACCAATAACTTTGGCATACTTAACAGAGGGAAAGGTGGTAGAGGATTGCAAGAAGACAGGTGATTTGAGATCAGTGTATGCTTGACATCCAAGTATGCTTGGTAGTGAGTTATTTACTGCTGTGCGCTCCCTGGGAACTTCCCTGTGTATTTATAACTGAACAGCTGATGAGTCAACTTGCAAATTGCTTTAATAGAGTGGCCCGTCAATATCCATTTGCTTAAATACTGCAAAGAGCCTCAGTGGGATGATCTTTGCGGGAGGGCTGGGGCACACAGCTGGGCCTTCTACCACAGTGGGTTCATCCTCTGCCAAATGCCTGTCCGCATCCTGAGGGTTTCTCGCCTTGTTTACCATCTTTGCAACAACATCCCAAGTGGAGGCAAGAAGAGCAGGATACCACATATCAAAGCTAAAGAGTCACTGCTGCAATGTAAGGGTCAGGGAACAGGAATTAAGATGTATGCATGGAAAGAAAACTGTTATCGAAGAGGTTTTGTATTCAGAAAGACCCTAAGAAATGGGAAGAGGACTAAGGTGGTGATAATGTCGTCTAGATCTTGATGGTGTTTATACAACTTCCGTAAGACTGCATGCAGCAGAAGGGTGTGGATATGAGGAAGGAATTAAAAGCTCTGCTTTATATATGCTGAGTTTAAACTACTGGTTTGTCATAAGCATAAAACATCTGAAGTAAAGTCTTGAACAGAATAGTCCAAAATACAGAGAGCGCCGTAAGTGCATTTGTGAATGAGGGTAGTTGGAGGTGAGGCTCAGAAAGAGGGTGAGGAAATGGCTTAAGGACAGCTGGCTTCTTAAATTTGGGAATGAGGACATTTCAGCTGGCGTCTCCATGCAGCTCTGTAGGGATGAGCGTAAGGACTCATTGCTAGGGAATTATAGCAAAAAACAAAGATGAGTTGACAGTGAAGTTCATTCGTACTTTCCCTTGGTACTTCAATTTAACTTATGGAGTGCCTCTGTGCTATATGGAGATTAAAAATGGAAGGTATATTTCAGTAATCAAAATATTATTTTTCCTTTAAGCTTGTAAATATTTTGTACTGTAAATAATTAAATCTTTGTCCAAACACACTTTCTGTCATAAGAATGCAGATGCGTTTTGAAAGGAAGTTATCTGTAAAGAGCCCTGCAGTTGAATGTCACCATTAATTTTTTCTTTTGCACTGCAAAGATTAAGTTTCTGCAGCTTTGTGACGGTTTTCTGCTGATCTTCCAGATAGCCAAGCTTTAATAATTCTGGCCACGCTTTCTCATTCCAGATATACAGCATGACACTTCGACTATCTGCCTTATTTGAAAATCATATGAAAAATATCATCTCTGAGTACAAGTCAGCAATGCAATGTCAGAAGAGGAAAAGGCCACGGTATCGAAAACGGCTAAGAAGCAGTAGCAGTTCCCCATCAACTAGCAGAGCATCTAGGTAACGTAATGATAGTCAAATGTGCTATCAGAGTCATTTGAGATATGTCAAGACAGTGGTAGGCAGACCTTTGTGAATAAGCAGTCAGTTAATGGTATTGCTCATTTCCTGACACAGTTGCTCTTTTGGATGGTAAATTTATGAGCTCAAATCCCATCAAAACTCACTTTGTAGTTTGGGCTTAATTCTGGTAAGTGAAAGGCTATATCATTACAAGTGTTCCCTCTGGATAAATTGAGTAAGTAAGTTTCTTTTGCCTTTGTTTAGTTGAAAAAGTGTGGAGTAATGCTTTTCTGAATTCTGTATAATATATTATCTGTGTAAACTGAGTAGTTCAGTTTTATAAGGTGAGGTTAAAAGACCTCACACACCTTGTTCTTGAAAACTCAAATGCCTTTATCAAACAGAATGATATTGTCACTGTTTTTAGTTTTACTACTTCAGTACAGGCACTGGGGAAACAGAAATCATTTGTGTTACAAGTCTGCTGCAAAAAAAAACAAGGCACTGCAGGGGAAAATGTTTTTGTGTTTGAGTCCTTCGGAACTAACAATTTTATCTTTCTGGGATGCTTTGTATCGTCAGTCCAAAAGGGAAACAGAAGCAAATGAAGATTCAACCTAAAACCAACCAGAATACCTCACTGCCTTTGACTAGGACTAGCTCTTCAGTTTCATCTCACGGTGAGGAGGAATTTTCTAATATGCATCCTTTCTTTTGTAGCAACTTCTTTGTGTAGAGTGATGAAAAAGCTGGTGCATATTTAATGTTCAGTTTAAATCCTATAATCGTAAGACGCATGCAAAACCTACCCGTTGAACAAGCAAGTAGCAAGATCATGTAAATATGTGTTCTGTAGCTCCTGTTAGCAGAACACAGCCCTCCATCTGTTTATAAGTTATTGGTAAGGTGCAGAAAATATGTCCTTGCTAAGAATTAATCTAATTACAAGAATCTGGACTTCCCATACACGGGCTTCTCTCATACAGCAACTACAAATATGTTAAGTTTACTTTGGATTACATCCTGGATGAGTCTCTCTTCATGACTGGAGAGGCAGCTGGGTGAAACTCACCTCCTGACTTTCAGGCCACTGACTTAGGTGATACAAAACCTCCCCAAAACGCCTTACATTTCAAACGTGCAACTAGAGAACAAAAGATACTCCGTCAAGTTAGCGGTGTCCCATCTTAAGTTTCAGATACCACAGAGGAACCTTTGGGTTCAGCCACTGGTGAAGAGTTGGAAGGTCAGCCGTCTTCCTCGGGCTCAAATGCACAGAACCGAAGTGGAAATACCATCGATCCAGGGAAAAGTAGACCGATCAGAAGTAAACTGACACCAGTGAAACAAGGTGGGAAAGAAGTATTCTGTTTTTCGGATGACTGGTTTCACTAGAAATGGAAGGTGCTGCTTCTGGCCGATGCTTATGTTTTTCTTGCCAGGGTCTAACGTTATGCTGTAGCCCCAAACCACGCTGCAACTGTTTGCCACAGATTCCACAGAAATTCCCTGGCCTTTTGACAACGCATGTTTGTTAGGAAATAAGCACTACTTGCGGAGTGTTGTTTTAATATACATTTTTAGGTTTGAAGTAGATTTTGGAGGTGTTTCTGTCTTGACACGCTTGCTAGGATTTGTCTGACTAAACATTAGATGTTTGTGTCTGAGCAAATCACTCTGGTCTCCTGGTTTTGAATGGATTTGCATTGGATTATTAGTCAAGAGAGTCGAGCAGTCCGTGCTTCAGGATAAGATGAACAGTGTTTACTTCTGTTCTGATAAATTTTCGTCTTAGAGTACCCGTTTCCCTCCACAGAATATAAAGGTTGCCTTTGGTGACTAGCTCAGAGTTGGATCATCCCCAGGGCACATCACAAAGGCGTGAGGCGAATCCCACTTTTTGTGGCCCAGTTTGGTTCAGACATGATGATGGTAACGGGATTGTTTTGTGTTTGCTTAGATCACTCTCCTGATGGACCACTTACAAATGGTGATGGCAGAGAACCTCGGACAGGAGTCAAGAGGAAGCTAGTAAGTGCATCAGAAGATGAGCATCTGGAGGAGGCAGAGGAAGAGGAAAAGAAGAAAAGAGACTTAAAGGAGAAGTCTGGTTTATCTTCATCAGAAAGTGGGGAATCAGCATCCAGTTCAAGTTCTGAAAGCAGAAGTGGCTCTGATTCAGACTCTGAATCAACATCTAGAACAGATCAGGATTACATTGATGGAGACCATGACTACAGCAAAGTTGTGCAATCCAAAAAACCCAAGAGAAAAATCAAAAGAAAAGTCACCAGTGGGAAGAGGAATTGGCAGGGCAGAGGGACAGGGAGGAGGGGTAGGTGGGGGAGGTGGGGCAGATGGAGTAGAGGGGGAAGAGGTGGAAGAGGTGGACGAGGTTGTGGCAGAGGAAGAGGTGGTGGCAGGGGAGGAAGAAGAGGCCGGGGAGGCAGAGGAGCCTCGCGAGGAGCCACCAGAGCGAAACGTGCCCGAATTACAGATGATGAATTTGAAAATCTGTTTGGAGGACAATTTGGTGAGAACGTCTTTGGAGGCCGATTCAGTAGGCCGCCTCGAATCAAAACAAGGAACGAGGGCAGGAGGACTGTCCTGTATAACGACGATTCTGATAATGACAATTTTGTGCACACCGAGGATCCTTTGAACCTTGGTACTTCCAGGTCAGGCAGGGTGCGGAAAATGACAGAAAAAGCCAGGGTCAGCCATCTCATGGGATGGAATTATTGACAGATGAAAAACTTTGGAACAATTTTAAAAGAACTTCAATGGCCTTCTACTGCAGGGATTTTACCAGAAAATCTACCAAGCAAGTTGTGCGGGGACTCCACTCATGTCTCACAGTGGTGCTTTTCCATTATGTCAATTTGCGTTTGTTTTCAAACTTCAGATCGCCACACTTCATTGGTCAAAAGAAGCCTTATTCATTAGGCCTTAAATTGCAGAAATTCTTCCCCACACACTACGAGTTCATCGCATTAAAGAGGCTTCCAGCTTCTCAATAAGAACATGATATTTTAAATCATGATTATGACTTCTCTCCCTTGTTTTGTTTTTGTATTATAGAAATAGCACCTTCTTACAGAGTTTTTATGTGGTTTCTGCCATAAATCCTTATACACAGTAATAATTATAACTTTTGCACAATACACCAATCCTAAAGGCAGCTATAAAATGTTTACAGTTTCTATATTGTAAGAAGGATCTGGATTATTTTAATCTTCCCAGGCCAAACAGTCATGAATTGTGCTGAACTGAAGTATGTCTATACTACAGTTACGGGGGTCCTGATGTGCTTTCTATCGGTTCTTTATTCGTGTAAAAAGTGACAAAGGGTTGGTGCCTTGTAAATATGTAGCAAACCTTTGATGTGGTGTGTCCTATGTGTGCATTAACTTTATTAAAAAGAGAATACTTGAGAAGTATGAATATCTAGACAAAAGGTGCCAAATGCAAAAGTTACTTGCATCTATTTTCTTTTTGTCCTCTCATATTTTTATAGTATTAATAGAGATTGTGCAGCTAAGGGGTAACTTCAACATTTGAAAGGTTCCTCCTCTTCAAAGCATAACGTGATTTTTAATAGTAGCTTGGCTACCTCTATTTACAACTACTGGAAACTTAAAAGAAAATAGATGCTATTAGTCAGTATGTGTTGAAGAAGAGGCAAGCAGGAGCGCAGAGGGATGGAATTGCTCGCTGAGTTGTACAGTAACTATATCTCCATTATATCGACACGATGAAAACGAATCCAAGTAACGATCAGTTTTCAGAAGCATGATGTTTTCAGCAGGTGGTAGTTTGTGCAGGTAGGCCAACTGGCTCCCACACGGTTTTGCTGCGACTTAACTCGGTGCAAATCTGTGGTGGTTTTAATTTGTCCCCTGGAGCTGAGGGGGAAGCTGAACTGAGCTCTGGTGGCTAGCAGTCCTGGTAGCTTTCTGTTCTCGTCCTCCAGACAGACTCTTGTGTCTCAAGCTTCCAGAAGAGAATTCGTGTTGCACTGTACTTGTTATACTGAAAACTGCAAACTTGAAAACAGAACTCATTTGGGTAGGAATAGTACAGTTTGTGACAACGCGAGGGAAGTCGGTAGTGTCTTTCCCCAGCGAAAGGCAGCGGTGTCAGTGAGCAGGACCAGGGGATTTGTCGTGGGGTGAGCTGGAGCTGGGCAGCCTCTTTGCTGAGTAGGGTCTGGTTGAAATATATATGGGACTTCAGTTGTCTCCTGTTGCTGAAAAGAATCTGACAGTTCCAGCTTGGTTAAGAGAGTACATTGGTTTACAGAGAGAACAAATGAAAAAAAAAAAAAAAGAGGTTAGAAATTTTTAGTGGAGTTTTTCAAGATTTCTTTCTTTAAAAAATTTTCATCCAGTATCCTTAAGTTCATCTGTGCACGGCTTGGTCAATAATTCTGGAAAACCTCAGGCAGCAAAGAGTGACCCATGTATATTCTCAGATGCAGAAGGAATTTAATTTTTGACTTTCTATATTAAGCACTAGCTATTTTATCTCGCTTTCCAAAAATTCTACTTAGATGCAAAATGACTTGAAAAAAATGCAAAGGTTTAGTTTTGTGATGGAGGAGAGTATATCCTAAATTGCTCAGAGCATTAATATGAGTTTATGGTACAGTAGAAAAATCACACTTTTTTAATAACTGTTTTGAATCAGCCATAATCCATTTCTGGACTTAATTCAGTTGTGTTTTGATGGGAATATAGTGCAGAGGCTCTCCTAGTTCTGTATTGGGCTTTAAAATATAAACACCCGTCCTATCATCTCTCTCTCATATATATATAATATATATATATACATACATATATATTTATAAAAAAAAAAAAAGTGTTATTTCTTTGATTGGTCCTCCTACATACGGTAACCAGGAATAGCATGTATGCATCAGCTCATAGTCAGAATCATACCCATTTTAGATCAGTCCTGTTGAGCTAACGTAAACACTATGGTTTCTGTTCTAAAGCCTGAAAAGCTTGAAATGCAAAAGAAATGCTTTTCTTATATTTCTGACTGGCCGAAGATCCACTTCCTTATTTATTTTGTGTAAGGGTCGGGGGGAGGTAAACACGTGGATTCCAGAGAAATCCTTTTATAAGTTGTGTATTTTAGCAACGATTAGAATAATATTAAATATGTTCTCAAATGTATCTTTTCTATGTAATGAAGTACTGTGAAGATAACAGTGAAGCATCACTTTACTGTGGCGTAAGTATTAATCATACGTGTTACATGATTACGAGCTAGACAGCAGGGTGTGCTAGAACAACAGAACTATTGCTTATTGTAAAAGAAAATGTGTATTTTTTTATTTTTTTTTTGGTGCATGAGAACCTTTTTATAAGCATGAAACAATAACTTGTTTTTAGCTGCGTTCTTTCCGCTTGGTTTGGTATCTGGGTTCTTCCCCTGAGTTGGGCAGTTGGTTTCTCGTGGCCTCGTTCCGCGGCAGAACGGTAACTGTAGGAATTCGGGCGCTTTCTCTCAAACCCCAAATCCTACTAGGAGCTGCTTACGGTTGCAGAAAGCCTGATCCCAACCCAGCAGGTGCATCGGGAACAGTAATTCGATGGAAGCCGGGCACTGGCACTGTCCCCGGCCCCACACGCGCTCAGGGCCGCGGCCTCTCCTGCCCACAGCTCTGCTCTCTCTGTAGCACTCCCATTTCTCCTGGACCAGGGCATCCCTGACCAAGCTCGTTTTGCGGTTCCACTGTGCCATGGCATCGTTTCGGCCCCCACTTGGCCCACCTTTAGCTTTCTGTCATGCTTTGTTTTCCTGTTCGCCTGTTGGTGCCCCTTGTCTCCAGCCTCCCGTTCCCGCCCCGCAGGTTACCTGTGGGGCTCTGGGTGTTTTCTGACACCCTGATGAACGTTGTTTCAGCCAGACTCTTAGGGTGTAAGGCTTAATTCGTTGCCTGTTGTTTGTCAAGGAGCTGAACTGTCCCGTGACTTGCCACTTTTTGTATGTCTGCCTTACCTTGGCCGCCCCTCGCCCCGATGGGGCACTGTGCCCACCATGCTGTGTCTACTGAATTATTACTCTTTTTTTTCCCTTGCTGTATGATTTTAATGTCAAATCTGTGAAATTGTGGGCTTCCTGCCTTGCAGGGTATCTCTGTTGGAAGTGCCCATGGAGCTTCTTTGTTGGTGCTGGAGCTGGGGCTGTGCGGTTTTATCGCTCCTTTTGTCCTTGTTTCCTTCAAGCCGTGTTGTAGCTGTTGTGTGTGTGTGCTCTGCCTTCCCGGTGCCACATTCCTCTTCCCTCTCATCTCTCCTTTTTTGGTAGCCCACCCGTGCTCCTCTTGGAAGCTCCCCAGGGCAGCGGTGGCCTCAGGGGCAGCTTCTCCAGGTTCTCCACGTCCCCAGCGCTTCGGAAGCTGTCCTCTTTTCCTAGCTTTTCTATCTCATCCCAAGTAGAAATGCCTTGTTTGCTTTCAAACTTCATTCCTTAACTGCAGATCACAAATTGGATAAAGAGAGAGCCTGGTGGGCTTGCTTAATGTAGCATCGAAAATCTTGGGTTGCTCCTCCCAGTTACAGGAGCTGGCATAGGCGTAAGCAGAGGCCACCCCCATCAACTCCCCCCTGCAGGTGAACGAGCTAAACAGAATCATTAACAAATAATAACTTTGGGAATGATTTTTGGTTGCCTAAAATCTTGTGTCCTTTGCGTACTTTAATTCTCCCTGACCGTGTTCTTAAATGCACACCTCAGGTGCTTCTGCGTGCGGGCTGCCGGGTTCAGAGCACTGAAAAGAGCCGACATTGGGCGCGTAGTAAAAATTGTTCTGGAGTAATTTATAAAATATGGAAAAAGAAACTAAAATGTGTTGCTTTTGTCAGTGTTGGAGGCTCTGCTGACCTCAGAAAGCAAGATAACCTTGGCAGGCATGTAAGGTACTGCTCCTGGATGGCTCTGAGTGTCTCTGACAACTTCAAAATCACACAGTACTAACCCGAGAAAATAAGTTTAAATCTCTAATTCCTGATAAGGACCCAAGATTGCTGTTCCCTCTTTAACCTGGGTGGTCAAGGACAGGGAAAACCAAATTGCTGCAGGCGTAGGGATGTCTTGTCAGCCCTGACTGGGGCGTCCTGCTACCGCTGGTCTGTGTCATCCATTCGGTGTTCTAGAAATGTGTTTGTGCGTTTACATTTCTTGATTTATTTTTTATTTTTTAAATCATCGTGCAAAGTTTTATAAAAAGCTAATTATTTACACGATAGACTGAAGGAGCAGTTAACAATCCAAGGCTAAATCTCTATTTAGTATCGTAGGGAGCTGTCATTGTGTTCTTACAAGTATGTATTATAGAAAATTACTGCGCATGTGCGATAGATAATTTTCAATATTAGTATATCAGAGGTTTACACATTTGAAAAAAAAAAAAAAAAAGACAAAAAAAACTCCTTTATGTACAGTAAGTAACAGCCTGCAAAACTTAGTCTGAAAGTTGTCTTTTTTAGTATTAGAAATGCAAAGACCTGTTGGAAGCTTGTACATTTTTACTGTGTCATGTTCAGCCCACAGCAAGCGTACACAACTGTGCTCTGAATCCCTGAAAACGTTCCGGTGGAATTGCTGTCACAGCCTTAACTCTAGTGTTATAAAAATGGTGCTTAAATACATTTACGTGCGTGGATGTGGGTACCTGACCAGGCTTTGTGAGAATTTCAAGTCAAACGAAGCTGCGCTTGCGAGTTAACGCTCCTGGCTAAGAACGGCGGCCACGTGTTAGCCAATTTCCAGCCTGTGGCTGGCCGGCAAGTGGTTCAGCTCGTGGGCAACCAAGAGCAGGTTGGCTTCTTGGTGTGCTTTTGGACCTGGCCGCCCTGCCGGCTGCGGGGTCTGGCGGCCGGGGGGCTCGGGCTTCCTCGCCCCGCTGGGAAACCCAAAGGCGCCGACCCTCTTCTTCAGACGGCCTCCTGAGAGCGGGGGCTGCTCAAATCCACCCCGAGCCCCCGGGCTGGTTTTGTGTTCTCCTCCGTAGCGATACCGACATAGAGCTCTTCATTCCTCCCCGAGTCCTTAGAGCAGACGTCACTTAGAAATAGCACTTGGTGTTGGAGCAGCGACATTCACGTGATTTAGGCTCTACAGTTCATGCTCTGGATGATTTAAAATACTCCAAAAATGCACAAAGCTATTAGAATTATGTACTTTATTGATTTTTATTTTTTTTTTCAGGTGATATTTATGCCCATATCTTCACATCCGCTATCTCAGGTCCCTTTAAATGAATACTTCAGGGATTTTGATGCCACTCGTTGGCAGACCAAATGTAATATTTATATGCAATGAGCTGTTAGTTTTTGTATTGTACAAATGTAAATTTGTAAAGATTTTTTTCTAGAGTTTTTTTGAAGTCACTTATGTAATCTAGGATGTTTCATTTTCCAGCTGTGGGATTGTCTTAATAAAAAAGATAAACTCTTCCTCTGGTTTTGCATTGCTTACTAAGGGGTTTGGGATTAAAAAGACGAAAGCTGATTGTTCTTTTTTTTTTTTTTTTTAACATGAAAGCACTTGGTGATTTAGCTGGATAATTCTACACTTATGAACAAGGACACCTGTATAAGTGGATACACTCGGACAATTTCTGGAAAATCGGCTCACCGAGGCCTTGGGGCTAGGAAAAGGGAAGCTGGGAGGTGACAGGGACATGGCAGAGCTCGAGGGGGGTGGGATGAAGACCCCCAGTGGGGTGGCCGTGGGCTGTCTCTGCTGGGCTTCTGGTTCCAGCAGGGCCTGAGGGGGGCCTGGGCTGCCCAGGGAGGAGCCCCCTGGAGCATCTCGCTGTTTTAGTCCTGATTTCATCACCTGTTTATATGCTTCGAGCTGCAATGCAGTTAATTCCTGTGCACCGTGAGAAAAATCCAATACTCTGTGATACTGGACTGCTCTGTTTTCCCTCTGCTGCTGAAGAGAGAAGGATAGAAACTGCCCAAGGAGTTTTTAAGCAAATTTCCTTGCTGGTTTCAGCGTGGCTTCTTCCTGCTGGGCATGAATGCCCCATCAGTCGTCGTGCTGTGGTTTTGTGCTCTGCTGCCACAGGGCTCCAGGAAAATACTTAAATCTCTCTTTGTGGTGATGGGAAGATGGATTTGGGGCTCCTCTGAACTTTTATTTTAATTTTATTTAATATTATATTTATTTTATTTTATTTTTTTTTCCCCAGAGCCGTTGCTGCGTGCTTGCTGAGCTCCCCAGTGCAACGCAGCCATCGCCTGCTGCAAAGTCCATGCAGGAGCATTTTACTTGACTCATTTTCTGCTGCATCGAACATTTCCCTTCCTTTTGTGTGTTGATCTCAGCATGCAAAGCACGCTCTTTTTTTTATTGTTTTCTTGAAGGAGGCTTAGGTATGAATGTATATTTTAATAATTTGTAAGGATTCCTGTGCTTGGCGGGCAAGGTGTGGGGCTCAGCAGAGCCGGGTCCTTCACCCTTCCCTGCCCTTTTGCTTCCAAACAGGGGGCTTCAAAACTTGGATATTTCTGCATTTAAAGCTGGCGTGGTGCAAAAGGGACGAGAAGTTAGGGGTGAAGGTGACCTGCGGCTGGTCTCCAACAGCAAGAGCAGCAAATTGAGCGGTGTCCCATGACTTTCCACACCAGGATGGAGTAACTGGGCACCAAAATGACTTTTTTCCTTGCTATTTCACGCTCAGCTCAACCTCAAAGGGGCTACTTTCAACATCATTCGCCCAATCTTTTATGCAGAGCCTGGCAGACGGAATAACCGGGGTGAAGAATAGCAAGAATGGAGGAGCAGGGAAGATAAACAGGCTTGATAGCGCAGCACATAAGCTGCTTGTTTTGTGCTGAAATGGGAACATGCAGGCATTTTTTCCAAAAGAAGCAATTAACACTTTTTAAATAGCTATATTATGCAGTCAAAAAGAAAAAAAAAATTGCTGTGTTTACTGCAGTTGGGAATGTATTAGGTTTATTCACTGTAACAAAATGGATTTTGTTTAAGACGGGAAGAGATAAAAGACTCGAAAACCAAACTTCTGATGAAAGTTCCTGAACGCACGACTCTGAGTGAAGGAGGAAAATAGATTTGTTAGCGCGGACAGCAGCTATTAGTAAGTCTGCTACATAAATGCTCTCTGATTCTTAAAGATATTAGGTATGAGGAGTGTTTTGTGATTTCAGACACAAGAGGCTTCTTGTTTGCACTAAAGTTTCTCCAGTTCTTGTTGCAGCATCTGCAGGGCAGCTGGGATCCCCTCGGTTCTGCTCCTGCCCCGTGTGGGTGCCCCTTACATCCCCTCTTCTTCTTCCCATCCTCCCTAACTGTGTCCTGCTTTGTTTTCACTTACAATCATTTTTTTTTTCCCAATCATCTCTCTCCCAAACTCTTTTCCCCAAAACTACGCCTGTTTTTCTATTGCTAAAGACAATTCTGCCGCAGATACAAATAAAGATGCAAAAGCACCCAAGTGTCCTACACCTCTTGGTGCAGATGGCATTGGGTCCACTCCAACCGTGGGCAGAGCACAGAGATCTTTGAGGACAGAGTCATGGGGTGGGAGCTGGAGAAACTCAAGTGGAAGTTGGCCGCAGACGGGGCCTTGAGCTGTTTCCTCTGTTTTTGCCCCATTTTCCGTGCCTACTTAAAGTTTAAAACATGTAAATCGCGAGCACAGCAGATGTGCATCAATCTCCTGCGCAAGAGAGAGCTGCGGGATTGTTCCCTTTTGTCTCGGAGCTGGTGAAAAAGCGCTGGAGGAAGATGTTGAAATGGGCACCCCGTGCGTACAGCGCCGCACAAGGAAGCGTGCCCGCTCTCTTGTGCTGCCACATAATGGAGTTAAAAAGAAATAAGTCTGATTTCCATACTGACTCATTGCTCGCACTTTGTTTAGCGACTGTTGAATCCAATTTCGCTTCAGCTGCTTGCGAGGCAGTGACAGGTGCAGAATCTCCTCTTTTTGTTCGCACGGCAGATGCAAGCAGGGGAGAGAGCGCTGTGCTTCGAGCCCAGCAAGCACCAATAGAATAACGTCAAATTAAGCCTAAAACATTTCTGATGAATAAAAGCAGAAGCGTACATTTCCAGGAAGAAAATATGTCCTACAAGAAACCCAAGTTTTCAAACTTGCAAAATGGGGATTTGTTTTACCACCAGACGTTTATAATTTATTTTAATGTTCTTGGAGCTCGAGTGGCAACAGCTTCGCAAGTGGGGAAGGGGCAGGTTCCCTTTTGGAGCCATTCCTGCTCCTCTGCCACCACGGCTGCCCGAGGTTCACTCCCAGCAATACTTCGTATTCCTTCCCAAACCCACAGCTTCAGCGTGCCCAGCACACGGAGAGAAACCAGGCGTGGACCCAGCACCTTGGCCACAGCCCATGCGTTTCTCACCATAGCCCGCTCTTCCAGACGCCAGCACCACAAGGTGCCTGGGCAGGAGCTGGTTCTCTCCCTCCAAGAACATTTCTATGTCTTGGTGGGTCCCTGGCCTATATCAGAAAGTTCAATAAATTTGGTTTCTTTCAAGCATTTTCCTCCAAATCTGGTAACTCATGTGTAGGCTGTTGCTAAAAGGGGGAATGGCATTGGTTTTTGTTTGTTTGTTTGTTTGTTTTTCTTTTTTTCTTCTTTTTTTTTTTTTTCTTTAAATGGCTGATTTTCATTTAGGAAAGGCTAAAATAAAGGGAGTGGTTTCACTCGAGTTTGACCACTTCACTGCTTTTCCAGCTGGGGACCTGCAGCAGGGCAGGAGCGGCCGTGTTAGTGGCAAGCTCTGCTCCAGGCTCCGACGGGACCCCTTCCCATCCAGCACCAGCACCAGCCCTCCATGGAGGCAATCGAGACTGGGAATGTCCCCTTCCACCCAAAAATCCCCAAGAAAACACAATTTCAGCATGTAACGGAGCAGCGAGAGGAGGCACCGAAGGCAGCAGCCCATTTTGGTGCACTGATGGAGTGGGGCCTGCCGATCAACCTCACCCCAAACTGGCGTATTTCCACCAGCCTGCCGTGTAATTAAAGCCCTTTATGCATAGTAATGGTTGCGCTAATTAAATGTTGCTGTTTATTATTAAATAATGGAGCTCATTAGCATGTGCTGTGCTGCGGAGATGCTCGCGGCGCAGCGCCGGTGCCTGGCTTGACCCAGCCGAGCTGGGGATGCGCTGATCCCAAACCGGTCCCCGTTTTGTCACGTTTGTGCTGACAGCATCGAAGCATCTGGACTTGTCTGGGCAGAGGTATTTTAAATTGGGAACATTTTAATAGGCTGTGCAGTGAAACATCCATATGCATGCTGCTTGGGGTCACTTTTGATCCCTTTACAGCGTTCCATAGGCACTGGAAAAATCGGATCTCCGGCACATTCCCACGGGGAACATTTTTGCATTTGTACAAAGCTAAATTGATTGCAAGCATGCAGCCAGTACTATGGCAAATTTAAGCTTGTTGTTTTGCTGGTACATCGTATAACAATGTTTTTATGAAAGCTGTGTAGTCGCTACACAGATAATTTTCAAATTTCCTGAGCTAAGCTGAGCGGTGGCGTATTAAAGATTCATATATGTTGAAATATTCACAGTATAACGTCTTAACACACACACACACCAGTAATTCAAAACACTCCAGCCTTTGGGTCAAAATACCAGCTGGGAAAATAAAAATAAAAAAATAATAATCATAAAAAAAAAAAACAAACACGAGGCAGTGCTGAAACCCGACTTGTTTTTACCACTCTGTTGCCCACAGCCCGGGTGAATCAGAGTCCTGTTTGCTCCTCGTTTCGTGTAATTTATTATCAGCGGGGCCAGCTGGGACCACTGTGGGTAACGGGCTGTCAGCGTTCCCATTACCGGCGCTTTATAGCTCAGCCAGAAACGTTTACTCAGAACTGCGATGCTCCAGACCCTGTGCTTAGGAAGGCTTCTTCTTTTTCCCCCAGAACTTTACTTTCAAGCGATTTCTTTAAATAAAAGCTAATGAAAATAAGAATCTCTAAAGCTAGAGGCTTGTGATGGCTTCTTTACCCCTGGAGGGAGGCAGGGAGCTCTCGGAGGCACCTTCGTTCCCTATAGCTGCAAAGCACGTGTACGCTCACCAAAATAGCTTCGTGTTAGTTCAGCAACATATGGTGGAAAACTGCAATTATTTGGAAGCAAGGTCGATCATTTACATTTTCACGTAGAGTCTAAAGTGCAGAAATTCACCCCAAGCTGTAGAAGCCTTGCTCCTTACGTGACACGAGAGCAGACGTCATCACCACGAGCAGCGTAAAGTCCTGGGGGAGCCGACCTCTTCTCAAGCAGCCCCGAATATTTTTAGATCAGTGGAGGACTCAGGACCTTGCACCTTCGCTGGAGGCTTTCTCCTCTTTGTGGCTGGTGGTGAAAAGATCCCATTAACACAAAGTTACGCTCAGGATTTAATGCGGGCCCATTCCCTGCTGCCATTATACAGTAGCCATTGTCAATAAAAAAAAGTCTGCTTCCAGTTAATGTGTTTTTCAAAAGACTTGGCAAAAAATGAGTTTTTAAAAGATTTTCTGCACGTTGTGGTTGTGGGTCCTGGTCAAAGCTAAGCCACGCGCTGCGAGCCCTTGGGCTGTGGGTTGGTGATGCACCCAGACCTCACGGGCACCTGTAGGGGCATAAGCCAAAAACACCAGTTTGACAGAAAACCAAAGTCAAAATTCCTTCTGCTAATATTAGCACAGCCACCTGGAGCTAGGGAACTGTCAGGAAAAGCTTTGGGAAAGCATTGCTGCAGCATTGCTGAGCTGCTCACTCCTTCGCATCAGTCCTGCTTCACAGCACACAAACAATACCCACGGATGCATTATTTCCACCGCTATTTCCCCAAGGAGCTGGCAAGAAACTGAATTCTTTTTTCTATTTTGGTGCACAGGCAGTTTGTTGCTTCCAGCAGCCGAGCCTGGCTGCGCTGATGCCAGAAGCAAAGCTCCGTGCTCAAAGCCCAGCACCCAGCGATGAGCGTCTCCATCACTCCCCATTACTGCACAAAGGATTTACAAAGTATTGCTTTGTAGTAACCCATTAAAAACGGGCAATGGGGATGTGAATTGTGAAACGGGGTCCTGATCTGTTTTCTGTCCCCAAGTTTCACACCAGTGCATGCTTCTCTCTGCATCAAGGTCCTTGATGCAAGGATTAGGTCAAAATCAGGTACTAAGGGGAGCTGAGTGTTCAGAAGGTGAAGCGGCAGCTCCTGGTGGCTTGGGAGAAGCAATGAAGAGGCTGTTAATTGGGGAAATCCCAAATTAGAGGATTTTGGAGTCAGCAAACAGACTGCAATTGCAGAGCTGATGCTGCGGTGGACCTCAGGAGCAACCCTCATCCCCGTGGCAGGCAGGAGGGTGCCTGCTGGAAAAGCAGCAGCTTGTCCACAAGGGTTAGGGGCAGGGCCAGGTTGTTAAATCCAGCACTAGCTGGATTGTCCTCCAGAGGCAGGGAAAAGTGTAGGCAAAACGAAAGACGCAGCTCATGAAGGTGGCTTATAAATAATTACCATGACAAGCTTTAAATAGCCTCGTGTTTCTCAGAAGGACGAGGCTCAGGGGCAGGGCTGGGCCCTTCCCATCAACGCCAGCACAGGCTGGTGGCCCTGCAAGAAATTGTAGTTGGTGCCCCTGCTTGGAAAGGCGTGGGGAAACCTCGGCCTCAATTCCTGCCCAGCCCGGCTGGAATTTCTCATCCTCCATCCCATCCGTCATGGTTTTGTCCCTGTAAACTTAAAGGGAGTCAGATTACTTCTGAATCGATCCCCAATTCATTACCCCTGCTGAACACTGTGCAAAGCAGTGATTTTGTATCTCCTTCCCGGTACCCTGCTAATGGAAATCTTTGCCTACAGGCAGTGAATTTCGGCGGTGGTGGTGGATGAGTCTTCTGCTGCCCATAAAACCCAGAGAAACGCAGAGATATTGCCTGTGTTTTCCCATTTTCTTTCTTTTTATAGTTGTCTGCATCCAATCTATCATAACAGATGTCTTCTCCTACTTCCTTCTACATTTTTTAAAGGTCTGACTGGTGAAACACCTTAAAGAAGGCAACAGGAGCATGACTGTAAACTGGCAATTAGTGGGAAGAAACACTCACTTATGATTTTTTAATAATTTCTATGAAACATTAAGAGTCATATTGCTGAAACCCGCTTATTTGTCTTGCGCTGAGAGCTCATCAGAAGCACTTATATCGCTAAATTGACCAGCAAGCCACATTTAGAGAAGTAATTTAAAATGGAAAATATCAAGTGACTTACAAAATGCAGATCCTGGGGCAGAGGCTTTTACATCTGTTAGGTCCTGATCTTCCTGCCACTGTTAAAACCAGCAGCTTTAAAGGCAGCAAAGCAGAGCCCTGCAGCTTGCAAGCTTACAGCAGGCAGACCCGGTCAGTCAGAAGCGTTTGTGGTATTTTGAGGGACAAAAATAGGATTTGGCCACCACCAGCCCCTGGAGAACCAAGGGTCAAAAGTGGTCCTCGAGGAACACTCCAATTATTTGATGTAGTTTGGCCTTTTAACCTCTCCTGATTCAATTAAGCCTGTGTCAAATCAGGGTATTGCCACCATCTTAAGAGGGTTTTGAGGCTTAATTAAAGGTCTTTGAAACACTTGGAAAAAAGATGTCGAAGAGCAAACCACTGATGAAAGGAGATTACTTCAGGATTAGCCAACACATCGTGTTCTGGAAGACCGGCTGAAGCCTGGGACCCCCTGGGAGAGGAGGAGATTTTCAGAGGCAGGTTTGCAGCTGCTGGACATGGGCACTGGAAACCAGCCAGCAGAGCCCTGCTCCTCACCAGGAGCCTCTGCTGGGAGCAGGTCGGCAGGGCTTCACCCACCAAGGCACTTCTTGTCCCTCCCCCGTGGCTTCTGCAGTCTGGATGGGACTTCTGACACCCCGTTGGGGCAATACTGTGGTGTCCCCATTCTTTTACAATCCGGTTGTACAAAACATTCAAGATTTATAAATGTATTCTTATAGATGCTCTGTTCTCCACTGGAAAGAAACAAGAAAAAAAAAACAACCCACAGTTCACAGTTTAATTGCATTTCCATTTTATTATTTCTCTACTGTTTATAGTATAAATAAGGAAGGCTGGGATTTTGGAACAGACTCCTGAAGATCTCAGTTAAAAAAGCTGTTACTTTATATTCAATGATTGAGAATTCAGGTCCCCAGCAATGTGGTTATTTTGCTTAGCTGCTATAAATACTTTATGAAAATGTCTACCCTGTCAAAGAGAATATGAGTTTGCTGAGTGTTGAACAGAGCTGCAGGAATGCGTATTAAAGATTCACAAACCAGACCATAGGCTTCATTCAGGAGAGCCTTTTTCTCGTGATTTTTTCAGCTGGTGGTATGCTTGGAGGACACGAGGATGTTGGTATCGTCCTTTGACTAAAAAGCTGATTTAAGGCAGAGCTTAATGGCCTTATTGAAAGAAACACGACTTTCAAAGCTGGCAATTAAGAACTCGGGATTTTGGCAAAGGCACCACATCCCCACCACCGAAATTGTCCCCGTTTTGTGCTCACACTGGGGTCTGCCTGGCTTGCAGGGAGCGAGCCCTGGATGCAGCTCCCAACCCGGGATGCAACACGATGGGGGCTGAGCACAACAGAACGCATCCATACTGTAATTACATCCTGAATTGCATTTGTTTATTAAATACTAAGCTATAGCTATCAGATTTTAACTTGCCTAATTTTTTTCCCTAACAAAGCACGATTTATTTGAATGGGCGCAGCAATCAATTACTCGGGGCAGCGTAGCGCGCTGCAGTCATCTGGGCTCTCCTCTGTCTTACTGCACTTATTTCTTTTCTTTCTGTTTTTTTTCCAAGGAAATGTAATCTTCCACATGTATTAGCATAATTTCTTGTGAATGTGACTGTGCTAAAGTCATTGACTAATGCAGTTTGCAAACCAGAATATTTTTCAGGGAGATTACTTCCTTCTGGGGAGCTATGCAAATACAGCCTTATTTTTATTCAAATATCTTATGAATTATCAGTGGGAAATTAGTTTGTGATTGTTCCTCAATCATTACACAAGGCACCTGTACACCGACTGCCTATTAGGAGCAGCTATTTATAACACTTAATGAGTCAACTCCACCAAGGTCAGATAATATAAATGGTGCTGCTGGATTCGCACAGGCACCATTCATTAAGGATTAGCAGCTGCTGTCTAGTAGCAGAAAAACATTGAAGTTGCTGCTTTGCCTTCACTAGTTGCTTTTAGATAAACATCCCTTGGAGTTTTGCTTTGTGGTATTTTATGTGTTTGTGCAATACAGATACAGGAGATAGCAAGTAGCGGCTGGGATTTGGTAAGGTCAGGCCTCTGGCTTTCAGGGAGCACCTGGGGCTGAACGGTGATGAAATGCGTATTTCTGTGCCACGAGATCCTTGCTGACTGTTCAAATTTGTCACCACAGCCGTGAAGCCAAGCACCAGGCGGCCGTACCCCAGCCAGCGTGGGGCCTCGCGCCCTCAGCGGTGACAGGGACACCAAGAGCGAGCCCTGGGCACCAGGCCTGGAGGAGCTGGGGGCAGCTCCTCAGGGACCCCGTCAGCCCCAGTGTCACATCCCCGCCACGCTGGTGTCCCCAGGACTTTGTACCAAGCACAGAGGAAGCCACCCAGGAGCTGGCTTCATTTCCCAGGCCGCCTGCCAGCCTGCGCCCACCGCCTGCCAGCAAGCTTCAGCAGTAGCAGCGCTTTCGGGAGATGCAAATGCTCCCTTTGGAGCACTCCCGGTCCCCGTCCCTCATTTCTTTCATGAAAGTTCAGCAGAGCAAAGCCTCGGCTGTGGGGACAGTCTGGGGTCGCTGCTGAGCCTGCATTGAGGCGCAGGAGGAGCAGCAGGCCAGGGAGCATACCACCTTTCGTCTTTTACTCTACACATTGAACCATGAGTTTTGGGTCATTGTAGTTAAGCAAACAATTCTGTTTTAGAAAACTTTGGCTGTTTTTTCAACATTTCTCTCCTCGTGGGCATGGCAAAGCCCCACAGTAAGCATCAGCCACTCGACCTGCCTGGCCTTCGAGTAGGGGAGCCCTGACCCCATGACGATGTGATTGCACGGGACAGCAAGAGCAAATCCTCCAGCAACCCCTGGAGCTCAATGGGAACCCAGATAATTATCCCCCAGCCTTGTCCTGTCTCCGGGGACAACTGTGAGGAGCGGGGTAACGCATGGCCTGATGTCAGAGTCCAGTGAAGCCACCGGAGGAATTCTCCATCGGTGCCATTCCCATCCCCGTCCCCGCTGCTGTCGGTGCCACGCCGTGAATGGGAATGAGCAGGGGAAAGGTTGGGTCTGCGTTGGGACCCGGAGTGCTAATGAATGTTAACAGCTCGTAAAAGAGCCTGTGCTCCTCCATATTAATAATGCATCCAGCCAGTAAGGAGTGATTATGCAATAGAAACAATAATTGCAACATTTAAGGGAAAAAAAGCAGATGAGCTGATGTGAAAGTTCACTTCGTTTGCACAGCGTAATTCTGCTTTTTATCACGGTGTGCGAGATGACTAAATGTTGGATGACAGGGAAAATGGGGAGGTCATCTGTCTTTTGCAAGTATTAGTGCTCTGGGTATTTGGATGTTAACATTTTAATGGCCTTTCTTTGAGAGGGGGCACGAGGCAAGTGCCAGAACAAGCGTGCTATTTCCCTGATCTCTACAGATGTTCCCTGAGCCTGGCCCTTCTCCTTTCATTTGCAGAGCGCATCTGCCTGGCTGGATGGGAAATGATTCATCAGGAGCTGAGAGGTGCTGTGCAGTCTTATCCACATGGTTGTATTTTTCTCTAATTCAGACTTTTTTTTTTCTTTTTTTTCCTCCAGATTTTAAGAGCAGATTGCTTTTTGTTCCCAACAATGGCTGCTGGTGTGAGGTCTTGCTGGTTGGTGTAGGGGCTGGTGGGCATCTGCAGTATGGCAATGCTGAGTGTCGCCTTCCTGGGGCAGGCACAGCTGGGAGAATCCCAGAGCGGAGCAGGGAGTGTTTTGGCCATAGGAGCCTCCTCCTTGCCCAGCCTAAACCAAGGGATTTCAGCAGTTTTTCCAGCACTGGCTGCGTCTTTTTTTTTTTTTTTTTTTTTTTTTCTGAGCAAGCAGAAGGCAGAGGTTGCTCCCTGCTCACTTCATAACGCTCAGCTGGGAAATCCCAGGGACAGGGAGCAGAAATAATTGGATAGAAAATGACAAAGTGGCATTATTACATATTATAGACTTTCTGCTGAATCGATACATGTCAGAATGCGTTTTGTAGCCCGGAGCTATCAGCTACAGAAGTTCTCCACAGCGCTCCTCCAAGTTCAGTGCTTTGGTTTTCCTTTGCACAGGCTGAGCCCATCATTACCTGGGTATTTTCCAAGCAGGAACCTGGGAAAGCACTGCTGCTTATGCACAGGTCTCCTCTCCTCAGTAAATTTCCACCCCGATTAACGAAAGGCTTTACTTAAAATAGCGTCCTTCCTCCCTGCTCCTCTCCCTCCCTGCTCATCTCCGCACCAGTTTTGCATCTAAGCACTTAATTAACCAGGGAAGCAGAGCTAATAGCTACAAGGGGCAGCACAGCCCACAACATGCTCAGCACAGCGGCCTCATCCTGCCCTTTGGCTGAGTGCTGCAGCAGCGCAGGAAAATGGGCTCCAGATACTGCTGGGGCAGGACAGCGGGTGCAGGAAGGCTGCTGCCAGCACCCACGAGCTGATAGACAGCTAGAGCAGGCATTGGGATTGTCCCACAACCCTTCAACCATTTCTCCCCTCTCCTCTGTGTGCTTTTCATGGCACCAGCCCTCACCAAACTTCTGGGGGTGCAGCTTTCCGACGCGGGCCGTGTTTCTCAGCTGGAGCAGAGCAGCTCTGATTCATCGCTCGCAGCCGCCTCCTGGAGAGGGGTCACGCCTCGGCGAACCTCATTACCAGCAGGTAATGAAATGCTGCAGCCCTGCCAGTGCTACAAGAAATAAACTTTCCTCGCTGCCAGCTACTGCACCAAACGTTGCCCTGGTTCCTGCAAGCACAGGTTGCTGGGCTGGAGCAGGGGGAGGAGTGCTGGGTGGGTGCTGAGCACCCAACACGTGCTGCTCAATGGGGACAGGTGACAAATGACCTGGCTGCTAATTAGAAGCTGCTTATCTTCTGCCAGAAATTGCTACCAGGTGTTCCAGGATAGCTAAAAAGAGAGGCTGGGGGTGCTGCCCTCCTCTGGAGAGCTGTTGGGGGGTGAAGGCTGGTCCTGTTCCCAAACCAGGGGGTGAAGGGAAACCCAGTTTGGGGCTGGGGCACCAAAGCTGCAGGTAAGGCTAAAAGCTGCCTTTCTGCTCTTGTTAGAGGTCAAATTTGTCTGCAGGCTACAAAACCTCTCCCTGCTGGCAAGACCTTGGCTAACAGAAGTGATGCTGGGGTTTTCCCATCCCCTCTGTTACCTCAGTAATGACAGCCCCATGAAAGGGGATGGGTGCATGGCAATTGTGCAAACACTGCTCCCAGCAGTGTGTAATTTCGCAAATAGAAAAGCAAAACTGAGACTATTGGGCAGAGAAGCCAACTAACTCTCTGGAGAAAGCAAACAGGTCTGCTGCTTTCTGGGGTGTTTATTCGTTCATCTTATTTCCCCCTCATCACAAGTAACTATTTCTATGGTGACTGTAGATGTCAGCGTACGTTATTTACTTGTAATTTCAGATGCCTTTCTGCAAGCAACAAAATAACTTAATTCTTCATTGTTCTCACTTAAAAAAACTAATCTTTTCCTTCTCTTGAGCCTGGAAACCAGAATTTATTTGCTTTTAAAATTCTGTGCATGTGGGTGTTGTTTTTTTCTTTCTTTTTGTTTTTTTTCAGAGTGTCTGTACTCAGTGACTGAGTACCCCCAATATTTACTGAATCACAGATGATGAGGTTGGAAAGGCCAACTTCATTTATTTAGCCTAAATCCCCAGGCAATACACATGATGGGCTGCTCTGTTGCCATTTAAATATTTATGGAGTTATTGGCTGCTTGACCCGTTTGGGTCTGTATGAAGCATGTCCTATTTGCTCACTGATCAGGGCTTCTTCCATTTGTTGCAATTTAGAGCCAAATCAAGAGCATGTTAAATTCTGTGTTTTATCATGCTATTTTATTGCTGTATGCAAACTTCCAGTTCCAAATTTTTCTCACCATCTGATATGCTGTTATTCTAACAAGTGGTGCCTTTTTTGAGTTTGAACCCATCCTCTGTGCTTTCTTTGCACTGCCTTGCTTTAACAGCCTTATGGGGAAGCCTGTATGGGAAGATGAAAATTGTAATAATCTGAATTTCTTAGCCTTAATTTTAATATTTTTATAGCTTGTCGGTTTGGTTTTGTGTCACTTCTTTGCATGTTCCTTCTGTCATGTTTTACCCTGGGCTCAGCAGAGGCAGAAATGTTGTGAGTGGGTAGCAGGAGGGGCTGCTGTGGGTAGCCTGGCTTTCCATGTAGCTGCAGCTGGGATGCTGTGCTGGGTTTGGGGCTTCCAAACCTGCTTCAGCCTCTGCTTTTCTTGGCCTCCTGCCTATTTGTTTTCTGCTGTGTTGAGACCTAATGCCCAGTGAGTTGTCAGGTCATGCTTTCATTAATCCACTAGGAAAAATCATCCCTGGCTCTGAACGTTTGGGTTATTAAAGCCTTTGGTTCTGCTGGCCAGAAATTGGGCAGGAATACAGAAGCTTTTGTGTGCCTCATGGGTTTTTGTTTCATTATGCAAAGGGTTGCAAAATGTGCATCCTGGGTGATAGCTGCTGTGCTGAGACCGGGCACCTGTGGGCATCGCTCTGCCAGTTGTTTTCTAACCTCTGTGTTACCTGCCTGCCTTTTTATGACATGGGGATGTATGAGGCTGTGAAGTTGAGGCACTGATGCAGATATAACATTCCTGACAAATTAGTGGAGCTTCATTAATTTTAGGGGTTAGGTTAGTTTACATGGAAGAGCTTGATCCCTGCTTCTCTGAGTCTGAAAATAATAAGAAAATTGGTAAGTGCACACACCTATGTTCATTACACAACTGTTAACTAAAAATAACCACTTTCTAACCTTCCTAATTGGACCTTGTCTGCAAAGAAATGGTAACATATACCTGTAATAAAAGTGCGTTGCACTGGGCTGCCACTCAGCTGTGGCATGACTAGAGGAAATGGTTATTTTATCTCTTCTGCAGAAAATGTATGGTAGCCTGTGCCTAATGAATACTAATTCAACCTTTAAAGCTCATTTACCAAATACATACAATTAAAGGACAATGAAAGGCATTACTTACAGAGCACATTCAAGCATTACTGAAATATCCCGTTTGTTTATCACAATAATTGTAAAATGAAATACATCAATTGCAACATATTTATAAATTCAAGAGCTATTTGGGTCTGCATGCATTCTTCCTAATGTGCAATGAAGGTTATAAAAGGAACAAGCATCTTAATGTCAAATACAAGGAAAGCTCCCAAACTGCATGAAATTTGAGAAATAAGGCATTGTGAGTCAGTCATTTATTCATGTTCTTTCCCACCAAAGTACACCAGTGATGATGCAAACAGGATGTGGGTGGATTTGTGGATATTTATGAGCAGGTGCTCTTCAGCTGGATTCAATTTCAAAATAATTGACACCTGGGGGCAGAGTCTGGTGGTGGTGGGCATGGGAGAGGCTTCTGCGAAGTCTCTTTGGATTTGCACTGCCTTCAGGACCAAATTTATCATCTAGCTCTTGGTTTTTAAAAATGACTTGAGGAAAGGTGCTGGCTGTATTGCACGTGTACCAGCATCACTCTGGCTTGCTTAGGGTGTGTTACATGGAGAACAGCAACAACCAGGCTCTGCCAGTGTGTTTGGGACCTTCAGTCCATCCTTCACCCAGGCTTTGTTGTGGGAAGCTAGAGGAATTGCCACAATGCCATCCTGCCAGATGGGGTTGTGGTGCCAGACCTCCCTGCCTGCTGCTGTTTTCAGCTGGGCTGGAAAGGGACGGGACCAATGCAGGAACAAGTGTCCTCAAGCCCAAGCCTTGCAGGCTTCCAGTTTGAAAGAGGCTGCTGCTGCTTTTTATTGGTAGGCTGGACTAGCTCTGACACCTTAATCTACAAAGAGAAAAAGATGTCATCAGGTGGTGTGTGTATAGCTTCAGACCAAGCAACAGCTGCAGCACAGAGCATTTAAGGAGTATTGAGGTTTTACAGCTTGCAGGGTTGTGAAGCAGGTGGCAGAGGTGGCTGTGTCCATGTCCAAGGGGAGCTGGTCCTGCTCCTGCGGAGTGATAGGGACTGCTGAACACGGCGGGGTAAACATGAGCATCTTGGCATTTTTTAATGCCATTACTTCTAAAGTATGTAGCTGAAACCCGAACCCCCAGAAAACTGATTCCTTACTGCCTTCTTTAAAATTACACTATTTGTTTTCTGTTGAAAAACATCCATGAGGCACTTGGATTTATTCTCGGTGCTTTGGGCTCAAATCCACAGCATCTGTCTCCCCACTAGTTTACATATTCTCTGTTAAAGTTTTGCTCCTGTACCAGGCTGGTCCCCAGCTGAGCTGGATATGAAGGTGATCATCTGCTAGCGAAGCAATTCATCTTCCCCAGGCCAGGGGGAACAAGAAAAGCCAATTCCCATGCTTCTGGAAAAGTGTTCTTGGTGGTTGTGCGGAGCTCTCCTGGCACAGCCCACCCACCCATCCCTGTGTCTATTTTCCTGTGTTGCCCTGGGCTGCAGAGTGCTGCAGGCATCATGCTGGCTGCCAGCTCCCATGTTTCACCTGTGGTCCCTTCTTGCTTTCTGCCCCAGCCCTAGAGAGATATTGAGATTAAATCAGTTTTTCATTTCTATGGAAGTGATCCCTGTGCTTCACCATGGAAAGGTGCCACCTGCTCATGTTGAGGATCAGCTTGTTGAAATGCGTGCATTGCCCCGAAACCTCTGTGTGGTTATGATGCTGTTAGACTTCGTGATGCCCCATCAACAAGTTGGCTCCAGGTATGGAGAGCTGAGGAGGAAATAAGAGGCATTATTATGAGCCCAGAGGAACAAAGGCACAACTTCTGCTGTGAGTACACAGCCCTGATCCCTGCCCACTGGGGCAAAGGGCATGGAGTGGAATTAAATGCAGAGGAGGTCGTTATAGCTCTCCTCATTAGAGCCTGCAAGGGCTCCCTGCCTGCAGCTGGAGGTCTCCCATGCCATGGTGAGGCATGGCTTGGAAACAAATCCTCTTCATGGTTTTCACTTTGCTTTTAGTCTGTTTTTCTTTTTCCCATTTAATCACTTGTTTTGCTTCCATAAGTTTGAGTTGAGAGAGTTGAGAGCCTCCTTTGGAAAGGAAAGGCTGAAGTACTGCACACAGGAGTGTCGGTGGGAAATGTTTTGGGGCAGGGTGTTTACAAAATCCAACTGAAGTCATGAGCGGTTTCTTGTCCCCCAAACAGTATTTTTTAGCAAATGCATAGCATACTAGGGGAATTCTTTAAAAAAAAAAAAGTAAAAATAAAAAAAAATCCCAAGTTTTACCCCAAACTTTCTATGAAGTGTCTCACTGGATTTGTAACAACTAGGTAAAGAAATATATTCTGCCCACAAATTTAATTACTTTTAATAATTAAAGACGGTCCCCAAAAGAGCTGAGGCAAGCTGAAGGAGGGGGCCTCAGCTTCTTAGCTGGAGGAGGGGAGCCAAGCCTCCTGAAGACATGGAAATGCCCCATGGAGCTGCAGAGCTGTTGGGATAGCAGCTGGGATGAGCTTTTGCTCTGGGTTCCCTGGCAAGCATGCCCCTGGTGATATTGCATGGCCACGGCCAGCCACCAGGCCACCCCATGGTGCTGGAGCACCCTGCGTGTGTCCCCACTGTGGCACGGAGCGGGGTCATCCCCATGGAGATGCCGCCAGCGTTGTCCCGGGAAGGTATATGCCAGTCGTTAAGTGGCACTGACACTAATGACATAATTAGCTGTGTTAAAAGTCATGTCTGGTAGCATCTACTTTGTTTCCAGGGTGACTAAAGCACCATAAATAATGATGTCCAGCGGTGTTTCCATAGAGCCGCTGTCCCCAGCGGGAGCGGGGCGGGGGGGACCTTGTTCGTGGTCAATGGGCAGAAGACGTAAATGTCAAAAGTTTCCACTCTGCCTCCCAAATCAGCAACGCTGAGATTGTTTATCAGGGCGAGATTGGGCAGAGTGTGCTGGTAGGTCTTCATCTGTGGAAACCCAACACAGAGGCTGTGGGGAGGAGTGGGAGCGGTGCAGGCCTGGCTGGGTGCCTGCGGTGGAGCCGGAGCTCGCAGCAGGGCTCTGCGACCAAGTTCAGCTCTGTGGAGGCATGAATTTGGCCCTGGTTCCAGGCTGCAGTCCTTCTTGGCTGGCTTTCTGCAGATATGTGGCACAAAGATGTGCCAAGAGCTTGTCAGCAGCCTTTTCTGTCCTCAAAAGCCTCAGTTCCCGCCTCCTGCCCTGCCCAGAGCTGACTGGGAGGAGGAGGAGAATTTTGTGTGGAAACCATGGGTTTGTCCTAACTGGGAATGTCGTGGCTGTCACCTTCTCCAGCCAAATGTGAGCAGGTGTCTGGTGGAGAGCAGCCCTTTTGGCAGCTCTTGTGGGGTGATGGGTTTCATGTGGTACAACTCAGGAAGGTCCCGGGCCTGTGGGGTCGGCCGCACAGGCCCCTGTTCACTGCCAGCAATGTGGATGTGGCTCCCAGCTCCTTGTACCTCTGTGATGTGCTCCCCCCGGCCTAGTTTCCATTTTAAATTGCAGCTTTGACTCAGGAGGCTGGGGATCAGCGGTTCTGGTCCCTTATTGTCCTGTTGTGGTGGATTGCTGCACGTTAAAAACAAGCATGGGTTTGGGAAGGAACCTGTCCACCAGCAAACAGCGCTCACACCTGCTAATTCTGCTGTGTCTTGGAGGAGCTGGCATTTGCAATTTCAATTATTTTGGTTTTCTGCTGAAGCAGAGGGCTCACTTTGGTTCAGCTGCTTCGCTGCCTTCATTAGCACGGTGTCATTGTTTTTCAGCCTGATGGAGCACTCGCCTCCCCCTTCAAATTAAGTAGCACACCAAGCATGTTTGCACAAGGAGGTGAAAGCAAGGGGCTGACAGCACCCTGCTGCACAGGGACGGGATGGGACAGGCCCAGCCTGCAGGGCTGGCACAGGGCTGGGCTGCTCATGGGGTCATCAGCGCAGGCCCTAATGAACACCCCGAGGGAGGCTCCTAATGGGAGATGGGGAGAAGGCAGGAGGAGCAGAACATACATTTGTGAATGAAATGAAGTCTTGAAATCTTCTGTTCGTGTTAAATCAGAAGCAAAAGCCCTTGTGCATAGGGCTGAGTCTGATCCAGGTCTCATCACTACAGAAGGGAGGATTTGTAATGACTTCCACTGACTTAAAAACTGGCTTTTACAGCATCTAAGATGCAACCGTGACTGAAAAAAAAAAAAATCCAAGCATGTATCTGTATGTTCCTCTTATTTTCTTGAGTCTTCTTACATATTTTTATTGAGATCTACAACTTAATTGGAGAAAAGTGATTTGAATGCACCATACTGTAAAATTGTAGTCAACCACTGCTGGCCTAAGCCACACAAAATCCACGTGTGCCCAGCCTACAGCCCTGCGCCTCTGGCAGTGCTTGCAGCTCCCAAAGGCAACCTGAGCTCTCCATGTGCCCCCAGGGAGCCCTTGGGCTGTGGGGGACTGCCTGCACCCCCTTCTTCATCTGGCAAACAGGTGCCTGTGCATGGCAGCTTCACACTCCCAGTTTAGCTGGAGCTATTTGGCAGAACTGATGCTTTGGGGAGAGCAAATGCCAGGATACTTTGACAGGTACCGGGATGTGGCATTCCAGGGGATGTGTTTTTATTTTACTGGTGCCTTTGCACAAAGCCTAAGCACATCATGAAGGAAGTTAGCTGCACTATTATTAAATAAGGGATAAATAACGAAATAATAATAATTAAAAGCAGCCACCTGATGGGTATTGGCGGTTGCACAGCAGTAAGGAAGCAGTTAAACTCATCGCATCCCTCTGGCCCAGCCGTGCCTGTGTCTGTGCTTGGTGCCCGTGTGGGTTTAGCAGAACACAGCACGAGCCCCAGGGCAGGATCCTTCCCTTCGCTGCATGCACCCAGCTGCCAAAGTGACATTTCATTCATCAGCCTTACTCCATAAGACAAGCTGTTACCCTTCGGTTGTTTAACACAAACACGTATTGACTAATGCGCAGTTATACAAATCCAGATCACCGCAAAAGCCCAAATACACAGAATATTTGCATGCTGCTGTTTATTGCTAATGGGAGAGATTGGTGATTTTTTTTTAAATTTCCCAAATGTTGAATTGCACCCTGTGTGATGTGGTTCCCTGTGGCATTGTCACCGTACCACTGCTCGTTGTTTTAAGCTGTAATGACATCCCAGCACAAACAGGAACCCAGAAGTGTGGGAAGCAAACCAAGTGAGATGCAGCCAAAAACTAGTTGACTATTTTTAATCTAATGATATTAAAAGCAAGTTTTAATAAAGGCAAATCATTTTGTTTTGAAAACCTGAAGAACAAAACCACTTATAATTTCATCATGTTTTTGCTTTTATTACAATTTGCTGTAGCTCTGTTTTATAGTCCAACTTAATGACCTTGTTAACTCCAAGGTGAGCCAAACTTTTACCTAAAACTCGCTTTTCTCACACATTTTCTGTGGCTTTTATTCTGTGAGCTCTTTTCCTGTGAAGACTCAGAAGATGATGGGAAGCTTTTCCCATTCCGGGTCGGACGGGCACATTCTTGTACACCCTGATGCTCTCCTGTGTGGTGTCACCGAGAGCCACATCAAACATGTTCAGGCTGCTGCGCTGGGTGGGAAAGCATCCGATGATCTTATTTCCTATAATAAGAGTTGGGAAATTCATTGATTCATAGACATAATAAATTATTTAATGAAAGGGATAATTGAGGGATACTTCAGAGGTTAGCACTAGGTAGGCTCTGTTTGCTGCATGCTGTTGAATCCTGCAACAACTCTTCTGATTGAAAACGTGACTAAGTGTTGGGGCTGGAACTTGCAGTTTAATCGACTTCAAAGTGTAATGAGTTACTGGTACTTTAATAGGAGAAGTTCACAGCTCTTTGTACCAGCCTGATGGGGTATATAAACTGTTCGAGGCAGGTAATGAATCCAGACCCGTTACTGGAAAATTTCATTAGCTGGGAACTGCCAGGGATAAGCAGGCAGTATAATAAAAAGAGATGTACTTCAACATCAGGTTTTATCTTTTAGGCAAAACTACAAGCTGCAGCTTCAGCCTATTGTCTGGAAAATGTCCAGAGCCAGTACGACACCAGGGGAAGAAGTGATGGGCATCGATGGCAAGGGCACTGCAGCAGCACCCAGTGGACCCAGCTGGCTTGGTGGGCTGTGGTACCTGCTGTGAGCCATGGAGACTCAAGGTGAGAATATTTACAGAGAAACTGAAGCAGAGGGATAGGGAAAAGGGACTCATAGTAGAGGGCAGTGTTTGCAAGGGACTGGGGCTGCATCTTGGTTGGGGTTCCTATTCTGTGCAGTTCTCACATATCCAGGATACCAGGAAAATATAGTGAAAAAAATTACATTTACGTGCCTGGAAGCACACACTTGGCCATAAACATATATGCCTGTGATCTGGATCCAGTTCTCTGGAGGATATATATTTTTTATTTTTTAATCCATAGCTGAGTGAGCGGCCTCCAAGTGTATTTATTACGCTGTTGAATTGCTTTCCATGGTAACTAATTGTGATTTCAGAAGCACAGGTTCTGCAATGGCACAAGATGAAATGGAGCTGAATATGGAAGCAGCTGGTAAGAAGAAAATCACTTGCTTATGAAATAGTATTTAATGATGGAGACTGATGGGGAAAAAACATGGGGGGAGGCAGAGATTAGAAAATAAAGCAGCCCTCCATTTCCTTGGTGTATTACTTTAGATTTTGAACTTTTCTGAGGAAGAGAAAATCCCCTCTGTGGGCTGCCTTCCCATTTCCCCACTTACCTTTTTATTAAGAGACAGACCATTAAAAATCTGGCTGCATAAAAGAAAACAAATGCTCAGGAAATGAAATTATGATTAAATGTCTATTTCTGGCTGGAAAAAATGGGAAGGCAGAGACTTTACAAAAGTTTCTCCATTTTCCTATGAGACAAGAGGGGACAGAGCATGTTTTGAACAATATATATTAAAAAAAAAAAAAAGTTAACCAAAGCAGCATTTTTTGTTACTGCACAGTCTGTGTTCACACTCTATGGCAGTTTCCCAGCCTGGATAAATACATGTTCAGATTGATGTGAATGTGCATTCAGAGGAGGTAAATTGTATTCTTATGCATATGTAGAGTCAAATAATTTGTCAAGTTAAGTATTCATTTTATTTACCCAGCAGACAGTCATGTTTTTATTACATAAATATATAACTAGGCACTTAAAATGTGAATATTTGACACAAGCCTGTTTGGCAAACTAGTGTAGAAGCATTGAAATGTATCATAGATGTTCACAAGCATCGGATCGTTCTGTAGCCTTAAATGTCTGACAGTGCATCGGTGCTAAATTTGAGTTTGTGGTTTATTGACCCAACAAGCCATAACCGAATCTTTCACACTGCTGCAGTTATGATGCTCCAGTTTGGCTGCTAGACATCTCCAGAAAGAAGTCTGCACACTCGAACTGACGTGCAGCCAGAATAACAAATGTATTATAAGCAAACCATACATTAAACAAGAAAGTTATTTTAATGATTGCTTCCCAAATACCCAAAGGCACTAGTCAACACTGTGGACTAATGACCTACAAATCTGTGTGATTAGTACAAGTTTTTAGCATTACAATATTTTCTCAACAGCTTCAGATGGCACATGAAGTGAAATACTTCCTTCACCTGTAACAGCTTTGTTCCTGAATACCCTTGCATTTCTTTAGTTTCACAGGCAAACTTATCAAACAAAACCTGATCTGTAAGAATCCTGGTCATTGCCACCTGTCTAACCTCTCTGTGCTGGCCTTTCTCCAGGTAAAAGTCATTGAATACACACCTGTGTAACTCCAGATTCGCACTGAAATCACTCCTCTAACATCAAACTACACAGCTAGGTGGTAAATCAGATCTGTTATTTTCCAGGATCAGTGTAACACAACAGACAACATAACATCTTGACCGAGGACGATTTTACATTTCTTTTATCCATTGCAAAAACCTTCTGTAACGTGTGGAGTATAAAGCTCACAAATTGCATTGTAAAGGAACTACCATAAAGTATATGCTTCCAATGGACCTTTTACAATATAACACAAAATTCAAATGACAGTTTTTAGGAAAGCACTTTAAACTTTCACACTTATGTCCTGACAACATTAGATTACTGTAAGCTGTAAATTGTAAGAAGTTTTATGTGATTAAATAAAATCAGCATTACAATTTCCAGGTATTGTAATTATTAAACAGATCATGACAACAAGATATAATGTAAACGTGAAGCTCAGGATACTGGTACTGAGAAAACTCGATAAAATTCTTTGTAGATTTATATTTGCACATATTAAAATAGATAACAACTGGAGAAGAGGTTACAGTATTTCATCTTACATATTGATATCAGTGTTTTGCAAGCAGCAGTCTATACAACATCATCCTCATTTTATTATTATTTTACAGAATCAATACTACTTTAAAAACCATCTCCCCGTCAAATACTGCTGCCAGGTCTCAAGACAATATATGGAAGGACATATTTAAAAACATCAGATTTTGTTAATTGTCTGTGTATGTGTGGAAATGTGGGATTTTATATATATAAATATATATAAAATCATAAACCCCACTGAACCTTCAAAATGGAACTACCTCTAGGTAAGAAATACAAGACCTTTTTAATACACGTAAAGGGTTTATTTATACCTGAGACATTTTTGCATATTGATGTCTTTGTACCTTTACCTGTAGGTACTCACAAAAGTCCTTTACTCTTTTCTGGGGTCTCACACAAAACCCACCAGAGTTAGGTGGATTCTCCCCACTAACTGGAGTGGAGTTTGGCTGAGCCCTTCCTTATCTAACCTGGATGTATAAACAGAGATGTAAGAGAGTGAAATATATATATTTAAGAGGAGTTGCTGTACAAGTGGACAGGCTGGTTGATATAAATCCAGAGCTAGTTGATCATTTTCACAATGTCTGGTTCAAAAAGGAATTATAGTCCTTCATGCAGGGTGATTCAAGTTTCTACTTCTTGATTCAAACAAACAAAACCACAACAACTTCTTGAAATATTTCTCCAGGTAATGGACCACTGGGTATACACGGTATGCTGAAAATGCCCCTTCGTGGACGTTTCCTGGTTCTGGAGCTCAACCCATTTCTCCACCCAGTGGGCAAGAGAACCAGGAGTAGAGGAGTAGTAAGTTGATGCAGCTACATTACATTAAGGTCACAGGTCAATGCTGATGGACTAAGGTAATCAAGCAAATTTAGGGAGACCAGGAGCCCAATTTCTCCTGAAAATGAAGGCGTGTGGATGCCTAACTCCTGCAGATTCATCTAAAACTCCCAGCTGTGCACAATCTGGCTTGCAGCTCTTCAGCCCTGCCTGAAACTTGTGCTGAGTGGTGAAGCACAAGCGACAGCAGGGCCACGACCTAAGCAAGGCTCTTACAGAATCTCACAGTGCTATTTATTTTGGTAAATATCAAACTAAATGTAAAGGTACCTTCTGAAATATAAACAGCTCAACTGAAAAAAATAATCCACTGTGTTTCACTCCATTTTGCTTCTGACAGGGACTTTCCTAGGAGTGCTTACATGCAAGTATCGTGCTATCATATCTGATACCGTAGCAATTAGAATTGCCTATTTTATTAAATACAGATTAATCAATGGAAAGATACTAGTGAAAGTGAAATAAAATGTGCTTTTAGACCTGGAATTGGACATACTTGAGACATCAGGAAAAATAATAGTAAAATAATTCATGAAAACATCACAAAATGAATTGGTTTCCAAGTAGATCAGGATACCCTCCTAATATTGCACAAGCATCTCTCACACAGCAATCTGCACTATGTTTTTTGCACTGTATTTTACAGAAAAGGTTTAACTTTAGTGATGACGGTCAACACATTTGTCTTTAAACAGCTCTTTGTTCTACTGTACAGGCATATAATGGGAAAAAGGAAAGCTACATCTCACTGCAAGTAGAACATCATAGACCTTAAGACATTCCAGAGATGTTTGATTTAAAATATTGATATGTAGCATATTTCTGTGTAAAATAAACACTCTTTTCCAAGTAGCAGAAATTTCTAAGACCTGACACTTGTTGTAAACAGATAAAATGTAGTCAATGCTTTCAGAAATGAGGAGGAGGACGTAAACTAAACCAGTAGTGAAGGCTCAGCATGACACAGTGACATGTTAAGCATCAGATGTAAGAAACTCTACTGCTTACATTTCCAGTTGACTGTTTTGATTTTACAGCCGCATCCCTTCTGTCTCCTTTTCCTTTCTATTCCTTGCTGTACCATGTTCAGCATCTAAACCGGAGGCGTTTCAGGGAGAACAACCTCAGATCTGTCTGTTCCAAACCTGCTCAAACTGAAGTCAATGGTGCAAACCTCTCTGACTTCAGAACTGCCAGCGCCTTGTAACCCATCGATGGAGTCCACAAGGGCATACGTTTCACTTCTTTTCGTAATTCAGGAGCTCTCTAGCATGATTGCAGACAGCATTATCACTGTCATGGAGCAACTGGCACAGGGAGGCACTTATGTGACGTTTAAAACTTATCTTTGGTAAACACACACAAATTTGTAACTAATGTTTTACTTCCTGATCATAAGACAAATTTTCATTTGCTACCAGTGTATGTGTGCAAGCAACGAAGCTTACACAGGACATTGCTAATATAAAACATTTTTCAAATGCCACTGTCAATGATTTGTTTTTTAATTCATTTAAAAACAACATGGTCCTGGGCTTTTTTTTTTTTTTTTCTGACTCCTTTTATTATGCATTGGAGCATCTCTGATCAATAATAAATTAGCAATAAAAAGCAAGCCCTATGTGCTCAATTTTCACCTTCTTTCTCGTTCTATTACCTTGTTGTTCAGGACTACAATAATCAGAATAGTTGTATCTCTTTCATTATCTGTGAGTCAGATCCTGGGGTTCAACACTGCACTACTTCAGCGGCCAAATCTCTCGCTCAGGTCAGCGGAAATTTTGGATTCACAAAAAGGCTGATTCTGCTCTTGGTGGAGATGTTTCCTGCTAACCCCTGCTGATGAGCACTCTGGTGAGGGGAGGGACCTCATGTCTCTGGTGGGAGTCGAGAGTGACCAGACGTGAGCCTACAAGGAGGAGCTCAGTCCACCAAGAGGCAGACCATCAATGCCTATTTCCAAAAGGTGCTGCAAATAAATGTTGTTGGAACTGCATGGGTATTATTGGTGGATGCTTTAGTTTAATGTGCCCAGAACACCAGCATTTCTAGAATTAGGCATTTCTACTGAGAGGCATCTCAGTAGAAGGCTTAAGTTTTCATTTCCACTATTTAAATTTTTGCTTAAGAATTTATTAGAACCCAGACCTTAGTGCATTTTTTCTTATAAAATTAGAATAATTTATATCCTTCTCTTTTCATCCAAAAGAAAAGTACAGCCCAAACACACATGGGGGTATAAATACATCATGAATAACAATAACCATTTTACTCATTTTATGATCTGCTTAAAGGTGTTTGGGACATCGACCAACCAAACAACTTTGGCAACTTGCACAAAAATATGTCCTGAAATCAAAAGTGATGATAGAACTTGGTTTAATGAGGCGTTTATTACGGAGAGAACTGGAAAGAGAGAGGGGTCTAAATGCTGAGGAGGTTACCGTGTTCCTAAACCATGCCGCTTTGCATTGGTATGTGAAATGGGTATGGCTGGTAGATGATAGGTGGTTGTCCATGAGCAATGTAGTAATTGCTGAAGTTTCTGTCACTGATATATGGAGCAGGCTGATAATAGCATGTTACATTAGCTGCGTTTGGGATGATATTTTGTTCTCCAAGCACTTTTAAAGCCAGAATTGTAATCATATTCAGAGTTTGTCTTCGTTCGTGTCCCATGAGACAGACTGTGCTCTCATTTACAACTCCACGCAGAGTCATCAAGTAGTCATACTTGCTTTTTTCTTCCCCAATGAAGTGGTTGCGCAGATATGACTCAATTTTCCTTTGCTGCTCAGCAACATCTGGAAAATCAATGAAGAATCTGGAGCACATGTAACGTTCCAGAGATTTAATTTCAGCCTCATCTGCTGGCTTGAAGTCACGAACCAGGAGATTGCTGTACTTCAGAAGGCCGCCTCCTCTGATCTCCTCAGGGTTCCTCGTGGAGATCAGCTTGTACTTTAAATGGTCCATTGCTTCATTGAAGTCTCCATACATACTCTCTGCAATAACAGTGGGGTGAGAGTCCTCTGCTAGTTTGCAGTCTGTTTCTCTGTAAACATTTAGTATGGAGTCCAGAATGATTTGGAAGGAGTCCACGCTGAACTCGAACTGCCGTCTGAGCGAGTTGACAAACTTTAACTCTACATTCTTGCCGCTGTTGTTTGACAGCGAGATGAGACTCCAGCGGTCGTGGTCAGTAGAGACTTTGACCATTTTCTGCACGTAGGCATCTTTCATGGTCTGGGCAGTGATTTTTTCCTTATTAACACATTTCGGCAAGAAGTCCAATAGGCAATTAAGAACTGCTTCCTTAACAACCTGGAACTCGAGCTCACTTGGAAGTTCCACCCCAAAAATGATATCTAGGTCCTTATAACTAGTTCCATTCTGCTTCACTAGGATGTGGCTAGCTGTTGAACCATTCAAGCGGATATCTCGAACAGTGATTTGCTTCTCGATGAGCTGTTCTTTCACCACACGAATTATATCCTTGGGTTTTACTTCCAGCGTTGGAAAATTCCCTCTCCCGTGAATAGGTATTACCTCCGCTAAGACTTGATCCAAGATTTTAATCTGATCCCAGGTGAGACTACTGAATCTGTGGTCTAAGTCCTCAGTCATTGTGATATCAGTTGGCTAACTACGGAGAAACAGAAATTAAAAGAAAAATGTTAGAATTTGCTCAAATAAAAATGGCCTGACATTTCACTGTTATGAGAAACACATCTTACTTCCTTGGTGCAGTGATAAAGCAGTTAATTTTACACTGAGACACAATCCGAATTAACTGTCTGACTCAACCACCGCACTTCTCGCAGGCTTTTAATTGAATTTTAATGTAGTCAGGTTTTAATCCTGCTGAGAAACCATTGTGTTATTGTATAATCCGTGACTCAAAGTCAGTGCAGTAAACCATCCAGATTTAAAACTACATTTGAAACTACTCAAAGGTTAACAACATGGAATACTTGGTAGTTACAAGGAAACTCCAAACAAATTTCACTGAGCTAAAATCAACAAAAGGAGCAAACTTGATTCTTTCTGTCCTGTCTAGACATCTCCTTTTATTTTCAGTGATTTGCACAATGAAAATACTGAAAGACTAAGTAGCTTTTTGAAAAAGCACAAATAATGCAACCCACTCGTTGTTTACCTAGCCATATGCCTTGAGTGTACTTTGGTTTCTGTGGGTAATCTGTATGCAAGCATCCTTCAACACCATTCCAGTTTACGAACTGGATATCCAATAACTGTGCGGCTATTTCCACTATATTTCTGAAGCAAAATCTTTTTCTTCTATCCCGTTAACCATCTGACAGCAAGGATCCAATGCTGCAAGTTCGTGTTTGCAGAATTGGTAAGAGAATCCCTTCCAGTCTGCACTGATACCCTAAAACCTCTCAAGAAAGCATGCAAAGAAGCCCTTGCAGAGACATTGGGATAAAACTCCAGCTCTGGAATGCCTCAGGTTAAAATTTTCTCATCTTCATATCATCATATTAAGCAAGCAGATAGAGCTTAGTATAGATTATTTACTTACATTTTATAACGAGCAAACAAATGCTGCAAGCCCCAGAATATTGTTTTTTAAATGATTCTAATTGATCATATGGAAACTTTATTTTAATTAAATTTGTGTAACGGGAATTTAAAAGCTTTAAGTTTTTAATTTGATTTATGTATGCTGAGAATACAAACACAATCATGCAATTATATAATTAGGTGTGATTACAGTGAGGAAGAAGTGCTTTTAACAAACACCCGAAAAGGAAAATATTGCTGAGCATTAGGTGTCTAACACACACCAAAAGACGCCTGTCCTAATCTTACTGCCTCCTGATGCTGATGGCAGCACTGCAGAATGAAAACTGCTCAGAGGGCTCTTTGAACTTCCCAACTCCATGGGCATCGTTCCCTTCTTCTAGCTAAACTTCCACACTTTTGGGGTAGTTTGCTCAGGTGGTGAATCAAAATGTTTTAGTGCTGAACCGATTATACGATTTTTCAATGCTCTTTCATAAATCATGTGCCAACTCAGGGGTAGATGCTGTGATTTCCTGCCACCTCCTCAGTCAGCCTCCGTGCAGGGCTGCTGCAACTCAGCGTGCTCAGCCTGCAGCTGGGTTTGCTGCTCCGCACAACAGGTGAAGCAAGAGAAAACTTAGGGAGGCAGCGGGACCTTTCCTCACTGCTCAAAAGAGAAAAAAATCTTCAGTTCACACAGCTATTTGGGGTGTTTATCAGCCATTGATAACTCGTGGTTTTCACGTGTGATCTGAAATGGCTCCATGGTTCACGAGCCACGTGAAAGAAGTGATTTTCAGGTACCTGACAGCACTGCAAATGAACTACCGAAGCATGGAGAAACGCTGCAGCTGACAGATGGCTAAAACATATTTTTTTAGCTAAAGCTCAAGAATAACAAATAAAGTAAAATCGCACTGAGTAATAACACAACTGAAAAGGGTACAGTGTTAGTTAGTAGTGACTCTACGTGTACGTGGTCACATATTTCCTGCCTTCAGATTCCACGTACTGGACTGCAGTAACCTCAAGTCATTTGTGGACTGATAAATGGCTTGGGAACAATCCTGAGCCACATCTCACATACTTCTGGTATTGTTTCAGCTCTAAAGAAAGCTAATGAAGAACATACGTAATTTGAAGCACCTTTCTGGCCTCGTTAGAAAGAACAGAACCGACCATATGTTTGATGTTAAACACATGGCTTAAAAGTTTGCTAAATCAGGACTATTTATTTATTGCTAAATAATAGGAGTTTAATTGCCACTGAATTGTAGGTGTGAAGGTCTTGGATCAAATCCTACAATTCTGGCACAGCTGTGTTGCTCCTGACATTGTTGATGTATTAACTCCATGTACACAACATAGAAATATATATATATATTTGTTTCCATACAAACTTTCCTGCAGGCATTTAGAAATACAGCATTAGAACTGAAAGGGAGAGAAATTGCCATCCACCGCAGTATCTATCTACTTTACACAGCATGCTTATTCCTTCATTACCATCAGCTATTTCTTATTATGATTGCACGCTTGCTCCTTTATTACTGCAAACAATTATTATGGAAAACTTCTATCCATCTTTCATAGCCCTTATGACATGCCAGTGCATTTTTATCATGTTTTTTATCATCAAAAATAGCTGTTGCAGAAAGACACTGTGCATTTCTGAAGCAGTACAACTGTGGGTGAGTGAGAAGGTTGGGAGGAGAGGGTTTGGCATAAACTCTCTTGCTGCCAAGTTTGTCGTCTGTGGTATTGACAAGTCAGGTTATGGTAGACCAGCTCTAATGATCCAGCAAACTGACCGCTGTCAGCACTGCTGTGTAAGCTGAACTTTTATCTTGGGGGACTTGTCTGATACTGCAGCACTTTGAAAGAGCTTTTCAAGGGTGATGCTGTGACATGAAGTAACAGACTTTGAGAAGGGAATGTTCAATCCTCTCTTTAGCAGAGGATCCCACCTGAAACACCTTTTGAATGTTGGAAGATGGAATGGAAGGTGGAATCCCTAATTAAGCTTAGAAAGCCATTCAAATCCATTCTTTTTTCTTTTTTTTTTTCTTTTTTCTTTTTTTTACACGTTACCAATTATTTTCAGTTTCATTGCGATATGCTAAGATTTTAAAATGGAAAGAAAAGGTAATGGCATCAGGTATTTCTTTTGCATTGAAGGGAAAGCAGATAACTTCTGTTCCTTCATTAAGAGTAGCACTTCAAAATTTTATTCCTCTCAAGTGATTTCTGGAGAATCTGGCGATGCCCTGTGAGTTCAGAGCCTCGACATGAATGTCTGAGAAATTTCTTATGACAAATACCAAGAATTCTGCGCTGAAATGATGCCTTCAGTTTTAACAAGTAAGGAAAATGTCCTTGGAAAAAAAAAAAAAACAACAAAAAAACAGTATTAAGGCGTCAAGAATATAATTAATTTACAGATAGATGTGGGTGTTTGTTTTTTTAATTTATTATTTTTTTTTCAGTTTGTAACCCAGTACATAACTCTGCACCTTCTTAGAAAGACTTTCTCTTGTTCTTTTCCTTAATCTTGTTAAGCAACGAGAACAATTTCCAGGCAATTTTATAGTCATTAGGAACCTTGTTTCTTAAGCAGTGGCAAATTTATTTACCGAGGTGTTCAGGCTAATGTCAGGAGTTATTAATGCAAGTAGGCCTCAGTGACAATAAATCAGCAGTAGTCCTGAGGCTATAATTAGTCACAGTGCTGTGCAAAACGGGAGATCACGGGATGAAGGGAAGGCAGCTCCCTGCAAGTGCCCCGTGTATGGACGAGGCTGAAGGTGAAGGAGCTTTGGGTTCATGGGAAAAGGGGCTGAATGGTGGCTTCCTTCTCAGCACTGTGCTGGGATTGCTTTTTTTTTTTTTCCCTACATTTTATCAGTATTTGGAACTTATTTAAACTCTCTCCTAAAGATTTTTTCAGTTTTTTGTTTATGGGATTTAAACTGTTACTATGTGCTGCAATGGTCCCTGAATCCTGCCTGATTTAAGATCTTTGCCAGATAAAGGGATGAGGAAAAATAGTTTTCCGGGTGTTTACTTTTACTTATACTGACTAGAGAAGCATAGAATAAAAAGAATCATACCCAGTCATGTGTTGTGATATATTAATCTTATTGGAAAGTTAGAAGAATATGACCCTGATTCAGGTTCCAGTTTGTCCTCAAATTGTCACTGATGAAGTGGTTGCAATGTGGAAAAATGTTTGGGTGGTGGAAGATCATTAAACACATTTTTCTTAGTGAAACATTGAAATTATGGTTTCTAATGTTCTTTAGCAGGGTGTGGACCAAACAACTGTGAGTTTGGTTTTACAACAATAAAAGATTTAATTAACCAATTCTTAACATAATGCCATATACTAGCTTCATCAGAAAAAAAAAAAGAAAAAAGAGTGGATCTGGCTTTACAACTGAATCAAGAGAATCTGCCAGGCTAATGACAGCTTTAATGTTCCACGCAGCTTTCATGGGAACAGATACTTACAGTCTAGAGGACAGTCTCATCGAATTTAGCTCATATTTTACCAATAAACCATTTAAGATTCTTTTTTTTTTTATATACTCTACAATGTTGCTTCAGCGTATTTTCAAAGGCTTTGCAATGTATTGGCACTGTCAAGCAGAATACATCTGAAATAGTTTTTGTGCAGCTGTGTTAGCTCTGGTCTCTTTCCTTTGCTTTTATCTACTACCCAATTTGTCTATTTTACAACAATTATATGGAATACTTTAACGCTCCAATTGTCTTTACCTTTGTCTGCACCTGAAATCAGTTGCTAGGGGACCTTTTAGAGCTCAAGTAAAGCGTCTTGCAGCTGCGGTAGGAGCCCTGCATTCTACCATTTGGGGATTTACCCTAGAGCTGCTCCAAGTAGGTATTGCAATTTTCCCCCTAAAGCTCCGTATTGCTTTTGCTACAAACACATTAGATGCACCACCACTGATTTCTGTGTTGTCTTGTTAAAGTTTTATGTTAATTCAAAGATACATTTCTCCCCTAAGCTGGACATTTTCAAGTGCTTTGCATACTCGCTGACTTAAGGACTGCAGCTGGCTTTAGCTCTGAAGGCAAGAATGTTGAATGTGGATTGAGTCCTGGTTATAATTTAAATGCATGTGAGAGAAGCATCTGGGGCACCCTAAACGGGAACATATTTAAACTAGATTGACAATGTTTTTCATGAGTTTTTCCTTCCATTACTGTTAATGCATGCAGTGAAGATACTGTTTATTTATCCTGTTATTGTGAGATAACGCATGATTTGCCATAAGTTTTCAGTACAGTTACCATCTAGTTACCCTGAAATAACAAATAATAACTCAAAGCCATATGCTCTTCTCTGATGAGATAAGGCTGGATGGTGTGCAAAACAGGCTTCAACAGAGAGTGGTTTGCTTGGACCGTGCCACAGAACATCACCTTCAAGGGCAAAACAAGCATGTAGAAGAGAAGCAGAGACGTTATGAACTAAAATGTTTCCTACCTTTTCTCTAACCCAACCAAGGAACAAGGAAAAACAACACAGTTGTGTACCAGCCTGCATCATCTCTTCTCCCAGATTGAATGGATTTGCAGAACAGTATAGCACGAGGGCAGCCATACTCTCCTGTAGCACAGTGCTGCGAAAAGGAACTGAGCAGCCTAGACTTCTGCTGAAATGTTGCAGGATATTGGCTCAATAGCATGGCAGTTCTCAGGAGGGACCAAATAAATAAGGAGTTTACTTTGGGCAACTGATACTAATGCATAATCCATGTTATGTTATCCTGGAGATGGTTTTTTTTTTTGGATGTTGAAGTTTTCCATCATGACTCACAGTACATTCATTATCAGCTGTACGTGGATCTCACAGGGTAGCGTTTTCAAGGCCAGCCACATTGTGCTTTTTTATCACTTCTCACAACATGAGGGTGCTTCTTACATGGCCTTCAGGTTCAGCCTTGTATATGGTATGGTATGAGTATGGTCAATCTTCTATTTGTGCTAACCTTGTAATAACTTAAGCAAAATAGCTGTGATATGCAATCTTTAGACTAGTTTGGGCTCTGGTCATCACTGAGAAGTTACATCTTCAGGTAAATACTATTTGTACAACCAAATGAATGCTGGGGACTAATTTGTGAATAGTATGTCCAGAGAAAATGCAAAATCCCATGGACTTACCGTGGCAGGACAATTGGCAAGCACGTATCCCAGCAGTTTAATAGGATGAGTCACTGGATCCTTTGGTAAAAATACGAATTGTCATCTTGTCACTGATAAAAACGTGAACCTCCCAGGGAAAGCTGCAGGGAAAAAAAAAAGCACAAAAACAATAACATCCTTTTTGAGATAAATGTTAACTACCAGTCACCTGCTGTACATAATAAATCATGCATTATGACTTGGCAGTCCCGCAGTCATAACAAGAGCCTTTTAAGTCAGAAATGATAAGGTAAAAGCAGTGGCAAGGCACAGAAGTGCTCATAAAGACTCTGGGTTTCAGGTCATACTTAATCCTCTGCAAGGATGTTAACAACTTGCTATTTTCTCTAAGGGATTTAAAATAAGAAGTTAGTATTATTAATAGACATGCAAATTAGCAAGAACAGAGGGGAATTATACAAAAAATTAGAACTAGTAACAACTCAGCAAAATTGAATATTATAAATTGTGAAATGGCTTCTTATGCCTCCTAAAAATATGTACAGATGACAGGAAGGTCTATTTCTTGGCAGACTAGGTTGGCGGTTCATTTACAGTAAGCCCAGGATTCAGCCTGTTGCTGGAATTTCCATGCACCAAATGGCCCTTTGACAAGCTAAGCAGGAACTGTAAAAAAATCAGGCGCTTCTGATTATACAGGCACTTCTGAATATTCCTTCTCTCAAGGATGTGCTGGCAGCCTGGCAGTCTTGGTAGGCTTTCCTTCAAAGACCCTCCTTCCAGTGCCCCATCCCAGTAAGTCCTGACACCTACAGAAGGCTTTAAAGCATCCCAAGGAGCACCCTGTCTGGTGTATGACTTGATGGAGATGTGAACTTACTCCCTGCCACAGTGTTGTGCTCCACAATCTCATCTTTTAGGCCAAAGCATATATGCTTCTGAGTAAATACAATTGTGAAAGTATGACTTGAGTGTAAATATAAGCACAATCTGCAGGAAAAGCTGAAATAATAGCACAGTGTGGTATGGACCATAATATATATTAATCATATATATTAATATATTAATTGCATTGATATTAAATATATTAATTTTAGTAAGAATATTATGTGTTTTTTTCTGCCATGCTACAGCAGTCATATCATTGTCACTGAATATGTTTTTGCTGCTGCCAAAAGCCCAGTAGTTGGTTTCCTCGCACTGTCCTTGCTGTGGCAGGACCTCAGCAGCTCTCAGCTGCTTTCCAGCTCACGATGGGCTGCTGATTGAATGAATGGATGTTCCCTGACTTGCTCCCCAAATCTGTGTGGTGACAGCTCCCGTTTGTAGCTGGGAACCCAGGGTTTAGGCCAGCAAGGGCTGAGGTTGGGCTGCAAGGAAGAAGGCAGTCATTTCTTCAGTGCAAGGAAAAGCTTCCCGGCTGCTCAGCTAAAAGAGTCCCAGCATGCAGAGTCTGGCCTTCTGGAGGGAGAGTCAGACAAATATATAGGCAGTTACCTTAAAAAAAATACATCATTTGGTCTTTTTTAACAATGAACTACTGTTATTTCCTTCTGTGTGAGGGCGGAAGGTTTAATGGCTATATGATAACCATTAACAGATATATCATCATGATAGAATAGATTAACACGAGAGTAGAATTAATGGCTTCCCTGGTGATATTTAGGGGAAGGAAAGAGGGACCTTTGTATTTTTTTGTGTGTGAACACCCATTATTATATAATATGTTCATAAAAGCAGCAGCTGAGATTGATGAAGTGCTTTGGCTGTTGGGACTTTATTCTCAATGGCTGCCTTTTATTGACTCAGTCATTACAGGAAGAAGTGTATCAGTTTATTGCTCCCTGCTCGTGGCTTCCAGGATTTTTTCTTCCTGGAGTAAAAATAAAAATAAAAATGACTACATCAACAATTACATTTTATCTCAAAGATAATATCCTTCTGTTCTTGAATTCCAAATGTGAGTTGTGACGGTGCGCACTGACAGACTCGTTTCAAAGCCTCTTACCCTCGTGGCTGTGTGCACAATGAGCAAGGCACACGATGCCAGCACACGACTGCCCCTGGGCTTCCCCACAGCACTGCTGGGGAGCCTGGTCCCAGCCGGCCTCTGCCTCTGGGTGCTGTCCTGCCCCCAAACCCCCTGGGTGCCCACATCCCCCCTGGGTTTCAGCGCCTGTGAGGGTTGCTCGGGCACTCTCAGCTCTCCCCCCTTCCCCATGCAGTGCACGATTGCTCTCCGCAGCTCTCCAGACTAATACCAAAACCTATTTACTCGCTCGAGATACCAGTGACTCAACCTGAAGCTCACTTACCAAAAAACTCTATTATTATGACTAAACTGCAGCAAAAGCCGGCAAGGTAAGGAACAAAACAACCCTCCTTTGCCATCTACCAGCCATCTTCACAGTGGTCTCTCCTCTTCGAATGCCAGAGGAGGAAGGATGAGCTGTGCAGGGTGCCACGGGCTGTTTTCTGAAGATGGAGGGCATCTCAAAGTCAAGGCTCTCCCCAGAAACAATCCGGAGGCTTCCTCCCCTCTTCTACACCAAAAGAGACCCAGCGAGGTACAGCAGTGGCAGAGCAGCCCAGGAACCTCCCTGGTGGGATGGCCCCGGTCAGGAAAGCATCAGAGGAACCCACCAGGCTTGTGGTTGTGTCCCTTTGAGGGGGTTCCAACGCAACGTGCACAAAAGGTTGAATGGATTTCTTCTTTTATTGAACATCCCAAAAAGCGCTGCGCCTTGCTGGAAGGTGTACTTAGTCGATTCAATCAATGAAACGCTTTTTTTTTTTTTCTGAATCAGTACTGAGCCACTGACGTACGGAGGCTGGATTTTGATAGTACGTACTGTAGTACAACACACCTGGAGAGGCTTCCTTGGGGTGAGCCAGCGAGCTGAAGACAAACGGCATCACGTTCCTTAAAGACCTCTCGGTACCACTCCTGCTCTGCTCTGCATATTTCATAAAGTATCTGCTGCTACGCAGTTACCCTGTCTCACTCCAGAAGCATTTTCATTTTATGGCCGAAGACCTGAACTTGAAGTCTCCAGGCTGATTTGCTAGGCAGCTTAGGATCCCTCAGAATAAAGGCTCTTGGTGACTGCTATGGACGTGGCGAGTTTAAGGCGAGCTGGAAGAAACTCCTGTATCCTGGACTGGGTTCTGCTGGCACCCTCCCCCGAATCTGTCTCACATAACTGATAATACGGGGAATCTGGGTCCTATTCCAAGATCACTCTGTCCCCAACTGTTTGGTTTTATTGCTATTTGTGCTTGCAATGGTAATATATAAATATAATTCATGTGTTTTTGAATTCATTTCCATACTTGTATTAGAAACTTGTTCTCTGACTACACAGTACAGTAGCGGGATTTCTTTTTCGTGCTATTTTCCCAGGTTTACAAGTTACGTTGTAAAATTGGGGAACATACATGAATTATTTATTAACTTCAAGCACTTGCTGTACAAGAGTTTATTCTTAATGCTGCATCAGTAAGAGCCAACAGTCTCCTAGAAAATAGCTTTTGGTAACTGAAATGTTTTCCAGAGTTCTGTGATAAAGTCAAAGCTGCAAAACTCCATTCAAACCACATCAAGCAAAGGATTAGGGCTGCAGCACCGGCGTCAGGGCACTGCTGCTCTTCCATGGTGAAGGGAGAATGAAATGCCTCTGTTGACACTCGCACTAAAACGCAGCGAGAAGATAAAGCACCGACAAACCAAAGAAAAAGGCTAGAGCCCTGCAGCAAAATGTGTGTATTCATGACTTTTCCATCACTATCAATAATGCATAATGACCATCATGTGGGTGACGACACCACGTTTTGAGACAGACTGAGTCAAGCTTTCTATCACCAAACGTGAAAAAGCATTCGACATGACATTGGATGTCAAAAAGGCAGGACCCTGCTAGATAAGCAAAGATCCAGTAGAAAGGGTAATGGAGAAGAAAATCAGCTGATGCTGACATAAATTGACATCTGCTGTGCCAGTTTATAGCGTTTCACGGAAGAAAACAATTTTTTGGTTAATATGGACTGAAAGAAATGGTTTTTTAGAGACACAAAAATATCTTGCTTAGAAAAAAAGACAATGTTAATTTATCCACTTACACTCCTGCGACGTGAAGAAACCGTGCTCAGTATTATGCTCAAATTTTACAGCTGTCTACATTATTCCTTTACAGACTGTACTCTAATTCTGCATGGCAGTGGATGGTAGGTAGGTTGCCAATTCCCTGTGGTATCTCAGAGTCGGTACTGGAGCTTCGAGTAACTTTTTGCATAAAGATGATGGCAAAGGGAGAAAGACAGGCTATGACTTACAAAAGACACATACAGATGGATAGGTAGGTAGGGACGTGGATAGATAGATAAATTGATAGATAATATTTAAATCCCAATGGTACAAATTCAATTCTCACAGCAGAAATTCCCTTGGTGTAAATGGGAGCAGAACTGGCCAAGTTCTGCATGGCTGGGCATTTGGCTGGAGGTAAGGTAAACTCTGAGTTCTCTCCTACTCTTCCCTACGTTTGCACATCATATATGTGTCTTACATCCATAAGGCAAATACTTTTCCCCTATACAGGCGACTAACATGCTACTGGGAATTCAACAAACACTGTCAATAATCTCAAGGTGATCTGCCGTGGGGTAACTCAGCATTAATGCAGGAGGCAAAGCAGAGCACAAACTACTGACATTTTCATCCCTCCTCATGGCAAAGTGCTGATGGCATGGACCAAACTTGTCCCGGGACCCACATGCAGGATACCCACAGCCACAGCTCCGGATCATCGGAGCTGAGGACCATGAAGGCTGTGACACCGATCTGGATTAGAAGCGTTTCAGAAATCAGGGTAGAATTTCATTCCTTCGAGCAGTGTTAATTAAAGAATTAATTTCCACTGCCAGCCTAAACGCTGTATAATTTACTCTCCAAAATAACTCAACTGAATGTGATTTCAATGTGATCTTTCAAGGAGTTTCATCCACTTATCTGATTTATAGTGGATTCATAAATTATTGGAGCCTACTGTGTCAGCAGTTACTTCTGAACTTGAGCAGGAGCTGTTTCCACGCTCTGCAGGGCAGGAAGTTAAGTTCAGGTCTTTGCTCACAAGGGTCAGCGTTAGACGTCTCTCTTTCTGGCAGCTGAATCATTACAGGTCACATAGTTCTTAATACAGTGCTGTATGTCTGATGCCTAATGAGGCAACAAAACTGAATTTACTGTAAAGTTTTGCCTTTAATGCATAGCTGAGCAGGGATGGCGTGCAAGCAACACTACCACGAGGCCAAAGGTCTGCAGCAACAGCAAATTAGAAGAATTGTTACTGCTCACTTTAAACTCAGCTGTGGGAATGCAGGAAAGCTCAGATATAAAGGAGGAGGAGGAGATACAATCCTGGCCCTGCAGCTCTCCCCTGTGCACATCCAGCCCTCATTCCCTGCTCCTGGATGCTGCAGCCACAGCACACAGGAGGACGACAGGGCAAGGAGGGGGGGTTACGTGTCTGAGTGGGACAGACACGAGCCACACCTGGCTCTAAGGAGAACATGAGCAGAAAGTGGGGGGGAGAGTCCCTGCTCCCGATCCACGTTCATTTATTATTCATTTCTTGGCCTTTCCCAGTGATCCACATCATTATTCATACCTGCCTTGTTGCTTTTTATGGGAGCCATGAACAGAACTATTCCTGCTACTGCAGCACAGGGAACACGGCGCGTGTGGCCGTGCAGCCAGCCCTGCTCTGTCTGCTGGAACAACAAACATGCCTAAAGATTCGCAGCGCCTTACCAGACGCACCAACGAGACGTGTTTTCCCCTTGGCTCAGAGCAGGCAGTGAGCACTGAGGGTGCATTTCAGTGCCGGGAAGGCAGCACGACAAACTGCTCCTGCCGACCCCAGTCTCTGCACGCCGGCTCGGTTTGGCACAGGGCAGCGATTCCCCGTTGGCAGAGCACTTTTGGAGTTCAGCTCGGAGAATCCCAACCGGCGGGACCTCGGCTCTGACCTCCTGCTGGCTGTGACCCCGGAGGCCTGAGGGATGGTGTGGGGGGCTGCAGGGTGCAGGGTGCTGGGTGCTGGGTGCCCCCTGCACCTCAGCACCCCGCTGGGCATGAGGCTGCTGCTGCTGCCATCCCACCCCAAACTCAACAACTTTATAGGATTCACACCAAACCACCACCGACACCACCACAGCGAGCCCCCCGTAATTCACCAATACATCAAGAAATAATAAAGAAAGAAGCAGATTTACCCCACCGCTCTTACCAAAAGCCGACCAAACTCGCCGTGTCCTCACCGAGGCCCCACTCCGGGCTCCGAGCTCCGAGCTTCCCAAACTTTCCCGGCGCCGCCACCGCCCGGAGGAGCCCCCCCGGGTACCCCCCGGTACCTCCCGGTACCCCTGGTTCTCCGGGGCCGTGCTGCCGGGCGGTGTCGGGGCTGAGAACCGGGACCGGGACTGACCGTGAGGGCTCCCCCCCCACCTCCGGAGCCGGCTCGGAGCAGGGCCCCGGCGCCGCAGCCGCGCAGCCCGCAGCGGGAGAGGCGCCGCCGAGCCGGGGCCGCTGCTGTCCGCGGCCGCCCTGGTGCTGAAGCGGCCCCGCCCGCCTGCCCGCCCCCGCCGGGCCTTGTAGCGTAAACGGGGTGGCCATGGCAACCCGCGTCACGCAGCCCGAGGTGGGGCTGCCCCCCCCCCACACCTCGTATCTCGTCCTCCTCTTCCAGCCCTGCCCCTGCCTCCATTCGGGCCTGAGGCGAGGAAGGGCCGAGGAAGGTGGCCGGGGATGTGGGGACCCCACCAGGCTCCTCAGCGCTCACCCCTCCGTGCCACAGGGCCCAGGGGAAGGAAAGTCCCATTGCGCCGAGCTCCTGCTGCCCGCTTCTTGTCTTGTGCTCCCAGAGCGGTGTCAAAACAAAACTGCCTTGGTTTCCAGAGAACTTCCTGCACGAGATTCATTCTCTGTGCTGCAGGAGCACAAAGAAGAGCCAGTTGAGGCCAGCCTGGTGGTTACCCGGTAGCTGGGTGCTCACAGAGCACCAGGGAATCACACTCAGGGCTGCAGAGTAGGGGGGCTGTGGTGATTTAGCCAAACTCATGCATGAAATCCCCAAGCTAAGCACAAGGACCAGCAGGTCGCTCACTTGAAACCCTACCTTGTGGTTAGCTGCAACGAGAACAGCGCCCGGCTCTTGGGAGAGGATCTGACCCCACAGAGGCTTTGCCGGGTTCAGGTCCCTCTCTGCAGGCTCCAAACGCTCCTCAGCAAACACCGTCACCAACTCAGCTCTAGTTTGTTTCTAGTATATTTAGAAAGCCGCTCTTTCCATCTGTAGGCTTCTAAAACTGGATGGAATAAATCACCTCATGGAATTAGCTTATAGCATTTGGGTCTTTTTTTTTCGTCATTTCTATTCTACTGTAGCACTAAATACCTTCTATTTGCTGTGCAGCGTCTAAGTTTGCTTTTGCCACTACACATAAGTGCAATGAAAGATAATTTACTTTAATGTTCTGAGAAATTCTGCCAAATGGGTAAGCCATGATTATTTTTGAAAAAGTGCAGATTTAGTACTACTGTGACTCATAACAGTGAGCATACCCTGACCAAAAAAGAAAAAAAAAAAAAGGCTATGTCAGTATTTTAAGCTTTTTTTTTTTTTTTTTTTTTTTATAAGTAAATTTATTTAATAACCCGAAAGAGACACATTTTTACTTTAATATACAGCACCCAGATACTTCTAGGCTGGCTCTTGGGTATTACACAAAATCAAGATTTTAGCCTTTTATCTCGAAAGAACTCAGCGCAATGCAATCTGACCCTTGTTAAATATAAAAATCCCCAAACCAGCTGTTATACTTTAGGGCCCTTAAAAACATCTTCAATGTCTCTTTCCTCTTGAGAACAGTTTTACGAATGCAGCGATAAAGTGCTGCTGCAGCAATTACACAGCACTTAGTAATTAAAAAAAAGCTGCTCATGAACCGACTTCATTTTATGCCATAAACGCCAAGCACTCCGCATTAGTTTATATTCCTAGCTGTCAAACTGTAGAAACAAATCAGGGATGAGACTTTCATCACTTGCAAGCCCTCGTAAACACAAAATCAAACCAATTCTCAGCTCCAACAATTTCATTTCCCGGCACGCCGTCTCCCAGCCCATCCAGCCAGGAGCCCCCAGGCAGCGAGCTGCAGGGCAGAGGAACGGGCCACGAGTCACTCACCTGCACACACAACAGTGCCAGGATGAAGCCCACGGCTGTACCCAACACTTGTATGTAGCTGTTGAGTGATTGATTGGGCAGATTAATTAGTTAATGGCTCTACTGCACTACAAAAATGGTAAGAGCTAAGTATTTCTTTTCCTTTTTTTTTTTTTTTTTTTTTTTTTTTTTTCCCAGTCAGTATCACCAGATAATTTCCATCTTACACCATACCTGGGTAAAAGAATAGTGTTTAATACACAGAGAAAAGCTTATGGTCAATGGTTGATGAACCTACTTTGATGTCAGGCAGGGAGAGCTGGATTTTCTTGGAACTGTGCCTTTACCTCTTTGCGCATTTTCGGGGAGGTGGATGTAAATCTGTGCCATCGTGATGTCACCACGCTCGTATGAATGGCCATAGGCAGTGAGGCCAGAGAAATGATCGCAGAGCTTGCAGCAATATATTTTCCAGCAAGTAGACAAGTGACAGAAGGTGTTGAATGAAGGAGAAGGCCGTCTGCGTGATGAACTCCTGGGTTCAATGAGGTTGATGGAACTCTTGCTACTGAGTTCAGTGACGCTGGGATTTCACCCGGAGCACTGTGTTTGTTTTGGAAATGAGGATTTTAAAAGTAACATCCGAGGCCAGGTCTCCTCTGCGGATGTGATGTACAAGAAAGGCTCTCTAAAGCCTGGGCTCTTGCTGCCTCCTCCTACTTTGGCCCTAATTCAAGAAAGCACTTAACACATACATAAATACATTTCTCATCAGCAAAGCTTTTCAGCAAACACCTAGTTTAAGGATTTTCTTATCTCTAATTCGTTGCTTAAGAAGTAAGGTATTACTCAACAGGAGTAAAAGTGGGATAATCTAGCAGTAAATCCTTATCATTTATATCATTTATTACCAGAGCTTAGTCATCTTTTGACCAATGACGCACAGCACTGATTTCTTGCTGAATAAAATTTTAGAAGCACAGCCAATTTTACACAGAGGCTTGGAACCGTGCCCTTTATCTGTTTTTATGAATGCACAGCTCCAAGTCCGTAGCATGCAGTAGAAAACCTAATGCAAGGTCATGTTTTGCTAGAATAACAGCACTGAAATCCTCAACTGCAACAGTGGGGTCCAGCCCTACCTTCAAATTTTATCAAATTTCATAGGGATTTTGGTGTGCAGAGCAAGTTCAAACTGTGATAACAATAAAGGCAGTTTCAAAATGATGAAGATTACCCAGCTTGGAATTGTAAAGGTCAGATCCTGATCTACACTTCCCCAATTCTCACGTGTATTTAGATCTGAGATAGCCTGTGCATTTAGCTCTCCACTCTGCAGCTCAATAGAGGGGAAGAAAATAGTTTTTACCTTTGGAAAATTCCATCACAGTACTACATTTTCACTCCAAAAGTACCGAATTTCATGTCATGAATGATGCATATTCTGTCTCAAAGGGAATCATTTGAGAAAAAAAAATAAAAATCCCTGTGGCCTTAATTTTAAAGTTCTGTTTCTGAGACAACTTGGGGGGTGGGGGGGTGGGAGAGAGTGCACTTTCCAGGTTAACTAGGCATTCACTTTGCTTTTGCACACAAAAAAAGAAAGATAACTGCAAGAAATTTTCCTTTCCAGACTGCCAGAGTGAAAGCAGCAGCCTGCACACACGACTGTCAGAGCAGCGCAAGCTCTTCCTCTTGTCACAGGGCGCCTTGCACCGAGTGCTCGGCCAGATTTCAGGAAGGAATTTATACTGCCCGTGTCTGTTTTTTCAATCCAGTAGCCGTAGCGTGCCAATCAGGACTTACTGAATAAAAGAGGCTTCTTGAGAACTACTTGATGTGCAAATTTCTCTTCGGGGAAGTGGAAGGAGAAAAGTCTGAGTTTTTATAGCTCCTTCTACCTTTTAGTGAGTTTTATTCTTAAATAGGAAGAGACTTGTTGCGTTTATTTATTGCATGAGCCTAGAAGTGGCGAATGTTTTCATTCACCCAGAGCAGGTCTCTTTGAAGGCAGAATGCAATTCCTGTTTTCTTCTGCCATTGATGCTTGGAATGAAAGCAAATCAAAACAATCAAAACCATGAGATTAGTCAGAATTAGCTCTTTTCCTGTACTGATGCTCAAGCTCTGCTCTGTATGAAATAATTTTCCGACCTTTGGCCAGAGAGGAAAAAATTGAAAAGCTCAAAATAAGCTATAAAAATAACCATTTAAAATTTCCTCAGGAAATCTGTTGAAATACGGATGCAATTTTCTGCAGTAACTACTTCAATTTGAAATCGCTTCTTTAACTGTGGGAAACTAGAAAGGCACCGCCAGCATCGTACGGAGATCAAAGCTCGCCGGTAGGGTGGCAGACAGACTGCGAGACAAATGAGAGGGCTCATGCATGAGCTGGGTGCCACGTGAAGGGGATGTGAACCAGGTCTAGCAGGCAGAAGGCTGCTCCAGGATGAATGAACCACCCAAGAGAGGTGTCTCTCCACTCTGCCATTCGAGTGTGGCTCCTGGAACATTCAGCAAACTTTGTTCTAGCTGTCAGATTTTGGAGAAGCCCACACACGCAGTGATCTCAAACGGAGATTTAATGGTCCAGCAGGTGAGAGGCTGCAGAAAATCCACTTGGCATTGTGACTGTGGAATAGAGTGAAGAAGGCTTCTAATTCCAGACACAGAGTGGTGAGTGTTGGTTTGTTGGGAAGCCAGGGGAAATGGGAGAAAATGTGGCCTTGTAAATCCGGTTATGCTTCCAGAAATATACCATAGGAACATTAGATGCTACTGGGAACACACATAGTAGAGCTAAGTGCTCAGCAAAGCATGCTAACCTAATTTCATGATTACATGAAAGGAGAAAATCCTGACTCATATTTTATTAAAATTGTTATGGTGAATCAGCAAATTACTCTGTTTATCTCCTTCAACGTCAGCACAGTGAAGTCTGGAGCAACTTGAACTAATCTCCCTGCCCTTGTAAATAGAATATATTCAGACCAGCTGAAGCTGGGCTAGATGGAAACAAGCAGTAATTCGTCATTGACGGACAGCTGGGAAGCTCAGAAAAATGCTATTTCCTGACTGTCCTGCCAGAAGGAAAGACACGCTCTGCCTGTGCCTTTCATCTCTGACTCCTTTATCATGCCAGATCCCAAATTAAACATTTACACTCAAAAATGTTGTGGGCATTATAGCAAGATCTCCCCATATGGCAAATGCTGGTCTTTTATACACACGCCCTTTAATATATATCCCTGCGGTGGCAGGGAAGAAAATAAAACTGCATAGAAATGTATAACTTGATCTGGCTTGTTTAGCCGCTAATCCAATCTTCTCTCTTAGTAAAGCTCAAATAATCTGATTTTTTGTGGGGGGCGTTCTGGAGCACCTGAGGGAAGAGAATGAAATCCTGCCTTCCTACTGTAGGCTATCAGGGAAGCTTCTGAAATGCCATCCTGCATTGGTTCTCAGAGCATGTAGTGAAATTTCCACCTGTCACCCTCTCAGACCAGCAATGTCCCGTTGCAGAGCTTTTCTAGCTCTCCTGGAAACATTTCTAATTAGGCAATGATGTAGGCACGTGCACATCTGCATATATGCATCTGCACCTGAATACGTGCACACCTGCATGTACTCCAGGGGCTGCATCTCCAGGGGTAACTCCTGCTAATTACAAGATGAAATCCCGCATGAATTGATCACACTGAATGAATGTGAATGAGCGCATCGTTTGGGTGAAAATACCTGAGTGTATAGCACGGTTATTCTGGTTTAAAAAAAAAAAATCAATCCTGCTCGGAAATCATAGAACTATGAAGCCAGATACAATTTTGGCAGGTCAGTCCTAATCCGCAGTCTTTTAAAGATGTAACCTTCCCCTGCCACCTGCTATTGTCTCTTGCCTGATTGAGAAGTCAGCCTGGACTTTCTCTTGCTTCTAATGAATTGATAGCACATTTATTTTCTTTCTCTCTTTTTATATTCCCTGTCCATTGTGCAGCAACTCACTTTGTGCCTCAGCTTTCACCATAGGGCTGGTGGGATTTCTCAGGTAACTGCTCACTGTGTCCTCACAAAGGAAACTCCTGTGCACACACTGCAAATCCAAGCTCTCCTGCAGCCTGGTGGGAACTCCTGACTGTGGTCAAGCACCCTCCTAAACTTCTCCTTCCACAGGAGGGACAGAGAGGGAGAACCTGAGCAAAGAGGCAGCAGCAGAAGCAGGCAGGGAGTACAGAAAGGTATGAAAAGAAGTCTGGGGGAGTGAATGATGAGCAAGGAAGGATCTGCTGGTTTAGAGGACGACCTGGAGCAACATCTGCTGCTATCTGAATAATGCATGTGCTGGCTGCCACTTTGCATGGGAAGGGGGAGAGGAGTGGAGGCAGCCCTGCTGCACCCTCAGACCTCACTGCTCATCTGCCACTGCGGCAGCAGTGCGAGGAACAACGCTCGTGGCTCACACGTTTCCAAAGGGGAAAAGGCTTACGTTGGATTTCAGGGTGTTTCTAACAGAGAAATGGCTTAGGGAAGCAGCAAGGCTCCTTAGTATTATTCATGTGCTACACAGAAGCATTTCATGAGCTTTGAATGAAAAGAGCTATAGTGGAGCTTGATATTATTATTACTTATTATGTTGTGTAATCAAAATGAACGATGAATACAGAGCAAAAGAGATTCCTTCAGAGAATAAACCGTTCTGACAAATGCTGTACAGAAAGTAAAGATTTGTTCTGATTTCCATTCTGAGGACATCCTTTAAATGCTCAGTAAGGCACAGGCTGGCCTGGCGGCAAAACTCTTTTAATTCCTGGAGCAAGGGAGCAGTCACGCAGGCTTCTTGGTGGTTCCCTGCCACTCGTCCTTACCTGGGAGCTGCCCCTGGAGCTGCCGTGCCCCTGCTGCAGGACCAGCACCAGCTGCAGGGCTCCTCCTGTGGGGCCTCCCACTCCCCAAGGCCTCCAAACTGGAGATGAAGCTCTCCATTGCCTCGCCACTCCAGAACTCAGAAGGGAACCCAACAGGCTGCTAGTGGCACCTGAGCGAGGCAGTTCAGCATTTCTCTGTTCTGAGAGTGAACAAAATGCTCAGGTGCTCTAATGCCTCACTGGAAGAATTCCTCTATGGTTTCTGAGACAGATCTCACAGCGATTGCTTTATGGGGAGCAGGCACATTGTTTTAGGATGTTCTCATTTAATTCAGCCGTAAAGATTCATGCTTTTCATCGATCCCCACCAGTGGCTGTCTGCACACCAGACGCATTTGCAGCTCCCTTTAATGAGCACAAGGATCCTTTGGAGAGGCGGCAGCAGGATTCTGGGACCAGCTGAAAAATGCTTCACTGGCTGCTAAGCATCGATGCTCGGTTCTAGCTGAAAGGCTGGTCATAAAAACAAAGCTGTAACACCATCTGCAAGGAGATTTAAGAGGTGCTGGCACGAAGGTTGGCCTGGGCAGTTCCACCACACGCAGGTTGCATCCAGCATCACTGATCGGACGGAGTCGTGCACTGCCTGTGCACCCCGAGCAGTTCCTGAGCGATGTTTTGTGTTCTGGCAGGGCGCAGAGGAGTATTCATTTGTTCTTCTGTTGCTTTCGTGCCTATGTTTTCAGAAACCATTGTGAAAAAACAAACTCCTTTGGAGAAAAAATTGCTTTCAGCAAAGGAGCTGGTGGTAGTTGCTGTTTGACTTCTGAAAATAGCAGTTTTAGTAGCTCGGGGAGTCCAAACAACCTCCCAGAGCTCAGGAGGCACGGTTGTAGCACAAGCTTTCTAATAATACAACAACATATTGCTCAGACCCCTGAGAAATGGTGTGATCGTGTTTTCTTAGTTACACTTGCTCGAGAGCTTGCATCAGAGGACTCCTACCTTTCTAAAGCCTGTTCTTGCATTTATCTCACCAGTCACAACCACACAACATCTCCGTGATATCCACCAGAGGAGGCAAAGTAATAATCTCCTGAATGTATTTTTTATCTTTTGATACAGCCTTCCAGCTAGAAACCAGATTACCACCAGCAAATGCTTCATGGACAGCTGAAGTCCATGAAGTATTGTTTAGGAACCAGTTGAAATTAAGGTCCTAAAAGCCGTTCTTCAAATACTAATAGCAAGCAGCATCTGGTGCATAACTTTATGCATAGACAGAAATATATTGGGTTTTATTCCCACTAGGTAATGCTTTTCTCCTGTAGAGCAATCAAACAGAAAATTTGCTTAAGACAATCCCAAGGACTCCAACTAAGTTGTGCTGTTTGTCATAAACCTGCAAAAAGAAGGCTTGGGGTTACAGGCTTACGTATGGTGAGAAATCTCCAGCATGTTTTTCCAACCACTCAGCATGTGATTATGCAGGGATGAAGCACTGATGTTAACGCCGGTTGCTCTGACATTGTCACAGTACACTCTGTTTTTTCATACAGATGTTTTCCTCCATCAGGGAGCTGAAAACGGAAAGGCTGATGAAAGCGAGGATCAAAAGCTTATGCAAGCCGGATCGTGTTGGTTTGTTCTTTCCATTACCGTGACATCAAGGATGCCTCAGGGATGGAGAGGCACTGAGCACAGCTGTGAGCAGAGGGCTCTAGCCCCGTGCTTACCACCCAGATTTGTGATGGTGAAGTCGGGGAGATTGCTTGACAAACAGCCTACAAATGGTGCTCTCCATCCCATGCTCAGGGGGTCACATCTATTGGGGATGGGATGGAGAGGAGTCTTATCCCACCTGGGTCACCAGTGCAGGGGATGAGGCCTGGCAGGTCTGGCCCTGGATGTGCAGCAGGTCCTGTAGCACACCCTCCTTGCACATAAAAAAATATGCTATTTCAGATAAAAACATGTGCCTCCTGCTGTCTCCAGGAGCCTTGGCTGGTCCCTGTCCTCCTGTTAAGCTGGTATGGCCATTCCTGTGCCTACACGCCACCTTGGGATTAATTTATTAAAGAAAAGGGCATTCATTTCTAAAAAATAAATAAATGCATGTATTTATTTGTTTTCAGATTCTCTTAACCAGCATGCAACTCCTATAGTCCTTTTCCAGGAGAAAAATCACTTCCCCGTCACATTAATTGAGTTTCGTTTTCTTCTTAAATCTATCCCAAGCTTCTCATCTGCTCAGTGGCTGACAGAGTATTTTCAGAGTCTGAACATTAATCTCTTTAAGAAAAGAAATGAAGCATTTTGTGCAAAAATAAATTTTCAGATCTTCTTCAGCATGACCGGTCTATTTTCTTCAAACTGTTTTTGCTTTGGGTGAAACCCCAAATCCTTATTTTAAATTGACTACCAACATCCCATTACGGAACATGACCATTACAGCTCAGCAGCTGGCTGTGTCAGGCTTACTGGGAGAGATAAGCTGGGAATGAACATCAGTAAATTAATGGTAATTGAACATGGAAAAAGCTTTCCAAAAATTCACCCTAGTGATGTGGGGTCCCTTGGTTTTTACTCTACCATTGACTGTCAAAAAGGTCTAGCTTAAACTGGCAGTGCTTTTTCTGAAAATGCCACAATCTGGGATCATGAGAAGTCTTCATGGCCTTTATGGTGAGAACACACACACACGTCCCACGTGGAAGCACAGGTTTTTTTGTGTTTCTGTGACCCACAGGCAAAGTCCTGCAGCCCGGAGGAGCCGTGGCTCCAGCAGGCACCTCTGGGGACCCGTGAACAGATCCCAAGGGGCTGAGCATCCTTCTCCAGTGCTAACACGGGTGCTGTTCCCCGATAAACCCATCTTCCATTCGATTTTGCCTTATTTGTTACTTGCAGAGACTGACCCGTTTTCATTTTAAAATCAAGTGTATTGCTCTGGTGGACCTCAGAGGTACAGAATCAGATAATTAATGACAGTACTGGAGAGTTAAATGGCTTTATTGAACTGATGTTTTTATGCCCTCCAGCTGCCTGCTTTCCATATCCTGGCAGGTTGGCTCTGAGTACCTAGACAGCGTGTCCAGCTAAGGAGGTTTCACATTCCTGCTTTCCTTCCTTGCTCTCCAAAGAGATGGGAGAAAATCCTGTGCTACTTCATCTAAATAATGCCCATATTGTTGGTTTTGTGTAAATTACAGGTCAGAACATGAAGGTACTTACAGCATGGCACGTATAAGAAAAGCTATTTGTTGTCATCACACCTGTCAACAGCACCCTGGTCTTCTAGCAGAACTATTCAATTGCAGTTCTGCTCTGTCGCCCTCTTCATCCATGCATGGCCGAAGGAAGGGAAGCCAGCTGGATGCAGGCACTTTCCTTCACGTTGCTTTGTGTTCTCCTCTGCAAGAAAGTCTATAATGTGTTGCGAGCATGAAGAATAACAGAAAATTAGGCTTTTTTTAAGAAGGAAAAAAACACAACGTGAATTGTTGGACTCTTCTGTCCACAGAAAATTTCACAATTTCTGGTACTCATTGCAAATGAGAGCAATTTTGGCTGAATTTTCTATGGAAGCGAAACTCTTAGCTTTGACCACTTCAATGGCATCTGCTAAGCCGAAATATTGCAGAAGTATCTTTCTGAAAGAAGAACCAGTAGTAACGCTTCAGGACTGAATGAATCAATGCTGGCATTAAATCAGCAGCTCCAGCAATCAGCCCGTCTCCTCCTGTTGCCGTATGCTAGCAGTGATTGTGCTGAATGATGGAAATGCTTATGTTGTGATTTACAATCACACAGCTTGTGGTGCAAGCATTTGCCTCCAGTTACAAGCTTTGTGACATCCACTGGGACATGCTCCCTATAGCCAGAGCATCCACCTTTACCTGAGTACAAAAGTGGGCAGATCTATCAATATTTTGCCATCATCTTTCCACGTTGAACTGGTTCTAAATTGCACCTCATCGTTAACGCTCTGGACTTGGCTTGCTGCAGCTGCCAACCCTTTGCGATGGGAATCTGGTGTCTCGCCGACATTTCTGGCCTTTAGCAAACCTCCCTTGCAACAGAAACTGTTCCGGAGTCCATCTGCCGTAATGAATATTGCTGCGAGTAAAAGAGCAAAGGCGGAAGTGGGCAAAGGTTGCAGGCTCCTGTGCCAGGGCTCCTGCATTAGGAAAGCCTGGGGAGGCCAAGCTGCCTGGCTCGCTCCAAGGGCTAACATAATTCAGCTTTCCATAGCCAGCTGGTTTTGCTTCAGAGATGCAGAAAGGTATTGGTTAACAAATATCCCATATTCCCTAATTTCTTTATCACTTTAATTTCTTTGTGCTATAAATACAGACTTTAAATACAACGTGGATCAAATCCTTATATTGCTTTTACTTGGCATCTGGTAGGAAAATTGCTTTTTAGTTATTCTCCACAACCTTAAAGTTTTCAGTAGCACTTGTAGGATACCCACATTTACGTCTACTGTTCTGTCCCCTGAACTTTTTAACATTTACTTTCTTTTGCACACCAGGCGTGACTGGTGTTACGAATGACTAATTGTACAGATCAATTACTGTGATTAAAATCGATCCTCCCAGCAACGTCCTCCTGGCGTCACAGTTCACAAACCAACGCACATGAGCTCACTTGGCTTGGTCTTGCACCAAATACACATTGTGAGGATTTCACTGAATATCGTAGGACTATTTCTCTGTCCAAATTACGGCATTGGATCATCAGGAGAATAAAGTGCATGTGGTGTTTATGTACTTTATACCTAATTGTAAAGTTGTATTGGGTTTTAAATGCATTCTAGAAATGAGCTATTTTATAGCAAGAGCCAGTCTGGAGGTTTTATGCAATACGGGACCTCAGGTAAATGTAAAATATGCAGGTTTCTACAGGCTTAGCTGAAAGGCATCAAACAAATACTATTTGTAATGCTTTGTTGGGCATGGATAAACCCACCATCACCAACCAACCTGTGACAAGAATTATATCTCTCTATGTCTGCAGGTAATGTTAAAGCATGTAGGAAAGGGGAAGAAGAGATGGAAAAAGTGGATGCTGAAGGAAGTATAAAAACAAGACTCTGAGCTGAAAAACCACAGAGAAGGAGAATTTTATTTGCTTAATGAATGCTTTAAACCTCACTGCCTCATTCCTGCCCTAAAAGCCATCACCACCTGTAAGTGTATGCATTAAAATAGCAAATCCATACACCTCCATCATGTTTGGAAATTGAATTCTACTGTAGTTCTTCAGCACTCTCATTTAATAATTCTGGTACTTTTTTTTCCTTATTTTCAGTTCACTTCTTTCTTCTGGCTCATCGTCTTGTGCAGCTGAGTTTGTCAGTTTTATTTCTCCAAAGTGCTACGGAGGGCGCAACGTGCAATTCACAACTCAATAAAATTTGAAGAAAAATAAATGTTTGCTGCATCATAGATGAGATGGAGATTGTGGAGGAGGGAAGGTGAGGGGAGGAAGTAGGAGGCAGACTTTAACTAAATTGCTCCTTTCGGAAAAGGTTTGAGAATTGAGAGCAGGTAACTCGACAGAGCACAAATGTTCTAAAATGGACTTATCAAGAATTAAAATGCAAAGAGCGGAGGAAAGCATTCAGAAATAGTGGCTGTGCAGGGTGATTTCAGCCTAATGAGAAGTTAGCAGTCGGTACTGGAAATCTAAATCATGATGGGTCTGAAGTAAGGATTAAATTGTTTGAAATTGCATTGGCTGGAAAAAGTCAACAACTGCATCTTCATCTTTCAGAAAGACAGGACACGGCACACTCCTCCTCATTTCGGAGAGGCAGAAAGGCTGTACCGATAGTTCAGAGATTGGTCAACAGCTTTATTCATTTCAGAGAGGAAGTCGTTCGGATAGCAAATAACAGTGACTCAGATGTCAAAATTACCAACGCTCCTTTTCCTAGATGAGACACGATCGAGGGTCTTAGCACAGCCTGAGTTGCTGTAAGTGATGCCTCATTCTGCCCCAAAACACAGCTTCTGGCCAGTTGAGGAGATGCTACCCTGCCAAACAGAGCTCTTACTGGAGGAGGGACGAGGCAGCAGGATTTAACAGGGGCTGTCTGTCGTAGAAAGCAATGAAGAGCAGTGCTGCCCTCCTGGAAATCCCTGCCTTGGGGCCTTTTGAGTGCAGAACTGCAGTGGTTCAAACCCTGCCTCTTCCACGATGCTTTATAGCCTCCTGCAGGAGTGCTGGGGCTGTAATTAGCCCCACGCTCCTCTAATGGCACTGGGCTGTGTGTCTGCAGCTCTCCTCGTACTGTGGGATCAGCATTTTAACACAGCTCTGTGAATGCAGTTTGCCCTGCCAGATTTATTCCCTTCTCTGTGAAATAGTAAATTTCAAATGAAAACTTGCAGAGAACATGTATTTTACAAAATACAATTTATGTATTTTAATGTACTTTCAGTATGTTACTCTAATGAAAATGCTTACAAATATATGAAATGTGTAAGCTTCTTTGCTATTTACTAACTTCTTGGTGTGTCTATAACTTCCCCCACAGTAGGCAAGATATTTAATTCAGGTTGCTGAAGATAAGTGCCAGGTAATATGTATCTTCAAAAATTTTTATGTTCTTTTTAGTCATTAAAATTCAATGGTATATGTCTGTTAAAAAAAATGAAATTATAACCTGTATTTCCCTAGTAATGCTGCTTGCCTCTTAATCACTGCAGCACTGATAGGATTTGATCATTAACTGGTCAATAGTCCTTAAAATCTTCTCTACAGGTTAATCTTCTTACAGGTGACAGGACTGCAGAGAATAAGCCATGCCGTCTGCAGATAAGCTGAAGAACACCAGGTTTATGGGAGGGTGGAAACCACTCGGTGTTCACTCCTGTGGTTGAATGCTGTACTCAAGCACAGCTCTCCTTAAACAACCCGGTGCTTGGGGTGAAATCCATCTCCCATCGAGCCAACAGAAATCCTAGTGCTTCACATACTCGATACCGATATTAGCCTTCCAAGTAATTGCAAGGCAATAAAATCCCTTTTTCTTGTGGTACAACTGCAACCACAACGTTGCCATGGCAATGATTAAGATTCATTGGCAATATTTCCCTTACAATCCTCCAGCCATTTAAAGGTGTGTAGGATTTCCCCCCACACCCCCCCAAAATAAAAAAAAAAAAAAAAAAAGAAGAAACCCACCATAATAAATGACAGTGTGAGTCAAAAAAATAAATAAATAAAAGGAAAAAAAAGAAAAAGGCTAATTTCTCATTTCTCTAGGTATTATTATCTTGTTCAATCTCAAGGAACTCCTAGTCGCTGGTGGCCACGTAGGTGGAGGAATAGGGTCCAAGAGCAGCTGCCACACGTGGCGTTGGAAATGCTCGGCCCTGCAGGAGGTTTGTGTTCGCCACAAAATGGGAAGGGATCCCCGAGGAGCCCATCACCAGGAGGGTATTTCTTCGCAGGCCACAGGGGAAGAGGGATGGAGGTTGGTGGAGTATGCCCTGAGCAGCCTGGCTGGCTCCCTCCTGTGTCAGCTGTGTGAAGCTGATCAACCCTTTTTCAGGTTTGATTGAGGTAAGCTCCTATTTCTGAGCAGTTCTTGCTTCTTTGTTCTCTGATATTGTTGTGTATAATTAGGCCATCTTTACTTCTCTTTGACATCACTGAAATGAATCATTTTTTTTCCAAGTAGATGATCACTCTAATAGTTCCTATCTAATGTTGCTGCCACCTCCAAACCATGTCCTAATTAATGAGTTCCAGTAATAATATGAAAAAAAAAAAAAAAGAAAAAAAAAAGAGTGGATATTCAGTGATCTAGTGTCTGTTTCTGACCCTGGAAAACCTTACTCGTTTAAGTAACTATTATACATGAGGATTATTGTGTAAGTTTCTAGGAGGTTGATTATAGTTGGGCTGTTCACTCCGGAGTAGTCTGCTCACTGTTAGTTCTCCATTAAATGTGTTCTCTATTAAATCACTCCTACAGCTCTCCAAAGACTTGGTTTTAAAACCACAGACAATAATACTTGCTTCTGTGAAAGTGATATAGAGAATTATCTACCGATGCGAATTGGATCCAGAAAATCGTACCCCATAATTGTGTCTCTTCCCATCTCCTGAACAGGTACTTTATATACACGTCTCCTGCTAAAACACAGAGCAGTGCAGCTGCTGGTCACCGCGTGTCTGTCACAGGTAGGCATTACAAAGCTTTTACAGTCAGGATTCAGCAATCTTTATCATTATGAATTCAGACTCCCGAGACACAAGCGAGAATAATTACTGTTACTAGCTTTGCTCAAAAGTGCCTGCTGCCACACTTATTATGGCTCATTTGCTATAAGTACTCCTACATTATTACCATATCTACAAGCTATTCATATATGAATTTCGGATAGCGGAGGCAAATGAGGAAGCTGTCGGTTCAGATGCATCACTTTTCCTGGCAGGTTTTTGCTGGAGATGCTTCAGCAGCCATGCAGCAAGCAAGCTCCCAGCCCTACTGCTGCTCGGTCTGAGAGCAGCCTGAGGGGTCCTTGCTCCTTCACTGCCCCCTGAAGGGAGGGCAGGTATCTCCTCGGGACTGCTCAACCCAAACTCACACTTCCAGAGAAGTTGGAGAAGCCCCATGCGCTATCTCAAGAATATAAAAGGCCAATACTGGTAAAAACTTTATACTAATAAATATAGACTTGAATTACTATAAAGCAGCATTAATCTCCTGTTCCAACACCTTTTTCTGGACACCTTATTTATGAAGCACAGAGATTTATAGGGCCATGAGATATGTTCATTCATGTAAAGAGAAAACATGAACTCATGTTTGAAAGCTTAGCTAGCTAAAAACAATAACTCAGCATTTTTTTTTTTTCCTAAAAATTCTGCTGTCTGAAGGAAACCTCCTGTGATGAATGACAAGCAGTGAGGATGAATGTTTTCTCCCAAATTAGCCTTGACTGATTTCCTCTGCTTCTCACAGCTTTCAGCTACCAGCCAGAACGCATTACCAGACTACAGTCAGTTTGGTCTTTTCCATCATGTATTTGAAGAGAAAATCAGAGTCTTACTATTTATTTCTGCAACAAATAGCTGACTTTAAAGGACTACTGTAGAGTATGAAGAGTATGAAGTCTAGTTATGTTTACAGCAAGCCAGAAAGATTCATTAAAGAAAAAAAGCCTTAATGTGATAGTTTATTTCATCTAAAGTAAATGATAAATGAAAAATAAAACCCTCCATGGAAGACTGGGTCTTCAAGAGAAAAATATCTCATCCTAAGCCTGACTGCAAACTCCTCTAAAATGTGGTGCAATTAACTCTTAAAGCCATTGTTACATTTACCTTGTAGCAAGGAAAGTCTGACCGTGAAAAAGTTTGGGCTTGAACTCCGGGAGCAGAACATGTTCTGTATGTGTGACAAAACTTCTGCCTTTCGCCTTGAGTAGCTGTCAGTGCTGCATTAACAGTCAAGTGCTATCAGAAATTAAGCTTATGACACTTCTCAGATGGGGGATGTCACGGCTGTATCACTTCGGATCACCAGATGGCTGATTTTCTCCCATTCGCTACTGCCAAACTAGATGAGAGTCAAACAGTGGAGATGGCAACTGTGCTTTGGGGAATGACACTGAGAGGATTCGTAATTCCCCCGAGTTCTTCTGGGATGGTGACAGACAGGCAGATTTACTTTATGGTTAGCTGCAAGTTAATAAATTAGTGACAAGAGGACTTTTAGCATCAGAACAGATTAGAGCCAAAATGTTGGTTGCTGTACGTGGCTCCTGTGCTGCTTGGAACTTCTTCAGGTGAAGCTTTAGCCATAGTTATCAAAGGAATGAAGATTAAAGGGAAATTAAATAAAAATATTACATTTCCTTCTCATTATGTACTTTGTATTTAACTAGGATGTATAGCTTTTTATCAAGCACTTTAATCACTTCATCCTGCAAAAAAATATGTATTTAATTAAAAGCTGGAGCACACTCTCTTCAAGTGATTTAAAGGGTGAAAAAAGTCCTTCAGCTAATGACATGCTTGTGAACTTTATTTCGGAAAGTTCTGTTCCAATAACTTTGTTCTGTCTCACAGTAAATCCAATGGCATAAATTCTTATTTTTTCACTCTTTTCTGGGTGTTGAATGGTTTATTAGATATGATGCAGGCTACTGTCATTTTGTTATTTCTTTTTTTGGATAGGCTGGATTTAGATGGGGGTCTTTGTCATAGAAAAGGTCTCTGCAAATAGTTATGCTCCTGTTAACATACAATGCAAGAAATGAGAGTCCTCCTTGGTTGTTTAAAAGTTATTGGTTCAGGCTCTCAGCCTTTTAATAATTAGACACCAGAGCACTTACTTTAACAGCTTCTGTCTGAAAGATATAATATCAGGAAAAAAATCACATCTCAAGCTATCAGAGTGACTCAGCAAGGTGACTCAAGAAAATAATTTAACTTTCTGGAGGAATTACCACTTAATAAGGCAGACTGTCACGAGCTTATAAAATGACACCTCCAGCAACTCAACAGTGAACACAACTCACGTTTGCTCTTTGTGTTCAGGTTGATCCAAAGAGAAAAATGCTGCACACTTAGTCAAGGATCTTTTACTTATGCATACTGAAATACGTGCGATAAATGGAAAAATTTGGGAACACGATAAAATTACTGTTTGGTATCAAATGCTTGTACTAGTGGCTGCTTAGTGCTATGAAGATTAAGGTCTCGTTGCTCACGTGAATGTTTGTACTAAATACAAGTCAGTGAAAGTTGTTCTAGTAATGTCAGTGGGTGTTAAATCTGTATTTTTTTTTTTCCCAGTTTATTTATCTTCTTCTCAGTATACTCAAATTCTGCAATATAGTCAAATTCTATTATTTTCAATCTCACAGGGAAGACCAGAGATGGCAGCAGAATAGCCTACAGGTAGGACATGCTGCAGGGAATTCAGATGAGGGACACAAAATTTATAGAAAAATTGAATCGGAGTCACAGATCATTTAATTAGCTCTGTGCAATAGCATTCTGCTTCCTTTGAAAAGCAGTTCCACTAGTTTCCATAGATATTGGAGGACAAGAAACAATAGCAATAGAAACATCTGATATTACAGTTTTTCAACATTTCCCCAGTGTATCAGAATTTTATGTTCTTTGCTTGTCAAATTAAAAATTTATTATTAGTAAAAAAAGTATTACAGTGTATTAATATTACATTTCAGTATTTCCCAAGTGAAACTGCCATATCCTGAGAGGGGATACTATTAAAAAAGAAACATAGCTTTTTTATGAAAGTATAAATAAATTATAGGTAACACAAATATGTAGTCTGTTACCCTTGCCCTACAT